GCACATTGACCCCCTTGGGGTGACATCATGCTTGCAGGGTCTTGGCAAGGTGGTCTACCATGTGATGATATACATGGCTGACACCATAGTGTTTGGTATCGGTGCTTGACCCCCTTGGACGGTGTCATGTTTGACCCCCCCCCTGTGGTTGGATCTCCATACTTAGCCAAATTTTGCCTCGGCATCATGCTTGACACCCTAGTGCAAGGTAGGTGGCTGCGGTACTTGGTGCTTGACCCCCTTGGATGATGTCATGCATGACCCCCCTTGCATGATGTCATGCTTGTCCCCCTTGTAGTTGGGTCTCCATACTTAGACAAATTTTGGCTTTCTTTACCACCATGGTCTAGGGACTCCCCTGCCGACACGCTCGATACCCGGTAGGCGGCTAGACCCCCTTGCGTCTCGTCATACTCGACTCACCTTGGATGATATCATGCTTGACCCCCTTGGACGATGTCATGCATGACCCCCTGGTGCAAGGTAGGTAAATGGCATAGTGCTTGACCCCCCTTGTGCTATGGGTCTCAACACTTAGCCAATTTTTGCCTTCTTTCCCATCACGGTCTAGCGCGATGACCCCTTTGCATGACATCATGCTTGACCCCCCTGGGATGATGTCATGTTTGACCCCCCTTGTGTTGTGGGTCTCAACACTTAGCCAAATTTTGGCTTTCTTCGCCACCACGTCTAGGGACTCGCGTTTCCCTTCTTCACTTGCCAACATGTTTGATACCCAGTAGGCAGCTAGACCCCCTTGCGTCTCGTCATACTCGACTCACCTTGGATGGCATCATGCTTGACCCTCCTGGACGATGTCATGCATGACCCTCCTGGTGCAAGGTAGGTAGATGGCATAGTACTTGACCCCCTTGGGATGATGTCATGCTTGAACCCCCTTGTGCCATGGGTCTCAACACTTAGCCAAATTTTGCCTTCTTTCCATCATGTCAAGCGCGATGACCCCTTTGTATTACATCATGCTTGACTCCCCTTGTGCTGTGTATCTCAACACTTAAGGGTACTCCCGATGATCCCCCTTGTGGTTGGGTCTCCACGACTTGGGTGGTTGATGTTGAAGGGTGTCAATCTGTTTGGTGGGTCAAGTGGTGTGTGTTGAGGTACCTGGTATGAAGCCCAAAATACCATTATTTAGGCCCAACCTAAACCAATTTAATTAACATGGTTAAGTTGGCCTTATTAATCACTACCACTCCTTGAAAATAATCAATGTGGTATTTAGTGATTTTTTAGTGGTAAACAACTATACAAAATAATGCATTAGATGTAGCAAAACCTGCATTTCAAATTAATCTTCTTTCTTAATGATTTAGAATATTGCGAATAAGGGATTGGTCCTGTTGTTAGGGATGAGAAAAATATCAAAAATTGTGGATATCCGCTTGAATTCGACCTAATCGGGTAGGGTAAAACTCGAACCCGAACAATTTTAAGTGGGTACGGGTAAAACCCGAACCCGAATATTACGGACAATGAGAGGGTATGGTTTTCTCACTATCCGACCCGAACCCACCCGATTATACACTTGGGTATGTATATTGTCTAGAAATTGTCATTATATTTTCAACATATTGTATATTTAGTATAGAAATATAATACTTTAATGAAATTGTGTTGTTTGAGAATAATTTTCTTCATTCAAGTGAATTAGTTTCGTAATTTTCCACTTACATACTGTGAGTATATGTGTGAATTTGAACATATTGGTTGGAGTTGTAATGAAAAATTATTACCCATGGATAACAGTGGATACCCGAAACACGAATGGGTATGGGCAGAATTTTGATTTTCTACACGATTTTTATGTGAGTATGGGTATTGATATGATCCCAAATGGTCAACTATTCACGTCACAATTACTTGACAAAGAAGCTATCAAAGTTGGGAAGAAGAAAGGCAGAATTTGGCTAAGTCAAAATCCGTGTTCAGGGTACATACTTTGGAGGCATGGTTCTCACAATTGGCTTGGTGTAAATTCGGTTTTAAGGATTTGTTTTTCAGATAAAGTTTCCATATTTCCAATGGTATGCTTTATGGATTCAGATGATGTCATTAAGGTTGTTTTCCAAGGCCTCAAAGTTGCTACCTCAAAACTGGAAAACTGCCAGAAAATGGCTAAGGCAGAAAACTGTTTTGTGAAGCCTACTTTGGAGCTCAATTCGAGGAGTATAGATCTGATCCAAGTAAAAAGGCTTCCTCAACATGAAACTAGGTATGTTTGTGAACAAAGGGAAGGAATTGGATGAAGAATTGGAGCTCTGGAAGGCCTCGAACAAAAGGCGCGAAGTTAGTACGAAATCACAGAATTTCTGCCTTTGTAAAACAGGATTTTCTTTCCTTATTCAACTATGATTGTTAGATTTTATTCCTTTTCGAGTTAGATTGTATTTAGACTTCCTTTTTAGTTGTTAGACGTAGCTTAGGTTTATTTAAAGCTTTCTTTTACGTTGTAAACTCAGACTTTGTTGAATAGAAAAGAAACCGTTTGGTTTGTGCAAGTTGCGACTTGTTTTGGGTTTGGTGGATTCCAAACTTGCTGAGCTTGTGTATCGATTGAATAGTCACTTCAATCGTGGTCGAGCAACTACCCTTTTATACCAATCGAGCTATCCCCAGGTGTGGATTTGTCCTTTTGGTTCCGTTTTATCCCAAGTTCGTATTAAGAACGCTTCGTTCTTGATTCGAGCTCAATCGATTCTTCGATTGAGTCGTTTGCTGCGTTACTTTGATAACATACACCCTCCAGGGGCGTACCAGGTATGGTTAAAACCCTATCTACTTTGGGTAGGGTAACTGATATGCACTATCCGCACCCGACCCATTGACATCTCTACCTGTGGTAATACCACTTTTCTTGAATCTAGAGGTTCTAGATTCGAATCCTTAAGTGGCGCTGACTCACTCCTACTGTCACTCTAGAAAATGGCCAAGTGTAACCACCTCCTAAAGCTAGTATAGCGGGTTTGGGTTTTAATGTCAACCCGGGTCGAAGATGTGACGACTACTCCGTGAGTTCTTATTATTTAGCAGTGAACTTTTAGTGAAGGTCCAAACAAGCAAAGCAAGTAAAAAGGTTGTTTTCAAGTGGAGATTGTAATTAACCAAGTTCAAAGATAGTTATACTGCGGGAGGTTCTTAAACAGTCTGAAGTCTCGACTAAAGGTCTCCAGACCCTCTCAATCTGAGTCTCCAGCGGGCGACTAACCTCCACCGGAGTAAACAGATTGAGGCCCTAACTAACCAAACCTCCACTACCGAAGTGAATTCGGTATAGAATAGTGAATTGACTTCTCGACTAAAGTCGTCAATTCACTACCTTCAATCAAGGGTGCTCTATCAACCTAGGCAGATATTCTCTTTCTAGGTCAAAGCAGAAACAACAGGAATTTGATTAGGATTCATGCCATTCAACAAATCAAACCTCAATTGAACATAATCATATCAATGAATCTGTACTTGGGTTCATACAATCAGACCTAACATACAAATCTAGGGTTCTTCATACCCAGGTGAATAAGAAAGTTACTCCATAGAGAGATGGAAAATCTAGCTCAGATGCGGAAACCATACTGTGAAGGATGGGAATCTGCTTCTGGCACTCAATCAGGTCTTCTCCAAGCTCAAGTCGCGCTCCAATAGTGATGGAGATCGATCAAGGACACTTGCAGAGTCAGGTTCGTCACTTTCTCTCTCTAGGTATAGCTTTTTCTCTCTAAAACTCGAAACCCCCCCCCCCCCCCACTCCTTTGGCTGAAAATTGGGTTAAAACCCAGAAATTCCCGCTCACACGGCCGTGCCGTGTGACTTTACCAGCTGTCCGTGTGAGTGTCAAAACGCGGAGTTTCGATTAAGTGACTTCCAGGCCTGCTGCAAGGCCACAACCCACACGGCCGTGTGGATTTCCAGGATGCCCGTGTGAGTTCCCTTGAATTTCCACATGGCCACAAGGGGTCCCCTACACGGCCCGTGTGATTTTGCCCGTGCAATTTGATGTCACACGGCCAGGTCACACGGCCGTGTAGGTTTTTAGGCGTGCCCGTGTGGCTCCATCAGCTTCTCGCCAAATGTCCAATCTTCGTCCAATCGACCCCGAACTCGTTTCCAAGCTTTCATTCACGTACTAGGACCTGAAATATCACAAACAAGAACAACCTAGCGTGAAATCGGCCTAAAACGCGAGAATCGACATCTCAAATGGTTCAAGAATAGGGGTAAAAACATGTGTAATCAATGGTCTATCAGGCGCCTAATTAGAAAACTCAAAACTATATCACTCTTTAAAAAAATAATTTAAGGAAGTATTTTCTTTTATACTTTTCTATCTAAAATTTATGATATTACACACGAACAAAAAATTAATCTAGTAATATCACTACTAGTTTGAACCTTCTAATTTAATTTTCTACGCACATCATTGAAGAAGCGGAAATTATTATCCTTATAATCGTTATTTCACACATTTACTTCAGTGGCTGGTAGGGATGGCAATGGGGCGGGTTTGGCTAAACTATCCCCATCCCGGCATCCCAGCTTTCAAATATTTATACCTATACCCGCCTCATACGCCATACTCATGCGGGGAAAGATTTTGCAAACCCATCCCCATACTCATGAGTTTTGGGTATCCATGGGTAATACCCGCCCCGTACATCCATCGTTATAATACCAAATATTTTACATGTAGATTTTCAATTATTACATTAAACGCATATACTATATCATGAAGTCGACAAAGAGACAATCATTTTTAATATGATCCAAAGCATCCATTAATCTCTATCAAAGTAGAGTACAATGTCACCCAAATCATTATTCTCTACTCTCATACATCTATTAAGTAATAATTAACTAATATAATCTTCTTAATAAGGGAAAAAAGTGAAAGAGTGAAGGGAAAATTGAGAGAAAGAAATTAGATTTTGATTTGGGTGGCCACTCAATTGTATTTCTACTATATATTTTTCTTGAGTTATACTCATTATTATTGATAGGTTACAAACTGATTCACATATTTTTCATATGTGAAGAAATATTTTTGGTGGGGCGGGTATGTGTATGAGTATGGGGCGGGGAGGCTAAAACCATACCCGCCCCATACCCATCAAATTTTTTGTGGATTTTACCCATACCCGCCCATATCCAGTCAATACAGGGATTCCCGCGTTGACTGAGTCGGGAGGCGGTCGGATATCCGTGAGCATGGGTTTGATTGCCATCCCTAGGGGCTGGTTTCTTCAAAATCTACAAGTTCGGCTACTCATTTGCTTGTGACCAAACTCCAATATGATCAAATGAATGCAATTTCCAAACATCCCAAAAGAATTGACACTACCATTCGAATATTTCATTTGCATGACATGCACCTAAATATATTTCAAAAAAAGGGAAGGAATTCCAAGGCAACAAGCAGCAAAGCTTCGCTCTTTTCTTTCCACCCCCACAAAAGCACCAATACCAAGAAGCTGAACAGCATTCATTTCCCCTTTCATTTGCTTTCCTCTCTTTTTCAGGTACTTCCAACTTTATTACCTCTCTGTGTTCTACTTCTTCTTAAGCCAATTCCCTCTTCTCATTCATCCTCAGCGCCATCCACTATATCTATCTATCTCTACACAATTGAGAAGAAGCAAATACCTCTCTCTAATGGCGTCCGCAGAAGGAAAAACAGAGCCTCCCAAACCAGAGCCTCCTCAAACAGAGTGCCCTCCAGGTAACCAAGGAGTTCCAGAAGAGAAGGAAAATACCCCCAATCCTCCTCCAGAGCCAGCTCTGAAATACAAGGTAAGAACACAAAATGAGAAATTTCATCTCTTTGTTTCTTTTGTCAAATACCAATCTCATGCATTTTCTTCCCCCATTCCAGACATGGGTTTTGAAGGTCTCTGTTCACTGTGAAGGATGCAAAAGGAAAGTGAAGAAGATCCTCAATAACATCGATGGTACTCTGTTTATTCTTTTCCTCTGTTCTTCAATACTCTGTTTCTTCCCCTTATGTGAAATAAAAATCCTGTCTTTGAAATACTGCAGGGGTTTATACGACGGACGTTGATCTGAGGCAGCAAAAGGCGACCGTGATCGGAAATGTCGACGGAGAAACTCTGATTAGGAAACTGGTGAAGACTGGGAAGCACGCGGAGCTCTGGCCGGAATCCAACCCCGGCGAACAGAAGAAAAAGAAGAAGAAGAAGAAATCCAAGGAGAAAGAGAAAGAAAAACAGGAAGACAGCGATGAAGAAGGTGGAGAAAACGAGAAACCAGCAGCTCCTCAGGTTCAGGATCCTTCTAAAAGCAGCGAAAACGGCGGCGCCGTGAGAGTTGGGGTTCAGTTTAAGGAGATGAAGATGGGTTCATTAGCAGAGCCTCCGGTGGTGGAGAAGGCAGTCGGGTTCGACGGTGGCGCCGCCGAGACAGGCGGTGGCGGCGCTGCTAAGAAGAAGAAGAAGAAGAGGAGAGGGAATAAAGCTAGCGGCGGCGGAAATGGAAACGCCGGTGGAGAGGAAGGCGAGCAGCAGCAGCAGCCGCCCTGCGATGCGCCGCCACGCAGCGGATCTCCTCCTCCTCCCACTCACGGTGGCGGTGGTGGTCAAACGCAGGTCCACGGACCGTACCCGGGGACCAATCACCAGCCGCCACATCACCACCCGTATCAATTCCCTCCGCCACACTATCACTACGCGCCACCGGTTTACGCGGTGAGCTACAATACGGCGTACCCCAGCACAAGCTACGGTGCGTCCTACTACGCTCCTCCGCAATATTCCTACGCGCACGTCCACCCGCCGTCGGATCGGGAGCCGTGCCCGGGCTACTCGTCTCGTCCGTCGGATTCGTTCGAAATCTTTAGCGAGGAGAATCCCAATGCCTGCTCAGTTATGTGACATAAAATGGGGATGAAGGCTAATACGTTCTTGTGTCAGTGGGTCTTTCTTCTTAATGAGTTTACGACATGGGACCAATATTTTTGTTATGGGAAGTGGTAAAACTGTAAAATTTGTGGGGGTGAGACAAGAGATTAGGGGTTTTCCTTTTGTTAACTTTGTTTTTACTGTACCTCTTGTTTTTATAAGGTTAACTTAGTTCCTAGTTGAACTCTTCTTCTCAAGTTTGGGTATATGTTGCCCTTAATACTACGTAAGAGATTCGAACTTGAGATCTTAAGATTCAGGACTAGAAATATTATCTCGCGTTTGAATTCTTCGTATTACGATTCTTAATACTAATAGTAGTTATCCAAAGTATATGGAATATGCATGATAGATATTATGGGAAGTTTTTAAGTCTATATATTGGATTTCATTGAACCAGTTGTCAAACACTAGACATGCAATTAAGAAAATGTAAGAATGCATGTGAATATTTTTTTTTTTACAAAAGATAATCATATATATTGATTGAAAAAGAGATCATTACATCCTGGACCGAATCCAGCCCACAAAATCAAAAGGGCAACACAAGGTCGGGTACAAGAAAATGGCCTTACGAGCCACCAAATGGGCTACCCTATTACTACGCCGACCAACAAATCGCACCAAAAACCCTATATGCTCAGACAGGTAGCTTAAAACATCACGGAAGATGGTCCCAGCACGACTATCACTGTTCTAAGCTTGGTTAAATCTATCAATAACGACCTTAGCATCTCCCTCGAACCGAACCACCGACAAACCCCTCTGAACGCACCAAAGGACATCTTCCCGAAGGACCAAGAATTCCACCAGCATGGGGTCATCGTGTCCGTCAAAATGAACAGCCGATACCACTAAAACCACCCCATCAAGATCCAGAAGAACCCAACCCTAGCTGCATGAGACCATTTACAATATTGAAATGAGGTGAGAATCGAGATGGCAAATTTTGGGGAAGGCAAATGTTAAAAAATCTGTATTGCTATTGTCGTTACGCAAAACATGCAAGCAAAGGAATTGCAACATCTTCGAGGCGTGACTTTTTGGAAAGCATGAATGAATATTCAAACTTTACACCTCTCATCTTTAATGGCCCCAAAAGCATTATTCTGATCCAAATTGAACAAGCTAATAAGTTAGGCATGTGAGTTAGTTATCTCGATTAGTAAAAAGGTTGATCAATCGGTTTTAGTTGCTATGGACCTTTAATTTAGGCCAAATTCACTTGTATAGCCAAAACTTTGACGGTTGTGACAAATATAGCCACTTTTGGAGAAATACCAGAAATAGCCAGGATTTTGAAAGTTCGATGACAAATATAGCCATTTCCGTTAAATAGTTTGACGGCGTCAATGACACCGTTAGTCTATTTAACGGACAGATGATGTGGCTGCCACCTCACCTTGTGTTTCCTTACCACCTCAGCATCTATTGACATGTGGGATGCCACGTCATTTATAATGGGTAAAAAAAATATCCGTTCTCTCTCTCGTTTTTTTTCTTTCTCTCTCGTTCCCTTCGCCAGACAACTCTCACTTCTCTTTCTCGATTTCTTTCTTTTCTCCTCCAAACCCACAATCCTCCGAACCGAACCAAAAAGGGGCTTCGCCTTGTTCTTCTTTTCTTCGATTTACCCCTTTCCCTCTCATTACTTCTGGAAAAAACGATCGAAATCCAAGACCCTTTCTCTTCATTTCTCACCAGAGATGGAGATGGTCGAGTGAAGAAATAGAGAAGAGGACTCTGCTCTATCCCAAATCCTCGCCGCCATCAAGCATCTCTCTCCCCCGATTGAATCAAATCTGGAGCTCGTCGGGTCTCGGGAGTCTCAAATTTCTCGTCGAAGCAATGGGGGAAGAAGGGATTTATGGGTAGCCAAGAGACGCCGTCGACTCCGACGAACCACCTTCCTCTTCTGCTTTCCGTCGCCGCCGCTAATTGCTTCCCCACCGTCGCCCCTACATACGCGTCGCCTCTGACGAATCGCCTTCCTCTAACGCCTTCCGCTGTCGCCTCTAGCCGCTTCCAGTTTCACAGATCTAGAACAACCCCAGTCATCGTAAGAAATCGACCTGGGTTTTCAATTTTGGGTTCCCAGGAGGTTTCTCGAACCCTCTTTGTTCCTCTTTGCTGTATCTTTGTTCGCGCCCAAAAAGCCAACGATGGAGAGCAGATTGAAGAAATCGTGGAGCCAATACCGTTGTTGGAGCTCGCGATAGATCGATAACGGCATTACGGTTTCAATTTCTGGATCTGTGATTTTTCAAAGAGGAAGTCTGGTGCTTGCTGCTCTGCCTCAACAACATGATTGAGCGCCTCCTGGTCTTCCCGGCTCTCGAGCTTCTCCTTGTTCCTCTTCCCCAGCCGCCACGATCCCGTTCGACAGATCCTCTTGTTCAGTTTTTAATTCTCTTAAACCAGAACTAGCAGCTTCAACTACGAGGGTAGAAGGTGAACAGGCGGAGAAGAGATGGGTTTTTTTTATCTCTAGGGTTGGGAGATGCTCGTCGGCGCCACCACTCCGCTACCCACTATGACTCGCCGGAGAAGAGATGACATTTTCTTTTTGGTTCTAGGGAATTTTTGTTGAGGGTAGATGTTAAACAGGCGGTGCCGCGGTGCCGCGATGGTGGTGAAGGTTTTATTATTTTTATGATTTTATTTATTTAATTTGAATAACTTGTTCGGCGATAAAAGCCACGTCGGATGTTCCGTTTGTCCACTCAGCCTGTTAACTAACACCGTCAAACAATTGGACGGAAGTGGCTATTTCTGGTATTTCTCCAAAAGTGGCTATATTTGGCAAAATCGTCAAAGTTTTGGCTATACAGGTGAATTTGGCCTTTAATTTACCGTGTAATGTCAAGAGAAGTAAGCAAAGTTGTCTATCAATCAAATCACATAGTTTTCTTTCTACAAATAAGGAAGAATGGGTAGGAAAGAGCAAATCACTCAATCAGAGATTGTTGGTGTATCTCTGTAAATTTCATATTGCATGAAAGTGTATCAAGAGAAATGAAGGTCTGGACGCTCAAGGAGTTAGTCGTGCAGACTAAGAAGAAGAAGAACTATATGGTTAAAATCAAAGGCTATCAAGTCAACCAAGGGGTTGGTCTAGTGGTATCATGTATGAATCTCTTAAGTAACACCTAACTATAAAAACAAATATATATCACCTTTATAAAAATAAATTAAAGCAGGCAAGGGTTTTTCTCTCTCGTTTAGCGAGGATTTAGGAGCGGCAGAAACCCTAGGTTTTCCGCAGACAAATCGACAATCAGTATACTATTAGAATATGGTTTTCAAATAGAAGGCCGGAGTTCGTTTCCGGATTAACGAGCATGTTATTGAAGCGACTGAGTAATATCTAAACGATAGTGTAACTGTTGGAGATTGATACAAGTTTTTGATTTTTTGGCAAAAAAGAGGCAACTAAACCCTAGAGAGACTCCTTTGGTTTAGTTGACAGCAACAAGGACGTGATTGTGATACAAGGCAATGGCCAATGCGGATAACACATAGGATGTAGTTGTTCCTGAGGAGGAACCCCAGGAACTCTGGAGCACATTCGAGAATCTAGAAGTAAAACTGGATTAGATCACTCTGGTGGATGACGAGACACCACAAAGGAGGTAGAAGATAGTGATATGGGTGTTGTCAGGATGGAAACGGTGCGCTAGCTCGAACTGATAGGACAATTAGTTGCTGAAAAACAATCGAATGTGAAATCGATGAAAATAGCATTAGCAAAGGCATGGAATCTCAAAATGGGTTCTAGATTACATATTTGGGAGATATGCTATTCGCTTTTCAATTCATTGATATGGATGACCAGAACAAGATTTGCTATGGCGGCCCTTGGCATTACGAAAATAATGGCATGGTGTTTATGACAAGATTACTGATCAAGAAACCAACCCCTGAAGCTCTCCATATGATCAACATATGGATCCAGATAAAGGAGTTCCCAGCAGAACTCAAAACCTAGAAGATGACAGAAAACATAGCAAACTGATTAGGAGGAGTTTTGTAACAATTTGCAATGGGTACAAGTGTGGCAATGCCAGAGAGGAGAAGTAAGAATAGGGTCTGAAGTATACGGGATCAGACAACACAAAGAACCAGTGCTCCAACCCAAGTAACACCGCAAAAAAAGGGCTGCAAAAGCCACTGAGGCAGAAGAAATACAAGAGCTAGGACAATGCTTGTAGGCTTAGAAAGCGAAAGTTTTGACTTTCACATGAAAAAATGAATCTCTACCACCACCAAACAATACCAACAATAAGGATGGCGAAGAGTAAGACTCTGCCAAGGAGCAGAGTCGTCCAGCTCAATGAGTCTATTGAGCTACAACTTCAGGGGTCTCGGCAACACCCCTACTGTTGCAAAAGTGAAGGTGTTATTATGCATGATAAATCCCGACAAATACTGATTGAACAAAAACATATTTCATACCTGTGATATGTGTATTCGTCATTTTCACAACTTGTATTCAAAACACATATTAGAAAACATATTCGTTTTGAAAAAAAAAAATTGGATTGAACAAAAAAAAAATTGGATTGAACAAAAATCATATTCGAATTTAACAAAAAAACATATTTCATGCGTGTGATATGTGTATTCGTCATTTTCACAACTTGTATTCTCCAAATTTTCACTAGCTTCTCTCATTTACTTTTCAGATTGTGGGTCTCAACTTATACTATCTTTGTCAGCTACTTTTCATAACATGAGCCCAACTTTCACTAACTATTGCTAATACGAGCATAATTGTGCTTGTTTGAGATCAAAGCGCGCAGCACGACTCCGACGAAGAAAGAATCGAAAACTTGAACAAAATTTAAAACGAAAACGGCCAAAGGTGCAACTTCACACTTGGGAAGAGGCTCAATTGGTTTAGGTCGAAGCTCGACCACGATTGATGCGGTCTCAATCGATTTGAAGCGATCACGAAATTGAAACTCAACCAACAACGCAAGGTTTGGTGACAAAGGTCACAATTTTCATTCAATTCAACTCTCCTTTACACGAGGCTTTCAAGCCTTCAAATAGACAATTGACAACGCAAATTGAACTCTAAACTACTAAGGAAATCGAATCCTAACTCTAAGTTAACAAGGAAATAGAATCCCAACTTGAAAAGGAAACAAAACTCAATTACTTCTCCCCCAAGATTCTGCCTTCCTGCACAAGTATCCAAATCGTGCGCCATAGCTTCTTTGTAGGCCTCGATCATGGCCTTTCAAGGAGATTCGGTCCAAATGGCCTTCAATTGTTTGTTCTCATGTTCTTATAGTTCAATTTCCAACTCTCCTTGCCCATCGATAATCCTCCATTTGCATGGAATAAGACTCCAACTCTATGGCCGGCAGCTTGATTTTCGGCGAGTGCCTCAAAAAATCAACTTGAAGAATCATGGCACTCCACAACAGTTGAACCCTTGGGTCGCGTTTGTCCCTCGTGCAGGATCCGTCGTTGATTATTTCCTGCCTTGGAATCCCCTCGATCGACTCCTGAACACTCTTTGCGATTTTCCCGCCACCGGAGAATTGAAAGTTCCCAGAATCCGGTGGAGCGAACCAAGAATTTGGCAACCTAAATTCGATATTGGGGAAAACCAATTCCGCCATGCTTCGACACCATCCTAGGGACTCCAGGAGTTGAACCCAAGTGGTCAATTGCATCGAATCATCACCAATCCCCACAACCGATTCACCCTTCTCGGTCGCGTTATTCTTTGTATTTTGGCCTGAAATTTGCGAATTGGGGCTTTTTGATTCGTCGTGATTCGGCCCCAATTGCTCATCGCTACACGTTCCTGGACCATGATTGATCATTCCTACATGGCTGGTTTCGCCCGAATCGCTCTCCACCGTTTATGAAAATGAAAGCTCGGCACGTTTATGAAAATGAAAGCCAAGTTCGACTCGAGCTCGGCTCATCAAATAAGTTTAACAAGACCACAATCGAGTTCAGCTCATAAAATGTTCATGATAGCTCAAGATTGACCTAGAACTTAGCACAAAATTACATTCAAACCTGTAGCAAAGTCTATCAAAGTAAAACACGATATTTATCCCAATTTCAATACATAAAATCCATGATTCTAATCCTTTTTTTATGCCAAGCCATTAAATGAGCTTGTTCGCGAGCTTTCGAGATGAACATGGTATGACTCGAGTTCGGCTCGTTTAGTTAACGAGCTTGTTCGCGAGTCAGCTTGATTAAGACGAATCGAGTGTCAAACGAGTTTTTCTCGAGTCGGACACCGAGCCGTTCATGAGCGGCTTAGTTCATAAACAACCCTAATCATCAGTAGTCCAACAAACTCTTTCTTTCTTGCTTTTTTCATGTCGATCTTGTTGGGGCGTTCCTTGAATACAATATGGTGGATATTGAGGAGTTTGAAACTCAGCAGGAATGGTTTGAGAAATTGGATCCTCATTTGGTGATTGTTGAGAGAAATTTGATTTTGACATTTGTGGGTAATTTTGTTGGAAATATGGATGGCTGGAATTTGGATACATAGGCATACGAAAATTTTCTTGACTTGAAAAATAAGGAGAATTCATATAAGGGATAGGAAAAGGGTTAACAGGAGATTCGGGCTCCTGACTCTCATTACTTGGAATATTAGACGAACCTTGTGAGAAGGGAAAAAATGGATTGTAGGATGGACGTGATGGATCCATTTCTTCATAAACAATGAAAGTTTGAAAGCAGAGGAGAAGAAAGAAGATGAATAGTAATGTGTAATAGGTTGAGAGCATTACCTATTTATTCATGACTCTACACTATATATAGATAAATAAAATACATCTACAAAGAACAATGATATCACTTCCCTGTTAGCTCACTCACCAAAATAATTGAGTAGTCCATTAGGTTGAGTAGTGAGTTGTCACTTCCCTGACAGCAAAATAATTGATCATTTTTGAATCGTTGGCTTGAGTACTGAATTGTTAATTCACTACTGGCAAAATCATTGATCATTTTTGAATCTTTGGTTTGAGTAGTGAATTGTCACTTCCCTTCCAGCAAAATAATTTAACATTTTTTTACCACTCAATGTCAGAAAATTGTCACTTCATTATCAGGGCACTTTGCAAATTCATTGAACACTTGTTGAATATGCTAGTAATGTGTATTATTGTCATTCTTGGTGGCTTTGCTGGAGGAGGCATAAAAGACATGTTTTGTCCTTTATCACTTTATCTCCATCATGTACCATGCTAGTAACTTTGTCAGAAGTAGTGTATGGAAACCCAATTTATCACTTTAAAATAATGATAAAAGTAAGAAATAATAAAGGTGCACTTTTGATCAATAAATTGTACCCATATATTCAGCATTGTAGGTCCATTGTTCTCACTATTCTCAAACGATACTCATTCAGAGATGAATTCTTCTACTTCATCGTCATCTTCTTTTAAATCAAAGAATCCATTTGAGGAAATCATTATCCAGTGGGCAGCAAATGATTCATGCTCCAAACTTATGCAACAATATGTTCAAATCAAAAGGTAGTAAATAGAAGATGAAGTCTCGTCTTCAAGACGTCTAAGGAGATAAATTGAGAGAGGTCGTGAAGATGCATATCAGCGCATATACCAAGACTATTTCTCTAAGACTCCCACATACATAGATGATATGTTTCAGCGCAGGTCTCGAATGCAGAAATATTTGATTCTTCGCATAGTCGAATGTGTGATGAAGTATGATCCTTACTTCCATAACAATATTGATACTATTTGGCAAAGCAAGCCTATCACACCTAGTGAAGTGTACTGCAGCAATGCGCATGTTAGCATATGGTGTGGCGGCAGACAATGTGGATAAGTATTTACGAATCGAGGAGACAACTACAACAAAATGTGTCAAAAGATCTGTAAAAGGTGTCATTGCTACTTTTGGAGATGAATACTTGAGGAGGCGAAATGCTGAAGATATCGAAAATTTGCTTCATGTAGGTCAACAACGAGGTTTTCTAGGTATGTTAGGCAGTAATGACTGTATGCACTGGGAATGGAAAATTGTCCTCTTGCATGGCCAGGTCAATATGCTAGAGGAGATCATAAAACTCCTACTATTATGTTGGAAGCTGTAGCTTCACAAGATCTATGGATATGAAGTATTAGAAGGGAGAGCACCAGAAGTTAACTATTACGTCAATGGAAAAAGTTACAACTTGGGCTACTACCTCACTGATGGAATCTATCCAAACTGTGCAACCCTTGTTAAGTCAATCACGCTGCCACAAGGACCGAAACATAAATTAATTGCTAAGAAGCAAGAGTCAGTCAGAAATGATGTCGAGAGAGCATTTGGGGTGCTGCAATCATGATTCACCATCGTTAGTAACCCGACATGGGTATGGTGCAAGAAGACAATCGGGGAAATAATGAAAGCATGTGTAATCATGCATAACATGATTGTACAAGATGAGCGAGATTCATATAATTGTCATTTTGATTATACAGATGATGGGGTGAATTTCAATGTATACATGCCTACAGTTTCTCAAACTCGGCTGCCAGAGTATGAAGAGTATCTCCATAATCATTTGAGAATTCGTGATAGGTCCAAAAACCATCAACTTCAAGCAGATTTAGTTGAAAATTTGGAATCGATTTGGAGGAGAGGAAGATGACGAGTAATCTAGTATTTTTCATTTTGATTTTTTTGTATTTCTTTTTGCATTTTTTGTATTTCTTTATGTAATTTTTCTTTATTTTTTTGTGTATGCTATGTATTTGTGTTTATTGAATTTTCAAAAGTCTATGATCTATTATGCAAAAGTATTGTTAAGAAAAAGAATATGTAGTAGGTCCCATCAATTTCAAACATATTGTAGAGATGTAGGTAGATTGAAATGATTGAGGTGAATAATTGCTAAAGTTGCTAATGTGGCTGTGAGGTCCATTTATAAAATTGTTAACCTATTGCAGAGATGGAGATGCTCTTACAAATTTTTCCTAGTATCATCTAACAACCATTATCAATCAAGATCGCACATCAAAGAGATATTTGACAATATTAACGTCGACGAGCCTTACAAGTCAAGAAAATCAGCTGTAGTTGAAACAACAAATAGAATAGCAGGTTCATTGTGGTTACACACCTGCAAGCCGACCTACCCGTCCAATTCGACCCAACCTACCCGTATTTATCGCTAAAATGAGGGGTCGTTTGCTTCAAGGATTTTACAACGAGGGTTTTGTCATGGATTTGCTAATTAAAAACCTTGGAATTTATTAGGGATTTTGGGCATTATGGATTTGAGGAAATCCTTTGTTTGTTGAACTATTTTTATCATGGATTTGATGAATTGGGGTTTATAACTGAAAAGGTTAAATTATCTTATTACCCTTGTTCAGCTACCAAAAACAGGGTCGGATATTTTTGTTTTCTTTCCTTCTTCATAAGCCCCCACGAAAGACTCTTTTTCACCATCACTTCTCCAATCGTGACGCATCTGCAGAGGCAACGACAAGGTGCTGCTGTTTGCTTCGGACGAAGGTATGTTTGAACCATCTTCCATTTCGCTTTTCCCATTTGATTCTTCATTTTGAGTTCGATTTCTCCTTTGATGGCAGTGGGGATTCCAATTAGCAAATCCAGTCATCTCATGGAAAGTAAAGGGAAGTTTGTTAGAGTTCCAGAGGCATTCTGTTATGAGGAGGAAGAGGTTCTCTGTTATTGCGGGCTGAGGGCGGCTAGAAGAATCTCTCGTACTGCTGGGAACCCTAACCGCAAGTTTTTTGGATGCCCCCTGTTCAGTCGCTCAAAGGATAACAAATCCTGTGATTACTTTGAGTGGTTTGACATTAGAGCTGCGGTATTCAAAGCAACTGCACCGCTGTCTGAAATGGTTTCGATGTTGGAATCTGAAAATAGGGAGCTACGCAGTTTGTTACAGAGGGTAATGAAAGATGGTTCTGGAAAACATCAACCGAACGAGTTTGTTGTTGAGCTAGAACTCATCAAGCAGAGGATACAACGTCTAGAGTTAGTTGTTTCAGCTTCTTGTGCCTTGATCTAATGTTTGGATCAGCTTTCACTCCACAACCAGGATCCTTCTTGTTCATCATCACGATCAAATATGCTATCTAGAGGTCAATTGGGAGCTCTGCTAATCTCTCGCTTTTTCAAGAGTAATAGCTCAAACAGTTCAAGCAACAATGACAAATAAGTCAACAACAATCCTAAAACAACTCTAATTGTTGCCAAAGCTTCTCTGTTGCGCGCATTAGGCACCCTGTTCAGTCTAGCCATTCCTTTACAACACACAAAATGGATAATAATTAGCTATGAACAAACAAATACTGAACTGTCCACCAAGACAGAACTCACCAATCAGAAAATCATAACCTAAGAGTGCTACAAATGAACCAAAATAGCACAAAAACATAATGCTTCAGAGACAACGAAATGGGATGCTGGGAATCATCCATCTCTAGGATTGCTCGAAGAACCAGATGGAGTTTGCAAAAGAACCAGAGACCTGCTTACCTCGGTGTTAGGTCCGCCGTTTAAGGTTATCGACGGCAAAGTTTTTTGGATGCCGACGGAAGCACCTGCCCTTCGTCGGTGGCGAGCGCCAATAAAAAAGGAATCGCGCGAAGGAGGAAGAGGTTCTCTGCTTCTGTTTTAGGGTTGCTGGTGCCGAGTGGGAATAGGAGAAGCCGAGTGGGTAGGTTCTCTGCTAATAATATAAAAAAGGGCAAGGTTGGAATAATGAAAAATAATGGGGATAGAGTAGTAATTTGAGAGCATGGTTTTTTAGCTTGTTTCCAAATCCCAGGGTATGAGGTGCGATTTATAAAACCGTGGGCCCCACGGATTTGGATTCAAAAAAAAATCCCAAATCCTTGGGACCCACAGATTTATCTAAACATGTTTTGACAAAACAAACAACGGATTGTGTCTAAATCCATGATGGTAGGTTTTTTGGTACCAAATCCATGGTACAAATCCTTGAAGCAAACGACCCCTGAAGGTTTTGGGTTGGATAAGGATTTTCTTTTGCACAACCCGTCTCTTTGGGTCGGGTGTGGATTTTGGATTACACAACCCGTAGAACCTGACCCAACACGTGTTCCAATTATTGAATATGAGTTCATATCCAAAAAAATATGTATGTCAAATATAAGCATATTTATGAGAAATTAAGATATTTCACCATGTTTTTCTCTCATGGTCTCCCTAATATAATGCATTCTTTGGTTTAAATTTTAGAAATAGATTTAATATAGCTACAATTTTAATAAAGTAACATATTATAGATGCGTTCGTTTATAACCTTTTTAGCCTATTTCGATAAATATCGTGAAAAAACTAGACATATGTTGAAGTAAATCACAATATTTGCGCATTTTAATACCTTCACATCAGATTATTCGTTTGAAATTTTAATTAGTCATATAATATATTTATGGTGTAGAATAATTACATTTTTTGTATTGGGTTGTGTTTTACTTAAAAATATTGTCAACCCGACCCAACCAAATTAGAAACAAACCGGAGTATTTAAATTTTTTTGGGTTGATTTGGATTTCCGATTTCATATTTCCAAAACCATAGTTCATGGATATGATTAAAATGAATAAACCTGAACCACCCGGCCCATGTGGTAGAAATAGGATAGATTGTTCCCATCTTAACAATTATTGTCTATCACACTGGGCCTCAGACGACCTAAAGCAGATTGAAACGCAAAAGAGAATCGATCAACAAACACCAAAAATAGAATTCCAACCATAAGCATTTAGTCAAATGAAGCTGAAATTTCATAAGCTGAACGTAACATCAACCCAGCCAACAAAATCCACAAAATTGCGACAAAAAAGTATCATCCATTACACTCAATTCGCTCCATCCCTCAACTAAATAATGGCTTCCTAATTGCAAGTAAAATCATTGACGCAGTTCGGCTTTCTTCTTCTGCCACAGCCTGTCGAGGGCACTGTCACCATCACCCTGCAACATAGCCAAGTAGAGCCCAAGAGATTAACAAAACAATCAAGGACCACAATTGAAGTTACGTCGACCCAAACCAAAACATAAACATACTCAAACAAACTACTACATTAATAGTACCAACTACTCCAACTTAATGAAGCAGCAGCACAGCAGTTCACAGTATCGACCCAGCAAAACCCGAATGACTGGGAGATTGAGTTCAGCATGCTACTACTACTACTATCATAAATCGTATTCAGAGTTCCATTCGACCAATGGAAAACAATGAGCACATAAAGTGCTCTATTTAGAGTTAACTCTGTCTCTGTCTGGTGACCTGTTATCTATTATCATTGAAAAATCAAATGAAGACCTAATTCAGTGGTTGGAACTTGGAACACTACAGGCATGAACTCTCTGAATCCCATTCAATCAACTGGAATAAACAATTTCACTGCCATAGATGTTTGCGATAATTGGCTTTCCTAACCCTAGATTATCATATAGAAATACCTAGATTCTTTGAGAGACAACAACAGTCCGCAATACTACCTAGCACACAAACAAGTAGATACCCTAGCAATATGAACCATGGAGACAGAATACCTGAGCTCGGACGAAGCCACAGAGAGCATAAGTGGTGAACTGGCCGGTGTAACGACCGTTGGCATCCAAATGACCGACGTTAACCTGGACGGAGGCGTGATCCTTGGAGGTAATCAGCCTGTTGGTGGCAGAGCTGCAAAGCAAAACAAAGGCAAAGCTTAAGCTACTAGTTCTTTCGGAGAAAAAACATAAACTTTGATAAAAAGACTTAACCAAGGTTAATTCAATCACTCACCATTTCCTTGGGATGTAGAGATCAATGTCCTGACCTTCTTCGTTCTGCATCTTGGTTGATTGATCGAAACCCCGCCGGAAACAGCAAATTTCAGCTCAAGCCTGTTTGAGACCAAGCAACCAGAAATCAGAACGACGAAATTGAACTCCCAATAGCTAAAAGATTAAAGAAACGATTTAGTATTAACAGCAGACGGAGCTAAGGAGGAGGAGAAGAAGAATAGATGATTACCGTTCAGAGAGTCGAGAGAGAAACTGCGGGTTGAGGGTTTTGAGCTCAGAGGCAGAAAATTTTCCTTCGCTGCCCTATATATCCCCTTCCGCCAAAAACCCTAAGCCGCCAGTTTGGGACTGATGAAGGCCAATTCCTATCTGGGCTTTTCTATGCTTTGGCCCATACAATTAGTTAAGGCTTTCAGCCCAGCCTGGAGAATATGAGATTATCCATGAATTCGGAATGGAAAAACTGGAGAAAAAAAAAAACGAATTGTAGGAGGGTGAACGAATTGGAGCAATTGCGCGCTTGAAAAGTGCAGCTTTGAGCTTTCACTTCTTCTTCTTCCCGCCCAGCAATCTCTGCGTGGCGGCGCTGAGATCGGCGGCTAGAGACGGCGAATCGGTCGTCAGAGCGATGGAGTTCAGCCTGAGCGGGAACGGATTGAAAACATTTTCCCGGTGCATCACATGTCTAGCTCGTATCGGCAACGAGCTTGCCGTTGAAGCTTCTTCTTCTCAGGTAAAAGCTATCATCCGAGCTACCTTCTCTATTTCGAGCTTTTTCTGCAAGTTTTCGCTGGAGGAATTCTATTTCCATAAACTTGGTGAAGAAATTAGTGATTGGAGTTGAGCGATTCCGCCTCTGGATTAGTTTGGTCGCCGGGAAGCTGAAGGAAAATTGGTGTTTTGAGTTTACTCTTCGTGTCGATATTTTTACCCCTCTTGCGTTGATTATTGTGTTGCGTTTACTATTTTTCAGCTGGAATTTCACACTCTTAACTCGTCGAGATCTGCGTATCAGTCTATTACGTTCAAGCCTGGCTTCTTCGATGTTTATACGATATTCGGCGCTCAGGTCAAATTCAGCGTGCTTGTGAAGGTATAGTAGTAGATTCATTGCTGTTTGGTTCAGGAGAAACGTTGAAGGATCTGTATCAGTTTCTGAATGGCGCTGATTCTTGTTCTTACATAATCCAGGCGGTTTGCGCTGTCCTTAGGACACCTATTCAAAGCATCGATCATCTCAGAGTTCAGTTGCCTGATCCTGATGCTTCCAAAGTGCAATGGACCTTGGAATGCAATAACGGTAAAATGTCCTTATGAAATAGTATTATATTTGATGGCTTCTGCTCTTTTCTGAAACGTTTGGTGATATGTGTATGCTCGTCTTCCTGCAATTTGGAATGATTCATTCACTGGATAGTTTCTATAAGTGGATGCAGTCATGTAAGGTTTCATTTTGCACCAGCGTGACTAGCTAGACATGTTGAGATCTCACGTGAGATTTGGTTTTCTTGAAATCGGACTAGCTTTTATGTGCTCTCAGTGTGCTCCGAATCAAATGTTTCATTGACTATGCTCCTTGAAGGTTTCAACCATATTCATAATTGATATAGTGCAGGTATGAGAAAGGCCTATTCAATTACTTTCCTGAAGCGATTGGTGATATGTGTAATATCATCTTCCTGCAATTTGGAACGATTCATTCACTGCCTGGTTTCTATAAGTGGACGCAACCATGGAAGGTTTCATTTTGCATAAGCGTGTATAGTTAGACATGTTGAGATCACATGTGAGATTTGGTTTTCTTGAAATCGGACTAGCTTTATGTGCTCTCAATGTGCTCCATTTTCTGTTGGAATGATTCATTGACTATGTTCCTTGAAGGATTCAACCATATTCATAATTGATATTGTGCAGGTATGAGAAAGGCCTATTCAATTACTTGCAATGTTGAGCCCGACATACAACATCTGGCTCTTGATAGGAATGGTTTTCCAAGCAGCTTAATAGTCAGACCGCGAGATCTAAACAGACTTCTAGCAAATTTTCAATCATCACTTCAAGAGATAACGATCATTGCAACAGAAACTACTTCTTTGCCTTCTGATGCTGATAGTGAAACAGGAGAGAAAGCTGTTGAACTCAGAAGTTATATTGATCCAACAAAAGGTCAGCTAGTTTCTTGTGAGTTTACTAATGACTTGAATGGAGAGTATCTTACTGCAGTTCTGCTTACTGTAGACAATGACTCTTCGCTGCACACTCAATTATGGATAGATCCTACAGAAGAATTTGTCCACTATAATCATGTTGGAGACCCTGTTGATATCACATTCGGAGTAAAGGAATGGAAGGTGGAATAAGCTAGTTTCCTGTGCGGCATTGTTTGTGATATTCATGCATTTTGCAAGATCTTGATATTATGCACATGTTGTTTAGGATCAGTAGGGAAGCACCTTCTCTCTCTTGTCTCAAATAAATACTATTAACTTATCCATATTTGTGGCCTGCAGGCATTCGTTTCATTTTGTGAGAGCTGTGAAGTCGACATACATTTATATTTTGAAAAGGCTGGGGAGTAAGTTTTGTTTCTCCCTCATCCCACACAGCCACATATTGCTATCTTAACTGCATTTCTTGTGTCATTTTATCTCATTTCACATTGCAACTCATCTTCTGACTTCCTCTGTTCAACATCCATTTCCACCCATTTGTATCTTTGTAATTGGTTAAGGTATTTCACTATTGGTAAAAATGTCGTAAAGAAATACTAGCTGATGAGATAACCTTTCTATATTTGGGTCAATGTCAGCAGAGTAGTGCATCAGCTATGTTCAAGATGTAGTAATTTGTTGGTTTTCTAGCACAGCATACCTGAAGATACATTGCAATTTGACCAAGGATCATTAGTTGGCAGTGGAATTAGTGGAAAGAAAAGTTGGTGAAGTAAGGCTTCTGTTACAGAACTCCAAGACAAGTCCTGGTTACTACTGTAAAAAATCTGCAATTTTCAGTTGGAGTGTGTAGAACAAAATTCATAGGTTGCTTTTACTGTCAGTCTCACTCATAATGTGCAACGTCAAAGTCAGGATGCATTAGTATATCTAACTATGAATATTATGTTCAACAGACCCATTTTAATGGCACCAAAAGTTGGTCTTTCTGATGCATCTGGTTCAAACTTCGACGCAACACTTGTTCTTGCAACAATGCTTACATCACAGCTTCGTGAAGAAAACCCCTCTGAACAACCACAACAAGCTGCCTCTATACCAGCTCAAGCAGTAAGACAGAAAGAGCCTCAAGCACAGCCAGAGAGTAGTCATAGAGCAACAGCTTCTGAGCATCCATCTGATCAAACTAAAATTTGGTCTGACCTTTCAGGTAAATACTCAGTTCCAATGATGATGACATTACAGTAATCTACCGAAGAATGAGTGCTTTGACTTGATACAGGTAGTGCAGCAAGAAGTGGTAGTGCTGCAGCTGAAAATAGACAAACTGCAGAAGACAGAAATTTAAGTGCCACAGATCTCAGGCAAAGTCAGAGGCTTGGCAGAATTCAGATATCAGAAAATGTACCTGCAGGAGCTCCTGCTGCATCGAGGTAATGTCTTCATGTATTTGTTTATTTCAAGTAGTAAAGATGAAGCAGTTAGTCTTTCCCATGCTGGGGCAGTATGACAACAGGCTGAACTGCAAACAACTGCAATCGCGTAACTGCAGAAAACAGACGTAAACCTTGGTATAATATTTTTCTGCTTAGAATTCAAAGCACTGGACGTATGCATGAAAATTTCACCATTGGAATACACAATCTAGCTCAGAATCAAATGTTTGAGCAACTTTACACCGTGACTTAACCAGGCTTCATCAACTTGGTCAGGTTATCATAGTCATGTTACAGTTAGATTCATAGTACACTAATCCATCTTTCTATATTCGAATCCTTATTCCTCTACTTCATCTTCAGGCACCATACCAGAGAGAAGGGTCCCCTGGAAGAAGCACAAGGTAAGAATAGAACTAGGTTTAGTTGAAGTAGTGAGTTCGAAACTTCAGCTTGTCTTATTAACTTACAAAAATTTTGTGGACCGCTTTCAGATACACCACAAGTTAATGATAATACATTTTCCCAACGTCATCCTAGTAATTGGGTCGATGCAACCGAGGTTGATGATGATGATGATGACAATGATGATGAAGATGAAATGTGTATCCAATCAACACCTCCATACTGTGAAGAACATTAGGAAAAGTGGTAAGGTCCATTTTCTGCAATTGGATTCTCCTGTATATGTTCAGTCGTAAGTGCATTGTTTCTGTACTTTATAACAGAGATTAGCACATTAAGTCCTGCTGGGTACTGAAAGTATCAACATATAGTGGCTTCTGGCTTGTAAGTGTAGGCTAGGATCATTTAGTTGCATAGGAACTTGCTTCCCCACAATTTTTAGACCAGCTTTGTAGTTGACGATGGGGTTTTAAGGTCTGTTACAAGCAACAAGCTTCTGGCCTTGGAACTGTTTTAGAAATCATTCAGCCCTTAAACCCATTCTCACAACCTTAATGATCTATCAGATATTCAAGGTTTGGTCTGTGATCACTGATCAGTAGAACTACACTATAGCTATCTGGCATTTCTGAAAGAAATGTCACATAAGAAAGCTAGTAATTTACATGTTAGGCTCCGAGATCTCTCTTGATGACTTAAGCTCCTTCACATTTCTCCTGTTCATCTACCACCAAGATCCTGGAACCGAACCTTGTATCTTTGCTTTCAGGTTGTTTTTCCTAGACAATTTACGTTCCCAACCTGAGTTATGAAATTGTATGCGGGTACATGTCAACCTCCTTGAGTTAGGTCATGATGACAATGACATATGCTTTCATGATCTCTCACATGGCCACACGACACATCACAGTATTTGCATTGAAGTCTTAGGCCACCGGTTATTGCAATATGCATGTAAGCATGACATCTCTTAGTCGAAATCAAAATGCTTAAAAGTCATATAGCTGCTGCCTTTCTTGAGTCTGCTATGCAAACCCTTCTCCCTCATCTGCTGTTTGGGATCACTAAAAATTGATTTGTTTTGATTTAGTGTGAGAAAGGGAAAAGAAAATTGACGATATGACAGCAGCAGCGCTGGCAAGAAGTTGGGTATACATATATATCAGCTCGAAGATGGGCCATTGCAGAGCTCCCACCATTAAATGCGTAAGGTAAGAACATGCTCTGATGTTTCAGCTACTTGCAATGTGCCTTTCGTACAGTTTTATTAAGAGTCTATTTTAAAAATACCCTGAAACAAGTGAGACCGAAGTCGATTATTGCCGTTATGCAGTCCTTGTCAGAGTGTCTCTAAGCGTGCACCAATTATTATCACCATTTTTATTATTGTTTTGCTTTGCTTTCTTGGGCTCTCCCAAAACCAAAAGGCATATCTTTCCAGTTTCCACTGGTCATATACTACGCCTGATATATGATGAATGAGGTAGTAATTTTTTTGGCATTTTTACTTCTGTACTAGATCAATGAATTGATCAACCTGAGACTCGTGGTGAATTTAGTAACCAGCATCGTAGAACCAACACAAGATCCAGGATCTAGAACGAAGAGAGAGAGAGAGAGAGAGATGAGATTTTGGATCCTGGGCTCTTCTTTCTAAGCCAGCTGGGTTTTTAGACAAAACCAAATGGCTGTGGGGCTCTGGGATCTGCTACTTGCTAGTTAAACTAGTATAAGATAGATACTAATAGCCTGATTCCCATGTCACGGGGACAGGAATATGTGGGATCCCTTTAGATGCCACCGTGGAGGATCTTACTTTGGCACTGCACTCTCATCTGGCATCAGCTAGATCCTTGAAAATAGCTTGCATGCCAGCCAGGGACGAAAGATATCAATTTAAGGATCGACAGAAACACGAGCTGGAGAATTGGATTATATTAGGCTGTGTTGTTGATGTGGATCATTAGTCACTTTTGTCAGGCCTGCGTTTGGATTGAATCTGCTTAAAGAAGAGTAGAGTTGCAATTGTTGGTTGCATGATGCGTCAGGATTTGAGTCTATTTATTTGTTTGTTATGTGTTGTTGTTATTAATGATAAGTGGGGCTGTTGTTCAAGTTTTGCGGGACTTGTTAATGATAAAATTTGGGGATTTCCATCAAGCAAAGACGTGATCGTTGGCCGTATCTTGATGTATATTAGGCATTTAGCAGGCTATCCAAACCAATACTGTTTTATGCGAAGCCAAAATCCTAGATTTATGTGGGGTTTTTTATTTTTATTTTAGTTTTTTAACACATGGCCAATTATTTAGGTTTTATTGTTGCGGGCTGGGAATTGGTCAAATTAAGCAATATTTATGCAGAGTCGGGAGAAAGGTTGCCAATTCGGTTTAACACCGTCGGATCAATCCCATTTTTTTTTTTTAGTATAATTCCTTGTTATGCATTTTGTAAAGTGAGCAAAAAAAACAGTGGTTTATTTTGGCGGAGAAAAAGAAAGAGAGAAGGTACGTGGCAGGGCATAGCTGGCTATGGAGACTGGTGTGGTGGGGTTTAGTTTTAAGTTTAAGAACGCGCATACACCGCACCGCACAGGGTCCCACATCTCTAACGGCTACGTGCGCGTCACGTCCGTTGGCCGCCCCCTCACCTTTGTTAAGTTAACGCCGTTTGATATTCACACATCACAGCAGCAGCACCCATTCCTCCCTTCCGCCTGACCTGACTGGCTAACTCCTTTTCTCTTTCATTTTTGCCAATTCTTTAGGGCACATCTCACTTAACTTACTGACCCTGGGGGCAGGCTTCTTCACGGGATTGTTTTTACTTCTCCTCCTCCAGTCCTCGGATCTTGTACTTGTTTGTAGACCGTTGAGGATCATTTCAAAAACATTGAAGTGTGGGCATGGGAACTTTCTAGCCACGGGGGAGAGCTCACATTTTGCACCCAAGGGTGCGCCGTGCGCATTTAGGTGAGCAAGGAGAGGCTATATATTAGGTGGAAGATTTAAGTGATTAGCACATTGAGTAAGAAAGAGGGAGGTGAGTTTTGATTAGGTAGTAGTAGTAATTACTGCCAGCATCTGATTTGATGTGTTCATATACTTAGTTTTGGAGCACGTGTTGCTTGCAGAAGTACTATCTTCCACATCCATGATAATCGAATCTTCGGAGCAATTACCGGATTCGTAATTGGTAAGTAACTTGCTTAAGTCACAGATTGATGTTATTCTTGGCCCCCTTAGCCCTAAACTCATGAACTTTAAGATTAGTGTTAAAGTATAACGGTGAATACGATTCAGAAAATATTATGTCAAGTAGTTCATTAGTTAGAGGGTAGAATATGCAATTGCGACAATATCAACTTGCAATTAACATCTTATAATGAAATCAATATATATCACTAATATATTAAATATAAAAAAAAAACATGATCTCAATCGCTTGAGATGATGATGGGCACAAACATGATCTCAATTGCATGAGATCATGATGCTACCCTTGAGACCGTGAAATTGCCTATTCAAGTGGAAAAACAAACAAACAAACAGCTTTGAATGGTGGTTAATTACTTTTAATTTCTACACTGTCTCATTGGAGGCCAAATGATGACGGAAGGAAAACGGAGTGTAAGAAAGTAACGGGGACGGAGATTTTGAGGTTGTATATGGGGTCGCCGAATCGGTAGGAGGAAAAGGCGGGAGCACAGCAAAACGTGTTTCGGTTAGAGCCGGCGATTCTTTGTTAGGGAACTCTATTGGGATTATTAGGTTGTGAGTATGACTAGGGCTGCAAATGAGCCGAGCTGTTCGCGAGCGGCTTGGTGTTCGATTCGAGAAAAGCTCGTTCGAAACTCGGCTTGTTAATAAATGAGTCGAACATGAGCTAAGCTTTCTTGAGCTCGTGAAGCTCGCGAGCTAGCTCGATTCGGTGGCTTGTTGAGCTAAACTCGTGAGCTGGCTCGTTAGAGCTCATAATATGTCTCAACATGTGGCTAGAGAGCCAACTCGATTACCGACTTATGGACGAATCAATCTATATTTTATGTTTTTAATTCATATGGTTGTTAAATTATATATCTCACCATATATAAAGTTTAAAACGTTGAGTATGTGAGCAAATATATCTTATTTTCTACTTTAAAAAAAAATTATGTATCATAAATTGCTTCGTTACTATGAAATAACATGATTTGGAGTAGTTAAAATTTATTAACTAAATGATATATGATACCAACAAAGTATAATATGATATTAGCTAACAAAATAAATCATGTGTATAATGATATACAAAATGAAGTATCAAATAAAAGTTAAGATTTTATTAAACAAGCTAGCTCGAGCTCGACTCGACTCGGCTCGTTAATAAACGAGCTGAAAGCAAGATGGGCGGTCACAACTAGGGCGGCAAATGAGCCGAGCCAAGTCGAGTTTTACGCTTAGTTTGAGCTCGGCTCAATTGCCACCCTAGTTGTGACCGCCCATCTTGCTTTGAGCTCAGCTCGTTTATTGCTCGGCTCATTTGCCGCCCTAGTTGTGACCGCCCATCTTGCTTTCTTTCTCCCTTGGAATTATGGATTTTAGTCTAGAAGACAGGGAGAGGTGGGAGTGGAAGAAAGGGGGCAAAAAAGAAAAAAGACAAAGCAGTCAACTAATAAGCTCTACAATTAACAGGTGGGTGTGAAATTACAAGAATGTCCATGTTTTCTCCTCTGAACTACCCAGTTGACATTTCTCCACCTGCAGGCAGGCAAGGCAGCAACTACTAGTGGTTGTTGGGCAGTCTGAAAATACCAAAGTACAATATGGTATCATTCATTAAACAAAGAGACGCTTGATAATCAGACTAGTTGTTGTTGTCTACGATTTTCCCTTCCATTTTCTTATTTCTCAGCTGCAGCATCTCAGATGACCAATTCTTTCTTTCATTTGGCCATACGTGTTTGTTTTCTGTAGTTGTTTTCCGGCGAGAAAACGTGTGTTTAAATGTTGATGGATTGTACTATACTTTAGGCAAGGGTGGATCTTCAAATTGAGTGCGTACGATATATTTAAGCTCGTATCGTCCAGAAGAAAAAATGCTTGATTCACGCATATATCATTTACGTTTCTACTTCTATTTTAAGCAAATTTTCTCTATACGACTTTTATCACGCGTCCCTGAAAGGGAGATGGATTCATCTAAAATGGTCGTTGTAAGGACAATTTTGTGGCTGAAAATACATGGATTAGTTGAAATTCACGGTTATATCCTCGTAACATATAATGTTAGCGATTAGGTGCAAATTTTTGATGAGTAGAGTCTGGTTTTTTTAGGCTAGAATGGATCGTATACACCCACGATCATTTTCGATTGATGCAAACAAGTTTCACAAGTGTATGTGTCAAATACATGTAAATCGTATGCATCCTAGGTTATATTCTCAATTTCTCATAATAAATATTATGGATGATTGAATTTACAAATTTAATGATTAGAGTCTAGCTTTAAACTAAGATGTGAAGTATGTTATCCAAAATCATAAACAGTAACTTATTTTGTTCAAGTGAATTTATATAATTGAGTGCAATTTGGTGGCAAGGGATTTTTGAATGGCCTAGTTTGATTTTGTAATTTGATTCGCAGTTAATTACTTGGAAGAGATTGTTTTTTGTGCTATCTCATCTCAACAATGTAGATAGGAGGTGGGGAAGGTAATTGGCTTCTCTTCTCCTAGGCTACATATACATCTTATTCACCATAAGGAAGGAATCAACTAGTTTGTTTTTACTTTGTAGAGTTATTGGCCACTAGAATAGGATCATATCTTGTTCTCGTGGAACCTTTGTTTTCATTCAAATCCAAGATTAAAGTAGAAGTTGAATGTCAAATTAAAGCTGAAGAGTCGAATTAAGGTTCGATTAAATTTCTCTCTACGCTCTTGTAGTTTTCTTAAAAGGGGTCGGTTAAAACTATTGACTATAAACTACTGCTATTACACACTCACTTCAATGAGAAATGTTCGTTTTTGCGCTAAAGATGGATGAACATTTGAGCTTGGACTAATGAAGTTAAGGGAAAAGACATATACGGTGAATAAGGTTGAAGATTTGAGCTTGGACTAATGAAATGTTCGTTTTTGTGCTAAAGATGGATGAACATTTGAGCTTGGACTAATGAAGTTAAGGGAAAAGACATATACGGTGAATAAGATTGAAGATTTAAGTATTGTTGAAAATCGAGCGATGTTTTGAGGATTACCATTGAATGGAATGTTTAAAATAACTTGTTCACACTAATTTTTGATGTTCTTATGTAGACGAGTTTTGCTTTCATTAGTATTGTAAAACAAGGGACCATGTAAATGAAAATCATTCTAGTCTTTGTTTGTATATTGTAATCTAAATGGCATTTTCAAGCGATAGGAGTAACCCACCATTAGCATTATCACAATTCCTAACATAGTTGAATGTTTACCACCTAATTCCCCAACATGACATTGTTTAATCTTAAAACACCCTCTCATGTCCACAAAGTAAAAATTTCACCTAACCCCATCTCTAGTCAAATGACTTTCATCCAGCAATTTGATTTGATTGAATCTTGGAGTACTACTTTGACATATGTTTTTTTACCAAATCAAACCTTCACATACACACATCTAATCATATATAATCTATTCCCCCTCTTTAATTAATGTTGTCAAGAAGCCATATGATTAGTGCCCTCCCAAAATTTTCTCAACCCTTTTGAGTGGTTCCCCACAAACTCAAAAAACAAAGGGTGGCATTTTGGTAAAATGGGGATGATACCAAAGTCAATAATTCAGAGTCTTTGAGCTGGCCAAGTTTATAAGCCCCCCTCCTCTAAACCACAACTAGCTCTTAGCTGGTTTGTCTTCACCACACAACCAAAGGAAAGAATAAAAGAAAACACCTCCAAAAGAGAGAGAGCCAAATCAGAGCATCTCATCTCAAGCCAGCCATTTCCTTCCACCTCAAAAACAAAACTCAGACGGAGAGTTGAAGGAGGAGCACCCGAAGAAGAAAGAAAGAAGAAGAAAAGGAAGAACCCATTGGCATAAGAGAGCCCTTCGAAGAAAGAAGAGGGGAAGAAGAAAGGAAGAAGTTGTTTTTCCACTTGGGTTTTGCTAAAGATTTGTTCTTTTTGAGGTATAGAGATGGCCTGCAGCAAATTGATTTGTGTCACCTTCGCCATCTTCATGATGCTGCTGGTTAACTTGTCCCCGGCAGCCGTTCAGGCGAGCGGCGGCGGTGGAGGGCTCGAAGGCTGGTTACCACTCAGATCTTCATCCGAAGGGTTGATTTCTGATGTAATGGCTGCCGATGGGGAAGAGTTCGCCATGGATTCAGAGGTCAGCAGGAGGGTTCTGCAGCAGCAGTCTGGCAGGTACATCAGCTATGGAGCTCTCCAGAGGAACACTGTTCCTTGCTCGAGGCGCGGCGCATCTTACTACAATTGCCGCGCTGGAGCTCAGGCCAATCCTTACTCCCGTGGTTGCAGTGCCATTACCAGGTGCAGAAGCTAAAAAAGTAAAGAAAAAATGGAACTTTCCTTCTTCTTAACTCTTGTTTGTAACTTCTTTCTCTTTTCCTATTTTTGGGGGTTTTCTACATTTCTTCTTTTTTTAGATTCGATTGTCATACCTGATGAACAAGGAAAGAAAGAGAGTTGGGGAGTGAGAGAGAGCTCGTTGGTGAGATGGGGATGGGGGAATATTATTGATGGAAATATATTGTTGTTGTTGTTATAATTTTACAGGTTCTCAATTTGGCTTTTGTAAAAGATTATATAGCTTCATTGCTATTCTTTGTTCTTCCTTCTAGTTTCTGGGTTTAGCTTCATTCATTTGCAGTCTTGATGGAAAGATCTTGCCTTTCCTCTCATTCTGACATTACGGATTGCATAGATTCTTCTTTTCACTTTGGATAGTTGGATTAGGGATTTGATTTGGTGTCTCCCGGATGGGGTTTCATTCTGCTTCTCAACTGGTGATTCATTAGTTCTTTGCTTTCCCAACCTTCAGATTCGAGATTCATTAGTTCCCTCCCAATTGGTTGAAATTAGGGATTCATTAGCTCCCCCCCAATTGATCTTGAACTAAGGACTTGTTAAGGTCTTCAATTGGTTTTTATGTGCTTGTCAATGGTATCTTCAAACTAGGGGTTCATTAGTTCTCCAAGTAGTCTGCTATGCAGGAAAGTTTGGTACTTTTAAGGGAGGGAGGTTCAATTTGGGTCTCTTTCTCTTTTGGTCCCCTTGGTCTCAGATTTTTTCAAGTTGAACTTTGTTGGAAGAGGAAAACAGGAAAAGCACTTCCAAGATTTCTCTACCTTCTTCTTTCTTGCCTACTTTTTGGGTTCAGTGGAATTCCAATTCAGAAATTGTATGGGTCTCTGAGAGGGAATCTCAGTACTACTGAATACCCCCCTCTTCATGTTCTTCAAACAAAAGGTGGCCAGGGTGGAACCAAAAGAAGACTCAATCAAAGTTTGGTGACAGATTGATTTAGTAGTAGAGAATAAAGTTAGACCATAGGAAGAAAGAAAGCTGGATGCTAACTGCTAACCTGGAAGAGAAAAGGGTCCTACAAGTTCCTTCTTGGCAAAAGGTGGGATTGCCCTGGCCAGCAGTTGTTCTTTTAGCTAACAATCCAATAGGACATGTTGCTTTCCTTCTGTTTTGTGAAAATTGACCCAGTAGAATATACCTTGCCATTTCAAAATTTGCTGCTAAACCAAAAAAGACTTATTCTGCATCATAGCAGCTCTCTGTGAAGATGTGAGTTACTCGTTCAGGTGAATTTCAACAGTAACTGCCGCGTGGTCGTAGATGCAGATTTGGTATGGTGTTATTTGCGATAGCGTGATTCGACTAGCAACTGCTGATCGATCTCAATTGCATCGGAATGATCAGTTTTCTTGAGTAGATACGATTTCGATTTACAACGTAAAATGTATTAGGCCGCGATGTCATGCTAATTTTTTAACAGCAGTTGAAAATCTTAGGTAAATACCTGCCAAACTGGATCTATGATTTTACCTTTTTTTGAAGGTTTGTCGTCTTAGTTATGGCTTTTGTTTGTGGGAACTGGATTGAAGCTATGATAATTTAGAGTTTAGGGTGATTCCAAGTTTGGGTTGAAAAAATTGGCAAGTGGAGTTAGGATTGTGTTTCTGCAAGGTATCTTACTGTGGAACAGAACCAAGAAAACAACAATATGGGGCTGGCAAGGCAGGCGGCAGCTCATATTTTTCTGTGAGAATATGCTGATTTGAACAGGCCAAACTAAATAAATAGGGCGGAAAATCCTGAATTCTAAATGCCAAGCTGGATTTGATTCCCAAACCAAAAATATGAATTTCTATGATTTTTGTCGCCATTAGTTTATAGAAATAAACACAGGAAATCCCAACTTGCAAACGGTAATGGACTTTTTTTTAGAGCAGCGGACATATTTATATATCAGTGTTCAATGGACAAATACATAGCTTGGGCCCATTTTTTCTTTCTCCAAGATTTGGGCTCCGGCATGGGCTCGTAGTGGTGCCCAAAACTGCAATTGCATTGTACAAGGAATTTTGAAAAAGGGAATGCCAGTGGAATGTACACGTTTGGTCACTCAAATTATACAAATCTTTCACGTTTGTCATTCGAATCACTTTTCTTTCTTATTCGTCACTAACTTTACGAATGATTTCACGGTTGGTCACCGGCCGTTACACTCCGTTAAGTTTGTCCTACGTGGCAGTCAACTATAAAGTTTGACTGTTAACTAGATGACGTGGAAATTAAAATAATTAAAAAAAAATAAAATTTTCTTTCCACCTCATAATTGCACTTATTTTGTCTATATAATTGATGATATTAATAATTTAATAAAATTTAATAATTACAAAAATGGACAAATTCAAATGCTCATCATCCTCACCCTCACCATCCACTCCATCGTTCAATCTCCGGCTCCCCCACCGCCTGCGGCATCGTCTCTTACCAGGCCACTCAGAGCATCGTTTGTTTCAGACCACCAGGAGCCGGCGACGGCGGGGGAGGAGGAGGGTATCTGCAACCACCACCACCAATCGTAACGCTTCAACCCAACATCTCCTTCTCTTCGATCTCCGGCGGGCAGGATTTTTTCTGCGGGGTCCGTTCCGGCGGCTACGCTATGCTCTGCCGGGATACATTCTCGCCGGATAACAATTCTGCCATTTCCAACCAAGTCAAGCGAATCATTTCAACACCTCGGTTCTGTTACAGAGCGTGTCTATTGGTGGTGATCGGGTTTGCTCGACCACGGCGGCGGCCGATGGGGATTTAGATTTGGATTCGAATTCAGGAACGGTGAGAGCCAATTACAGCTACGCTCTTCGTCGGAGCAATGGGTCGGTGGTTTGTTGGGGTGGAGACGGAGGGTTGGGGGTCAACGGGATCGAAGGAATCTTCTTCGAGTCCATCGTCTCTGGCTCGATTTTTCTCGGCGGGATTTTGTCGAACAACTTGTCGACAATTTGTTGGGGACCCGGATGGCCCAGTGCAGGGTCGAATTCGAATTCACAACTCTTCCAGGTACTTCCTTTGCCTCCGATTCTGCCAGGTCCTTGCGTCGAATCATCTTCCTGCGGTGAATGCGGCGTGTATGGAGATTCTCAGAACTGGTGCGGCGGTTCAGGGGTAATCTGCAGGCCGTGTGGGTTGAACCCGATGGAGTGGATGGTGAGGGTGAGGATGATGAGCATTTGGATTTGCCCATTTTTGTAATTTATTAAATTTTATTAAATTATTAATATGATAAATATATAGACAAAATAAGTGCAATTATGAGGTGGAAAGAAAATTTTATTTTTTTTAATTTCCACGTCATCTAGTTAACGGTCAAACTTTATAGTTGACTGCCATGTAGGACAAACTTAACGGAGTGTAACGGCCGGTGACCAACCGTGAAATCATGCGTAAAGTTAGTGGCGAATAAGAAAGAAAAGTAATTCGGGTGGCAAACGTGAAAGATTTGTATAATTTGAGTGACCAAACGTGTAATTTAGCCCTAGTGGAATCATCATATTGTCTCTAGCCAGGGTACCAAGTTGTTCTCGGTTTGATAAAAATTCGTTTGAGACTCAATTTGTTTAATAACGAATCGAGTTTGAGCATAATCTTGTTAGACTTGTAAGGGTCATGATCTACCTCGACTTAGTGGCTTGTTGAACTCAAATAGTGAGCCACCTCAACTAGCAATTTATGAGAGAATCAATTAATAACTTATCATTATCTTGTTGATAAAACATAGTTTTGTTACGTTATATATCTCACCACATATGATGTTTAAGAGTTTGAGAACATAATCATATATGTCGCATTTACAATTTAAAAGAAAAATCATGTATCATAGTTTGCTCTCATACTAATTAGTAATTACTATTAAACAACATGATATAAAAATATAAATATCATGAACTTAATTATAAGATACCTTAGCTCGAGCCATCTCCCAAGCTAATGGATGAGTTGAGCTCGAGTTGAGCTCAAGTCGAACACAATCTATGATTTTCGTAAACAAGTTGAGTTTGACTCATTTATTAATGAGTTAAGCTCGAGCTAGGTCAAAACTCGGCACGACTCAACTCATTTGCAATCATAATTTTCCCAAAATAACAATTTTGGTTCGTTATAGTTGTGCCAGTGCAGTTAGGTAACAAGTGAGTCGAGTTGATCCGAGTTTTCACTAAGCTCACCTCGAGCTCGACAGTCGAAAGTTTGAGCTTGTATCGAGCTTGATACGAGTTACAAAAATAAAAGTTTGAGCTCGACTCAACATAAAAACTTTGAGCTCTAGCTCGAAAATTATTCATGAACATTATTAATGATCTAAACTCATGAACAATAATTTCATCACAAACTCAGCTCGAGATCGACTCCGATTAGGCTATGCAAGACCTGGAATTTTCTCTTTCAACACAAAGTTAATCATGTAAACCTTAACATCTCTTTACAATCATCTAAGACTTGATTTTTTTTTTTTAAAAACGGGGCGCTAATGCATGACATGATTACTTGGTGAAGCTAAAGTAGAGAAAAGGAGAGGAAGTCAAAGGGTAGACATGGCAAATTATCATTCGACTCATTGACCCGTCCCCCGGACGAAATTAAAATTGATTTGAAGAACTCGTCCGAGAAATTAAAATTGATTTGAAGTTTTTATAACATGAAACTCGAATGGTCCAAACTCAATTAACTCACAATCTTTTGGTTTCGGTTGGATGGGTCAGCAAGTCAACCTGTTTAACTCTTTTCATATCATATCTCTTTCTCAAAATGATAAAATTATTCATAAATTGGTGAGATGTTTAATAAAATTTTCAAGGATATAAAAGACAAGTTTAGAATGTAGGGATAATCAAATATCACGTGCTTCTTGTAGTAGTATTACTCTCATGACGTTATTTAGGCGATTTGCGCAATTTATATTTTCTTTCATTAGCATATGAGGAGTTGAGAATATGTAAATTGATATGTGTTAGACAAATTATTGTCATACATGTACGAAATTTTTTGTTGTTTAATAAAATATGAATAATGTTTATTTTGTTTCTGAGAACGCTTGTAGCATGAAATTACACAAAAATTTTGGATTGGACCAATATTTAATAGAAAATTAGTCAACACAATCCAAACTGTTTCCTCGGGAAAACCAAATGCCACCGCCGGTGCCGAATTCGTTTTCGGCGATGTTGATTTGATGTTTCGCGGTGGAAACTCTTGCGGTGCCGTTTGATCGAATGCACCGCTGATTGCTGAAATCGAGACGACCGTCAAATATCCGCCGCCGAATGTCGGCGCCGTTGATTTGATCGATGCACCTCTAAATGTGAAATCAATGTGACCGTCAAATATCCACCGTCGGGCGGTGTTGATTTGATCGATCGCACCTCTGACTTCTAAACAAGAACGACCGTTACTACAGTTCGCACCTCTCCAAACTTTGTTCGAACGAGGGTGTTTGAGTTTTTTGAGGAATCTACACTATCGCTACTCCTATGGAGATTCCTGTGGAGAGCTCCGCGACTAGACTAAGACTACAACTATGGAGATCCTTCCTGGAAGGAGAGCTCCGCGAAGGAGTTACAGAGAAAAGGTAAAGTTTTGACAGAGTTGTTCTGTGTTGATTTTTTGTTCTCCCCTCTCTCTCCTTGCAGGGTTGATTTTATCTAAAACCAACTTCGTAGTCTTCACGCTCTGTGGAACTGCTACCTCAACTGCTCCGTCCTGAAATCCCACGTGTCTTTTACACCTAAAATATTTTTGGCCTAAATTAATGCCGTAATAATGAGTCTCGGCATTTAATTCGATATCGCATGGCCAAAACGATGTCGTTTGGAGTCGAGCAATGCCGCGGAGAATTTAAGCTAGACCGCAAAGAGGCTTGGCGGGACCGCGGTACTTGAAACGACATTGGTTGCAGACCATGTGTGAGTCATGCGCAGGACATGTGTTGCTGTTGGACAAGGAATGTTTTTTTATTTTATTTTTCCTTGTCGGAGGAGGAGAGTAACAACACCGTTTGGAGTCAAGCAATGCTGCGAAGAGATAAAACGGTGCCACGAACCTCAAAGCTCAACGGCATCACGAGACTGGGAAACGGTGTCGTTTGGCTAAAAACGGCACCGCGACAAGCGGCATCGCGGATGAGTTAAAACGGTACCGCAAGGAAGCTCACCGGTACCGCGGCACTGGAAACGACACTGTTTATTGAAAATAAAAGGGGCCGCGCGTTTTAGTGTAGGTGTCGGGGAAGGAGTTTTTTTTTATAATTAATTATTATTTTTATTCCTTGTTGGAAAGGGAAAATCGGTACCGCATAGAGATAAGCGGTATCGCGCAGAATTAAAAGGGTACCGCGGAATTAAAAACGATGCCGCGGGAGGCCTTGATAAGCGGTGCCGATTAAATAAAAAAAATCATATCGGGTAAGTGAAGGGCCTAAATTTCGCCCAGCCCAATGCGAGTGAAAACTCTCGGCGGTTCAATGAATTGGATTTTTTTGGCTATGTTAGCGGTGTCGTTTAATTAAAGACGGTACCGCGAGTAAGCCCAATGGTACCGCTGTATTAGCAAACGACAGTGTTTAAATATTTAAACAATGTCGCGGGAAAAAAACGGAGCTGTTTGGAGAAGAAAACGACACCGCGAAGTTTGAAAACGATATCGCGTGAGGAATTAGCAATACCGCGGTGGTGGATAAAGCCGCGAGCTAAACAACATTGCGGTGGAGAGAGATGTCGCGGTAGCGAATCTAGCAGCGTTGCTAGTGCGACAATGCCGCGAAGTTCAATGATGCTGCAAGGCCAAAGCAACATCGTGGAGTTCAATGAAGGCCATCGACTTTGTGTGGTCAACGACGCCGAGAGATCAACAATCTAGCGGCGAGTACGCGGTGACGAGGGTGAAACAACAATGTTGTTTTAATCGATGGCGGTATTGTGATTCGAACCATGGTACAAAGTTGATGTGTGTGCACGTGACTTTTACGCAAAGCAGAAAGAGGAGATCGAGGCAGTTGAGACACGTGGGATTTCAGGACGGAGCAGTTGAGGTAGCAGTTCCACAGAGCGTGATGACTACGAAGTTGGTTTTAGATCAAATCAACCCTGCAAGGAGAGAGAGGGGAGAACCAAAAATCAACACTCTGTCAAAACTTTACCTTTTCTCTGTAACTCCTTCGCGGAGCTCTCCTTCCAGGAAGGATCTCCATAGTTGTAGTCTTAGTCGTAGTCGCGGAGCTCTCCACAGGAATCTCCATAGGAGTAGCGGTAGTGTAGATTCCTCAAAAAACTCAAACACCCTCGTTCGAACGAAGTTTGGAGAGGTGCGAACCGTAGTATCGGTCGTTCTTGGTTAGAAGTCAGAGGTGCATCGATCAAATCAACACCGCCCGGCGGTGGATATTTGACGGTCACGTTGATTTCACCATTTAGAGGTGCATCGATCAAATCAACGACGCCGACATTCGGCGGCGGATATTTGACGGTCGTCTCGATTTCAGCAATCAGCGGTGCATTCGATCAAACGACACCGCAAGAGTTTCCACTGCGAAACATCAAATCAACATCGCCGGAAACGAATTCGGCACCGGCGGTGGCATTTGGTTTTCCCGAGGAAACAATTCGGCACACCTGGTGGGACACGTGTGTTTGATGTGAATACGGCTCCGCGTCGAGGAAATCAAGATCGTGATCTTCCACACGTACCTTTGGAGGAGGAGGCGCCCGACATTGAAGTTGGTCAGGCGAACGGGGTAGATAGACGTACTCAAGGGATGGAAGAGCTGCTACATGCTGAAATCCTATATTTACGTCAATCCATGGAGGAGTTTCGCCAATCCATGAAGGAGTTTCACCAAGAGGTAAATCTCCAATTTGATAATCTTGAAAAGTAAATGCATAAGTTTGAAAACAACATAGATCGATGGTTTGATAAGTTGGATGACTGTGTTTCTGATTTTAATATGTCAATACATAGAGCCACGTATGATTTTGATGTGTTTAAATCTGAAACCATGTCTGTTGCGTGCGATGATTTAATGGCTGATCGACTAGCCATGGTCAACCAAATTCCATCGATGAGCCTGGCTACGACACTGTTTCCAGAAGCAAGGAATCCCAATGTGTCTTTTCCAGTGAACAACATTGGTCTTAAGGACACACAAGTTGGAGGTGGCCTGCAGAAGCCACTACAAAGAGGTCACTATCAACATATGTCTAATAAGAATGAAAATAAGAATCATGATGGACAATCTGGTTACAATCACGTTGAGCATAGCAAGCTCGCATATGAGGGATTGTCCAAGCAACATCACGATAGGGTTCAATCTAAGACGCTAGGGGGCATGAGATCCCACCGCATGGCCGGTTGAAAGAAAAACAACACCGTAATGAGCATAGCAAGCTCGCATATGAGGGGTTGTCCAAGCAACATCGCGATGGGGTTCAATCTAAGCCGCTAGGGGGGCATGAAATCCCACCGCATGGCCGGTTGAAAGAAAAACAACACCGTAAGTGGCAAATAAGTTTGCCACATCCACCCCATTCTATGAAAAATCAAACTATGATAACCACAAACACTACTCAAGATGGAGGTGGTGACCATGTGAAAAAATCTAATGCCACCAAAGTGGGCATGAATCAATAGAACCCTCATTGTAATTTGTCCCCAAAGCCTCCACGGAGTGGACAGGGGGGCAAGTACCGCTGAGCTTCCTTGCGGTACCGTTTTAACTCATCCGCGATGTCGCTTGTCGCGGTGCCGTTTTTAGCCAAACGACACCGTTTCCCAGTCTCGTGATGCCGTTGAGCTTTGAGATTCACGGCACCGTTTTATCTCTTCGCAACATTGCTTGACTCCAAACGGTGTTGTTACTCTCTTTCTCCGACAAGGAAAAATAAAATAAAATAACATTCTTTGTCCAACAGCAACACATGTCCTGCGCATGACTCACACATGGTCTGCAACCAATGTCGTTTCAAGTACCGCGGTACCGCCAAGCCTCTTCGCGGTCTTGCTTAAATTCTCCGCGGCATTGCTCGACTCCAAACGACATCGTTTTGGCCATGCGATATCGAATTAAATGCCGAGACTCATTATTACGGCATTGAATTTAGGCAAAAAATATTGTAGGTGTAAACACAAACATGACTTGATCGATAATTTAAGATCTCCAACCCAAAATGATCCAATCCGACCGGATTGTCCGTTTGCCACGTCTATCGAAAGGATTTGGGAAAGTAGAACATGGTGGGGGGGGGGGGAGGGGGGAGTATGAAAATAAACAAATTATGAGAAGGATTTAGGTTTTTTTGTTAATAAAATAATTAAATACACTTATTGTTTGCCGGTCACCCTGCTTGCGCGGCAGTGGCGCGCAACTTAATTGTTAGTAGAAAATCACTTCGATCGATCGATTTCCCAACGGTAACCCCAACTTTACCGATCTCTCCTCGTACTTTCCAGATTCCTTTTCGGCGACGGAAAAGGAAGACGGGCCGTCCTCAACCTTGTAGGAAACGGTCAACAGTCAGTCCACCGGCGAAGCCTTATATATATCCGTACCACGCAATAGCAATTGCCTCCCAGCTCCGTCTCCAAACCCTAATCGCCTCACAATCGGCCGACAATCAGCAGCACTCCACATTGCGATTACCGGCCTTTCCTTTCCCCGCGGAAAGTTCGACCATGGTCAGCGGCGATGGCATTGGGAGCAACGCTTCTTCCGATCTAGGGTTTACGCGCTCGAGACCAGGCTAATTGAAACAAGGGGATTAATTACTCCGCCGCCGGCGTAAGAATGAGGATATCGGGAACAGCGGCCGGGGTCCGATTCGAGCCCGAAGACGACCAAAGCATCACTTATCTCCTCGATAAGGTAATGGGCAATGCTTTGCCCTTCAATCCGGTGATCGATTGCGACCTGTACGGTGAGGACGAGGCTTGGAAGAAGCTGTTCGTTGAAACAGGGGAGTCGGAGTTGTATTTCTTCACCAGATTGAGGAAGGCGAAGACGAAGAAGGGGGAATTGGGCGGCGGCGGTAGGGTTGAGAGGACCGTTGGCTCCAAGGCCACGTGGCGGTCGAGCAAGGATGACCCTGTTTTTCTTCCCGGCCAGAACGTCCAGATCGGGTCGAAGCGGACTTTCACTTACCGTCCAAACCAGAGATCGGCGGCTGCCGGCGGGGAGGTGGTGGGGCGGAGGAAGGACGGAGGAGATGGGTTCTCGATGACGGAGTACCGCCTCGACGGCGTACTCGGCTGCGTCGCCACGGATCTTGTGATGTGCTCGGTGAGAAGGAAAGAAGGAAGCAGAGCATCCTCTGAAATGGAGATCATCGACGCCGGGGTACCACCGGCGATGGCGGCGCCGGCGGCTTCGACGGCTTGGCGTTTGCGGGCTTGTGGGTCGATGATGACTCAGCCGGTGATGGGAGGAATGGTGTCTTTGTGCTAGTGATAGTTCGATCTTAATTTGCCTCCTGTTGATTACCTCTCGGTATCACTTGAAACAGAGGCAGAGAGTGACATCCATGGCTTGCCGGATTAAAGATTATTTCAGATTTACAGTAGAATGCAAGTAGTCGTTATTCTGATTTTTTGGGTTCAATGTATTTGTCGTCAGATTATAATCAAACAATGTCATTTATGTAACAGTTAGTTCATAATCCAATTACAGTAGAATGCAAGTTAGTTATTCTTCATGTCTGCAAATTCTTAAGTTTCACTCGTTTATCTAACTGTTCTTGTTCTCTACCAAAAATAACTAGCTCTTTCCATTTTTACACTAGTTCAAATGTTCAATGCTTCTGCAACTTTGCACAGTAAAGATTTGTCCTTGTTTTTACTGTGGAGGTTCTCTGCTATGCTTCCCTTTGGTAAGAAGTGATATACATAAATGAGATCAGAGTCATTGATGCTGATCCCAACAAGTGGTTTGGTGTAATGTTGTTCTTGTGGTTTCAGCGATGAGATGATCTTGTCAAATAAGCAAACGGAAACTAAAGAACACGACGATTTAACGTGGTTTCCCTGATGATCACGACTAGTCCACGGGAGAGATAGAACTCTCCAAGATAAGCTCTTATTCGCGTTAGGGTTTTACATGATACAGGTTACAAATATATATGACTAGACTCGGCTGACTATTTACAAACAGGTACATAAACTTTCATATTTCAACACCCTCCCTCAAATTGATGTAGAGTGCGCAACATCAATTTGGAAGAGAGAAACCAATGCCTGCTTGAGCCAGAGCCTTTGTCAGAATATCTGCAGTCTGATCTTCAGGCGAGAGATATCCAACCTGTATATACCCTCAGCAATCAACTGTCGGATATAATGGATGTGCACCTCGATATGTGTTCGTCCTGTCATGCAACACCGGGTTGACCGCTATCTGTATCGGGCTAGTGTTATCACCAAAAATTCTCATAGGCTGACGACACTCCATGCCCAGCTCTCCTAGTAACCGATACAACCACACCATCTCAGAACTTACTTCAGACATAGATCGATACTCTGTCTCGGTAGAGGATTTAGAAACTCGATCTTGCTTCTTACATCGCCAAGATACAAACGAGCTACCCACACGGATACACCATCCAGATGTCGATCTCCTGGTATCCTTACATCCGGCATAGTCTGCATCTGCAAATGCTTCGATCACAGGCTCCCTAGATGCTGGAAAGAACATTCCCACATCCTGGGTCTGCTTTAAGTATCTCAATAATCTGTGAACGGCATCCAAATGCATAGTCCTTGCTGCTCCCATATACTGACTAATGACCTGCACAGCGTACGAGATATCTGGACGAGTATGTGTAAGATAGATCAGGCTACCTACCAGGCTGCGATACGTAGATTGCCCATCCTCGTCCAGTAGATCACCACTCTCACGCATCAGTTTCAAGTTCTGCTCCATGGGAGTCGAACACGGTATACATTCATCATACCTTGTCGTGGTCAACAAATCACCAATGTACTTTCTCTATGAGACAAATAAACCATGAGCTGAGCGATGTACTTGTAAACCCAAAAAATATTCAACATTTCCCAACTCTTTAAGATTAAACGAACGACGCAAAGATGCATTCAACTCTTCAATTCCCTGTGCATCACTCCCCGTGATCACCATGTCATCGAATAGATCAACAAGACAATAATGCCATCGACTGTACGGCGGATGAACAAGGACAGATCGTTTTGACTCTGGACGAATCCCTCCTGTACCACCGTACTATGAAACTTATCAAACCATGCCCTGTGGTGCCTGTTTAAGACCATACAGAGACCGAACCAGCTTGCAAACCATACTCGAATCACCCTTAGAATAACCAAGAGGACGTTCCATATAAATTGTTTCCTTTAAGTCACCATGAAGGAAGGCATTTTTGACATCCAACTGGAACAACGGCCATCCTCGCATAGCTGCAACAGCAAAAACACATCGGACGTTCTGCATCTTAACAAATGGAGCAAATGTCTCCTCATAATCAATCCCATAAACCTGACGGAAACCTTGTGCCACAACTCGAGCCTTAAAACGCTCCAGCGAACCATCTGACAACAGCTTCACATTATAAACCCAACGACTGCCAATCACCGTCATATCTGGAGTGCGAGGCACAAGATCCCAAGTGTGATTAGCATCAAGGGCTCCACATTCCTCGGCCATTGCCCCTTCCCAGCGCGGGTCACCCTTTGCTTCTGCATAGCTTGAAGGAATAACAATGGAAGTTGCTGAATAACTAACGTAGTCCTGCATTCTAGGCGGTGGTTGCCCTAACGTAGCCCGCATCGAGCGACGAAGAGGGATTAGTGGTTGTTCCACGGATGGAGACAACTCCATGTCGTTGCTATTTTCGGCGGAAGAGGAGGAACTACTTGATTCCTGGAAGCTCGAACTGGGGCTGCTGGAGGAGGACGAATCAATTATCGAATCGGGCGCATGTGGAGAACTTGGTCCAGACGAAGAAGAGGCAAGTGCAGATGAATTAGTGGACAGAGACCCACTGGTCGAAGACCCACCTGTCGACCCGCTGGACGTCTCTGCATGATTATCATGGGGGGAAGTAGTCTCAAACGTCGGTAATGGAGTCAAAAAATCCAAGGATTCCCCCGTTGATTCATCCCTAGTCGTCGAATAATACATTACTTGTTCCAAAAAAACAACATGGCACGCAATACGCATTCGTCGATTCACCGGGTCATAACACAGATAGCCTTTGTGCTTTGCACTATACCCAACGAACACACAACGGGCTATCTTCGGAGCAAGCTTATGGCGTTCTTTACGCGGAAGTAAAATAAAGCACACACACCCAAAAATTCATAAAGCAGAATAGTCAGGCATCTTTCCGAACAAAGACTGATATGGAGAACACTGACCCAACACTGGAGTAATCTGACGGTTAATTAAGTAGACCACAGTCTGAACTGCCTCTACCCAAAACCGACTAGGAACGCCAGAGTGAAACAAAAGTGCTCGGGTTTACTCAAGGACATGACGATGCTTGCGTTCTACAAGTCCATTTTGTTGCGATACACCCGGACAAGATTCTTGTGGCAAAATCCCCTCTAGTTTGTAAAACGCAAGCAACTCATTCGATGTAAACTCTCCATCAGGGTCTGATCGAAGGACTTTAATGGTCTTTGAGAACTGAGTTTTGACCATTTGAACAAATTCTTTAGCCAAAGATGCCAGATCCGATTTCTGCTTAAGAAAATAGACCCAAGAGAAATGTGTGGCATGATCGATAAACAGTGCAAAGTATCTAAAACCCATATGTTCTATAACTGGAGAAGGACCCTACAAATCAGTATGGATGAGATCAAAAGCTTTCTCATAAACTGTGTCACTAGAGGAGAAGGATATCTGAGAAGTTTTCGCCTCAATGCAACTAACACACGGTAAATGAGATGCAAACTTAGAATCAAGCTTATCTGGTAACAAATTCTGACAAAACATAGTCAATAACCGAGCAGAATGGGGATGTCCTAACCGACAATGCCATAAATCCCATGGTGAACCTTTAACCGAAAAATCCAAAGAACGAACCGAAAAACCAACATCCTTATTCAACCCCCTATCTTCCTCGACCAACAAATTGTCTTCTTTATTCAAAAATTCACCATCCAAATCCAAAGAATCATCACCAGCCAACAAATCATCAGCCAACAAATCATCCGCCCGCAGCTTATCCTCCGCAACCACACGAACAGCAGCAGCCCTTCCGTCCCCATCAGCCCGAACCCCGCCCTCGTCCACCGATGCTTGCAGTTCATCGAGGAAAAACACTCGGCCACATTTACTTCCTCTCCCTAGCACCTTCCCCGTCCTCCGGTCCTGCACAAGACAACTGCTATCATTAAACGTAACTTCACAGCCAGCTTCGGCTAATTGACCAACCGAGGCTAAGCTGGGTTTCAATGAGGGAACTAGAAGCGTATCCGAGAGAGTAACAGGACCGGACGAGGAGAGACCACAACCCGTCACGGGAAGACGAGCGCCATTAGCAACTTGAAGTTGAATACTCGGCGCCGGACTTAAATGAGAAAAAGATTGGCTAACAGGAGTCATATGATTATACGCTGCTGAATCAAGAAGCCAACGGATAGAGTTACCTGGAGCAGCACCTGTAGAGAAAGCAGATGTAAGCGCAGCAGGCAAAGCATCCTGTAGTGCCTCTTGTACAAGTTTGCGAACTAAGTCAGGGGAGAAACCCATAGAAGACATAGAATCCGTCATCGAAGAAGAAGCACCGGGTGCATGACCACCAGAAGACGCACCATGACCCCCAAAAGCATATGCCGAACCAGAGGAGGAAAAACCACTCGGTGGGTTACGTAATTTACCACGGCGACTCAAAGTAGGGCACTCCAGAACAATATGGCCCGGTTTTTTGCAGTAGTTACAAAAATTTCGTTTCTTACAATGAATCTGCAAGTGACCAGACTCCTGACAAAAATGACAAATGATTTCTCCAGCTGGCTGCCGATTAAACTGAGGGCGAGAAGATCCGGAGCGGCCAACTGCAAAAGCCGGCTCAGTCGAGCTAACATTATCAATCCTGGCCTGACTGCGAAGCCGAGTTTCTTCACGAATTAATTCCCCCAGCACGTCATGCATAGAAGTAACTCCACGATGAATAAGGGAAGCCCAGATCGTTTCGAACTCTGGACGCAGCTTTGACAGGAATTTCATAACACGAGTTCGACTGTGTTCAGCAACAATGGCCTCTGAATCATCCCCGGTAACAAGAGAAGCAGCCAACAGGTCATATTCTGTCCACAGATGTAAGCTAGCCTGATAAAACCCCCGAATGTCGAGATCCCCCTGAACCAGCCGACCAATTTCAATTTCCAATTCAAACTGCCGGGAAACACGGTAGTGTGTACGAGTGAGATGACTCCACATCTCGGCCGCGGTACGAAAGCGGCGTAAACCCAACGCTGTCGGGACGTCAACACAGCCAGCCAACCAGGTGATGAGCTGCGCGTTGGAGGCGTCCCAGTCCGCGCGATCTTGGGCCGAAGCATCAACAGCAGGAGCTTTGATCTCCCCAGTCAACACACCAAGCAAGCGTTTACCAACAACAAAGTTTCGGAACTGAAACTCTCATAAGGGAAAATTCTTCCCATCAAGCTTAATAGAAACCGATTCAAACTTTGAGGAATCCATACCTAGCGCCGGACGAAGACAAAAACGAACCCAGTCAAAGACCCTCCTGAAGACACCAACCTCAGCCTGAGACGAGGACACGAATCCAACGCAAGCGGCGCAAGACGCTGCGATCAAGCCTCCAAAAAACGCTGAGCACGAACACATCCAAAACCAACAAACGACCAGATCAGTGTCGTGGCTCTGATACCATGTCAAATAAGCAAACGGAAACTAAAAAACAAGACAATTTAACGTGGTTTCCATGATGATCAGGACTAGTCCACGGAAGAGATAGAACTCTCCAAGATAAATTCTTATTCGCGTTAGGGTTTTACATGATATAAGTTACAAATATATATATGATTAGACTCGGGTAAATAAACTTTCATATTTCAACAGATCTCAACTTCCTGGACCAAATCCTCCCTTGCTTCTGGTGACGACTTTCGGGTCTTCACTGCAACTGGCTTACCATCTTGGAAATGGATAGTCCCCTTGTAAACAATAAATACTTTTTTTTTTGTAAAAATTTTAGATTACATAAATTACATACTAATCATAATTATCTTCATCCAAACCCAAGTTACTAAGCTTCGATTATTTGAATTGTGTCCGTATCAATTTGGTTGTTGATTAAGCAGGTAGGCTAAAAGCCAAATATCACTCATGATAAATTTTATTATGCTTTATGGGCTAATGATTTAGTTTTAATTGTATTTTTTGGACAAATTGAACTTGTAACAATATAAATTTAATTTGTACATTTACTTTTTTTTAGTTATTTATTTATACATTTATGTTATGATACAAGTTGAACTTGTACTATACCATAAAGTATAATGGAATGTGTACCTTCTTGTACCATAACATATAGATACAAAACACTAATACTTTATAGCACAATAAAAAGCCTTTATATAGTTCAATCCGAATCATACCTTATAAACCGTGAAAAATCGTGTATAATTAGCGTATTAACAAAATTTGATGTCTATAATTAATTTATTTCTTCTACAATTTATCAAAACAAAAGTGTATAAGTTTAATGTTTATAAAACGAAATGGTAACCAAACAATAAACTTATGGACTTCGCTACAATGACTTGCAAGTCACCGTAACTTGCATGATTCGGTCGACCGAATCTACTGATTTCGTTTTGTGACGTTCAACAATGCGGTTGACCTTTATACATCAATTGGCCTACCTCATTCCTAAAACGGCAAACCTTGTGCATTAAAAGGTCTACCTCTCTATTGCATTAACTTATCAATATCAACTCGGAATTATTTCCGCATATAGTATAAAAGGTCGACCTGTGAAGTACGTGGTCGACCCCTTACACATCATATCCATATTGAATAAGGATTCCAACACTAGAAAGGTAACCCTAACTTGTCTACCACTTAATTCGCCCTAATCTCATCCTAAATATCTATAAATAAGAATATATGTCACCTTCACCGCCACTCAAACACTGGATTCATTTTCTTCTAGGGTTAGCGTTTAGGGGAAGAAAAAGAAGATCGTGGTGGTTGTTGTTGTACGTGTTGTAGTCATTCAACCACTTGCAAGGTAAGGTCGATCGATTTTAGCTAACGTCGTCCTCATTACTATTTCGTAATTTGCTTCATTTAATTTGATGTTTTTTTTTTTGCTTACACAAGAACATTCGGTCGACCACTTTCACAATCAGGTCGACCTCTGTTGAACAATTGTGACAATTGAAATTAGAGCACAACACTCGGACTTCTGTTCCTTCGAGGTAAGGAAGATCAAACCCAATAGGTTGACCTAATTCTTATCATGGTCGACCACATGTTTTAGTTTTGTTTGTTTGTCCAGAATGTCGACTTTGGCTTTGTTTGTAAGACTCTGTTATGCTAGAAGGTCAACCGGTCAATATGACTGGTCGAGCTATCAATTGTTCGTATGGAGCAAGGGTAGTGTATACGATGGGGATGTTCCGGAACCAAGCTTCTTTGCTGCCATTTTTTGCTGCAAGTGGAGTAGTGAAACGCCGAAGTACCTTGGCTTTCCTCTAGGTGCAAAACCGAATGATGCTTATAGTTGGAATCTCATGAAAGAGAAGTACCAGAATAAGTTAAGTGGATGGCGGAGTCAGTTTTTGTCATATGGAGCAAGGTTAGTGTTGGTCAAATCAGTTCTTTCAAGTACTCCTTCATATTTTCTCACTTTTTAAGGCTCCAATGTCGATCATCCAAGATCTTGAGAAATTGTAAATAAATTTTCTCTAGAATGGGGGACAGAGGATCATAAGATGGCTCTTATGGATTGGAACATGTGTAAGGCTGAATTTGGTAATGGCGGGTTGGGCATCCATGACTTAAAAATGTTTAGTGATGTTATGCTTTTGAAATGGTGTTGGAAGTTCGCGGTGAAGAAGGATAGTTGGTGGCGGGATTTGGTAAACTGCAAGTATCCCAATAAGTCTTAGTGTTGGCAGACGAGAAGGGCTAGATGAGGGTTCTCCAGTTCGGTGTTGGCAAATATCAGCGAGGAGTATGATCTCTTCTGGAGGTCTGCTTGTATCGACCCGGGAAATGGTAATATGGTTTTGTTTTGGCATGATTGTTGGATCTATGAGATTGTGCTTGCTGACTTGTTTACCGCGCTGTCGTTGCTCCCTCTTATCCGGGTGCTCTCCTCTCGGACGTTGCAAACTTTTCCAGTGAGGCGGTGAGTTGGTACATTAATTTTAAATTTAATCTTCGGGAGGGGCTGAGAGGGAAATGACTGATCTTATTGGTTTATTGGATTCTATTGTTTTCTATCGAAATACATTTAGTCCTTGCAGGATCACATGGAACATTGAATCTGATCTACGCTTCTCGATAAGCTCGACGTACATGCGACTTGCTTTAGGCGAGTTCTGCGATGTGCAGGACTTTCCGAAAAAACAAATTTGGAAAAAAGTGTGTTTCTTCATTTGGCTGGTGTATCATAATAGAGTGCTGACGTTGGACAACTTGAAAAGGAGAGGATGAAATTTGGCGAACAAGTGTGCTTTGTGTCATGCCAAGGAAGAAACAACCCGTCATCTTTTTTGTGGAATGTGATTTCGTGAAGGAAGTTTGGAGGAACAGCTTGTGCAACGGGCAATCATTGAACTTTGTGGATAGTGATATTGTTTCGATCATCAAGCAATGGCCTGGTCCAAAGGAGGATAAAAAGAGGTGGTTCAATTTTGTCATTCTTCATGTTGTTTGGTGGTTCGTATGGATGGAAAGGAATCAATGTGTGTTTGAGGAGAAGAAAGGGATGCCTCTCACGGTGACTAGAAAGGCGGTGCACAGCTCTTAGGCCTAGATCGTTGCCTGTGGAAAAAATTAATAGAGAAGTTGGAGCTAGATGGTTGAGGGAGAACGTTCTCGGAAGATGACCTCTTGGGTGGTGATGTGGGAGCCTTGCTCGCTGAATGCATGGGGGAGGGCGGATGACAATGTTATCGTTGCGTGCTACTGGTGGATTTGGTGGGAGCTGACTCTTGTGTTTCGGATGTGATGTGGTGGGTTTGTTTTTCTTTTGATATGCGTGTTTACTTTGGCATGGGAGGAGCTGGTGGTGGATGTTTGTTGTCATTTTGCTGCTAGAATGTTGTTGCATTGGATGTGTTCATGTTCGGCTGTGGAAGTGCGCAATTTCCTATTCGTTGTTGTTGCTGCCGATTGAAGTTTGGCTTTATCTTTGCCTTCTGCGTGGATGCTTTGTTTCGTCTCTGCTACTGCAGCACCGGTCTTATCTGTTGCTCGCTATCTTGATACTTTGTCCTTTGGCAGGGATGGCATGATCCATCTAACCTTTGTTGCTTGCCTGTTGTTGCATTTTGTATTATTTTTTTTTGTTTCCCTTCAAGAGTAGTTCGATCTAGTTAGTTGGGATTCTGTTTGTCTGTTTGCGTTGTTTGGCTCTTGTGGTTCAGTCCTTTTGAACCCCTGTTGCGTTTTTTTCGCTTGTCAATTTCAGTTTTTTTGTATTCAAACAGTTTCTTTTACTTATTTTAATCTATTCACTATTATAATATAAAAAATGTTCGTGGTAATATTACATACATTTTGTCAGTAAATTGATATTATTCTACTTGATGGGTCAACAGGAGAAGGTCAATGGTCAACCTAAATGGTTATGGTAGTTACAAATTATGTCCTTAAGGTCGACCACATAATATTGTTGGTCGACCACGTCTCTGTTGTTGGTAATTTGTACAAATTTGAAGTTGAATTATGATTTGAATTTTTTATTTAAATTGATTAGACGATGACGCTTGATGAGAAACAACACGATGAGGGTGAAATTATGAAAGTGTCGAAAACCACACAAGAGTAGATGGTGATGTGTCAAAAAGAATTCAATGACTATCAAAAGTCCATGCGTGATACACTGGAGAAGTTGTCAGTTCGATTGACAGATATCAATGAGATGATGCATGATGGTTTTGAGAGGCAAGAAGGTACTATCAAAGAAATACGCGAAGAACCAATGGAGAAGGGACGAAAAGATGGTACCATAATGAAATATGAGTTTGATGAAGAGGAGGAGAAAGAGTATAATGACTTTGCAAATCGCTTCGCAGCATAGACGATTTATTGAAAGACTACAAGTTTAAGGTGAAAGTATATTCATATGTGAGTAAAAGATATTAATATGATTATCATTAATGCTAATTTGTTTTGTTTATATGATTCACTAATTGAAGCAACTTTTGGCAGCAATTGTTCCTCTCGTAAGAACAAGAAACCTCGATATGAAAGTCACTCGTACACCACTCCATAGAAGGATCATGTAGCAAGAAAATAATTATTTACTGTTGATAGCGACGAAGACGAATCTAAGAGACCTTACTTAAAGCACGGAGTAAGTTTAAGTTACATATTGATCTATGAAATAGAGAATGTGTGTTTGTTTTCATACGTTACTTCAATTTAACTCTGAGTTATAGGTCATGAAAGTGGAGGGGCTAGAAGAATTTATGAAACATCTGCAAAATCTAGTAAATGACTTGTTTTAATGTTGTTACAAAAGAGAAGTCTAGAGACACCAAATGGGACAAGTAAGAGAAGTATTTTTAAAAAAATAGTAAATTTGGTCGACCATTCCAACAATCAGGTCGACCATTTTGCACAAATAGGTCGACCATAGCAGTTAATAGGTTGACCGTTTTGTCCAAGTCAAAATTGACATTTATGTTATTCCGTTATTGTTGCAGTTTGGTCGTTATTGACTTTGTCCAAGAAAACGTACAACGGAATATTCGAGTTCGGTCATTAGCGAGAGTAGTTGGGTTTGCTAATTCGTAAGTACTATACTACTATGACTTTGGTATGAGTTGTGCACTATTTGTGTTATGACTTACGATAATTTTGTGGTTGATTGTTGAATTGTAGGTAGTATGACTTTGGTATGAGTTGTGCACTTTGTGTTATGACTTACGATAATTTTGTGGTTGATTGTTGAATTGTAGGTAGTGAATTTGTGTGCAATGATACTAACAATGACTAAAATAAATGAGAATAGAGAGCCAAATATGTGGTATTTGCCAAATATGTTTTCGGTAAGAACCGTAATTCCTCATTTTTGGTAATAACCTAGTTATTAATACCATGTCAATTTATTTCAATAAAAATTGTGCAAGTTATGGTGACTTGCAAGACACTATAAAGGCCTACCCTAAACTTATATTTCCTCCACAATTTTGTATTTTTTAGGACAAAAAAATAAAATAAAAGAAACGCGTCTGTTTGGGAGCGTTTTGAGTTTCGACGTGATTCTTAATTCTTTGTACTAATTCGGGTTGACGCCTTCCTTAACCACAGCCCGAAACTTAGCTACCAAGACTCCAACCGGACAGCCCCCACCGTCTTCCCCTCCTCGCCTCAATACTAACGCCGTGTTCCCATCCTTCCAAATCACACGTCTATATCTCGATTCTCGTGCCTGCCTCCACCCTCTCCCGTTCACACGTAGGATCGCGTTTCCTATAAATAACGCAACCTTCATTTTCTCACTCCGTCAATCAACCAACCAACCAACCAGCCACTAAACAAAGAAAGTTCTCCTTCTCAATTACGCCGTTTCGCTCTCCGTCTCCCAAAACCTTCCCCCCTGTTTCCTTTCCCCGATTCCGATCGCCCGTCTTCCTCCGCCTAATCAGATTCCGGCGATAATGGCTGAAGCAAACGGTAACCCCGCCACGCCTGCTCCACTGGTACGAATCTCTCCTCGATGCTTCTAAACGCCTGTTCTATTTTCTCCTGGATTACTGTTTGATTGAGAGGTTTTTCTCTGGCGGAAACTCGGTCGAGCTGCTAAGAAGCTTTTAATTAGGGCGTAGGACGATTTTCTGAACCGCTGTAATCGTTTCGTCCTCGGCATGGAAAGCTCCGCTGAATTTTCAATATCGAATTTTCGAGAGATGTTTGAATTTTATTTGTTTAATTGTTTTGTGCAGACGAAAGAGGAGGAGGAGAGGCTGAAGTACTTGGAGTTTGTCCAAGCAGCAGCGCTTCACGCTCTGGTGACGTTCACGAACCTCTACGTCTACGCCAAGGACAAGGCCGGTCCGTTGAAGCCTGGTGTGGAGACCGTCGAAGGAACTGTTAAGACCGTGGTTGGCCCTGTTTACGATAAGTTCCAGGACGTCCCCATTGAAGTCCTCAAGTTCGTTGATCGCAAGGTAATGAGTCTTCTCCTTCCTGCAACTTTGCCTCTCCGTAGTGTTTTTTAACATAGCGATAGTAGATTTCAACATCAGGGGTGTTTGCATACCGTTATTGGGATTAAAGTAGCTCTCTTGTGCCTATTTGATTGAGTCGATTAGCTGATTCCATGCGCAACTCATTTGGGCTTGAAAGTTCGTTTACTGTTTTTGGGAGAATTCCTTAAGATGGTAATAGTCTTTTGATATAGGAAATACTGCTGAGTTAGTGACTTCTGATATATTGGGCCATTGTCTGTTACTATTTGCTTTCTGCAACTCATTAGTTTTAAGAATCTAAGTGGTATGATTGATTCTTGGTATGGGTGCCATGATTGTTTCCTTTTGGTTGATATTTGTTCTCGGGTAATCAATTTTCGCCCATCCTTTTGATCACATGCTAAAGTAGTAAAGTGGTCCTCCATTATGGGACAACCATCTGCTTATGTTTATGAGGTGAATTATATGGATGTGTTATCTTATCTTCTTCAACCATGATGAACCTTTTTCCAGAACTCATGGACCACAGTGGCTGTAAGCCTCGGTCTCTATCTGAAAAGAAACGAAAAGGGTTACACTCATTTAATCCTTTCTCATGCTTTCTGTCTCCCCCTTTGTTGAACAGGTAGATGAATCTGTTACTAGCATCGACCGCCGTGTGCCACCTGTTGTCAAGCAAGTGTCGGCCCAGGCATTCTCAGCAGCACAGGCTGCCCCGGGAGCTGCCCGGGCTGTGGCCACCGAGGTTCAGCGATCCGGTGTGAAGGAAACCATGACTGGGTTGGCGAAAACCGTCTACACCAAGTACGAGCCCAAGGCGAAGGAGCTGTACACGGCGTACGAGCCTAAAGCCGAGCAGTGTGCTGTCTCGGCCTGGCGAAGGCTCAACCAGCTTCCTCTCTTCCCTCAGGTGGCTCAAGTGGTTGTCCCATCGGCCGCTTATTGGTCCGAGAGGTACAACGAGACAGTGGCCAGCACTGCTGAGAAAGGTTACAAGGTGTCTTCTTACTTGCCTCTAGTGCCTACTAAGAGGATCGCCAAGGTGTTCAGTGATGATGCTGCAGCAGCTCCACAATTGATTTCTAACTGAATGGTTGCCATGAACCCCCTTTGGAATGGGGACAAAGAGGGTTCTACGTTTGTGGTCTTTGTTTTAGTTATGCTCTTTGTTTTGTGAAGAATGAATGACCATTGTGGTCTTGTTACAGTGTGTTGGAGTTGGTTCTGTTAGCTTTTTAGTTCTGTTAGTGCAACTCTCAAAGACTCCTCTTTTTATGTGAAGAATCCTCAAATGCAATGGAAGTTTGTTGTGGTGTTACTCAGTTCTTTGTATCTGTTGTCAGTTTTCTTCTCAAGTCAGGAATACATTCCCTGCTCAATTGATATTTTTCCACCACTGGGCCTGGTTCGATAAATAAGAGCATGTACAAAGTTCCGCTTGCTCAAATAAGAGCAAATATGAATCTTTAAGGGTGGAACTCAGCGTTATCGTGTGCATGTACAACTTTCCGCTCTGATGATGTGTTTGTGGAATCGCTAAGATTTTATCAATATATGAAACGGTTGAACCACAATTGCGGTTTAACTACAAAGTAGTCAATCATTACAATTTTTGGTAGGCTTTTACAAATGCTTGGTCTGATCTCACGCAAAGTATATACACATGTAGTTAGTAAATACTCCGTTTAATACACGTATATGTGCCCATACGTAATTTATCCGTTTAAAACTTCCGTATCCGTATTATTGTCAAGTCGATTAATTTTTTTCCATTTATTTGATGCATCCCGTACTAAACACGTATAAAATCCGTATAACACGTTTAATATCCGTATTTAATGAATTAAATTGTTAAATTTTCTATTATTTATATATTTATTTATTATTAAAATACTTAATTTTATATATTTATGACTATTAACGTACTGTTAAACGTAACATTAGCTTAAAAACAACGTAAAATACCCGTACGTATCTTATACGTAACTTTCCCTCTCCGTATTTTACTAACTATAACACATCACATATCACATGTACTTTGTTCTGTGTTTGTAGGCTGAAGCCCGCCAAGGCAGGCATCCAAAGCCCAAGCCAAAGCCCAACCTTCACTATACGGCATCGTGTCATTTCACCGTTTAACCAACTGCCACGCTTGAAGTTACAGTAGTCCATTGATTTCAGAAGGGTCGGACGAATGAGACCCCTCCGCAATCTCAATCCGCTCGACCAGCATTCATTTCCTGTCAAGAGAAAATCTCAGCAGTAGAAGAAGCGCAGAAAAAAAAAAAAAAATCAATCTGAGCTATCACAAGTAAAAGCCTGGTTGCTTAAGCCATGGCGGCTTGCTTACGAGTGCTCCCGGCGGCTTTCTCCACGCCGCATTCCGCCTCCAATTCGTCTTCTCTCCGAAGGAGGAGCTTCAAGATAGGCTGCTCCGCCGCTGGTTCCAAGAACTCGGCAAGAATCCCTATGCCGCCGATTAATCCCAACGATCCTTTCCTCGCGAAGCTCGCCTCCGCGGCCGCCAATTCTCCCGAGCCGCTCCACGCCCGTCCGTCCAACTCCGACTCGCCGCCGTACCTCGACCTCTTCGACTCGCCAAAACTCATGGCGACTCCCGCTCAAGTAAGCTCTCGAGCTCTTCTTACAGTCCCGAGTGGTTCTAGTTTGGTTCGTTTTTCTGATTATTCGCGGAATTAGGTGGAGAGGTCGGTTTCTTACAACGAGCACAGGCCAAGAAAGCCACCGCCGGACTTGCCTTCCTTGCTGCTTCACGGGAGAATAGTCTACATCGGGATGCCTGTAAGTTGATTGTATGAGAGACTGTTTCCTGGAATTTAACTTCAGCCTGTTCAATTAATTGCTGTTCTGCCCTACGCTTTCTTTCATTGATTTTCTCTGTGTTGTCAAATCTTGTTGATATTTGGTTGTGCTTGCGTTCAGTTGGTACCGGCTGTCACGGAGCTCGTAGTTGCAGAATTGATGTACTTGCAGTGGGTGGATCCTAAAGAACCAATCTATATGTACATAAACTCCACAGGGACTACTCGTGATGATGGTGAAACAGTAAGCATTGCTTCTCAGTATCACTAATGATGTACTCTATCGTTTGAAGGTTTTGATCTGTTATTGAGCGAAGGATCATTGTATCCACGTTATGCTTCATCTGCTGATATTGAGTATTGACAACGCTGTAGTCCGATAAATTGTTTTTGATTGTGCATTGAACTGTGAAATGGACTGAATGAGGGAATGTTAGTCTTCACTGTATTTCGTTCTTATCAGTTCCATGTAGGTATCAGACCTCTGCTTAATCCACCATTTCTTTTTTTGCTGCAGGTTGGGATGGAGACAGAAGGTTTTGCCATCTACGATTCAATGATGCAAATGAAAAATGAGGTGAGTTTCTTAGCGAAGTTATGCAAAATGCACTGTGCTGCTGGGCACCCTCTTCTCTCTTTGGTTGACACTTTTCTTAGAACTGTAGAGTAGTTTAGATAGCTAAATCCGGGGGAGATAGGTTGAACTCATCTAATGATATCCTGATTAGATCCACCAATGCAACACTCTTTGAATGGAATGGGCTGGTTTGTTTGGTTAGTGGCTAACATGAGTGATGTTGTTGCTTCTATAGATACACACGGTTGCTGTTGGTGCTGCAATTGGCCAGGCTTGTCTTTTGCTTGCTGCAGGAACAAAGGGAAGGCGGTTTATGATGCCGCATGCCAAAGGTTATTATCCTTGTGCTTCTTGCCCAGTTATAAGCTACCTGTTCTCTCATCTAATTGATTATTGGGTCAACCTTCATTTCAGCAATGATTCAACAGCCGAAAGTCCCATCTTCGGGTCTGATGCCTGCTAGTGATGTTCTAATCCGTGCGAAAGAGGTTAGTTGGATCCACTTAATCTCTGGTCAGCAGTTAAACAGCTGATATTGCTTATGTTTTCTGTCTTGTTTGCTTTATTGTTTTCCTTCTATTTGATGGGCCAATTTGTTATGTTTAATTAATGTATAGAGCGATAAGAAAATGTGATGAAACAATTCAAATTCAATTTGAGAACCATAGATTCCTATGATCTCTTACAAGTAAAGATGGGAAACTTTCATAGAAGATATGCTAGGACTCTTTTAGGTTGGTTTGTGAATCGTGACTTAAGTAGTCATGTCTTTAGAAATGGGGCGTCGCGTTCTGCAGGCTATAACAAACAGAGTCACTCTCGTTTGATGATCTATATCTGTTGGAAGACTCGAATCTGGGAAGATAATACAAACTTTGTGCATAATTTACAATTCGTGATCTATTCATGTTTCATCATGGCAGGCTATATCAAACAGAGACACTCTGGTTGAGCTTTTGGCCAAACACACCGAAAACGTGAGTATGCTTTCACTAATCAATACTTCTTCCTTCTCAATTGTTCTTCTACACTGTGCTGAGCAATATTCTGGGAATTGATTGCACACTTTTATCTTCAATCAGTCCGTGGAGACCGTGGCTAACGTGATGAGAAGACCGTTCTACATGGATGCCAAACGAGCCAAAGAATTTGGTGTCATTGACAAAGTAAGTCCACACTTGAAATGGTGTGTTTGTTTTCAGCTTGCTAAATAGTAGGTGATTTGTTTCCCCTTTTTCGCTTGGCTTGAAGTCAATGAAAAGTGTGGTTGGATTTTAGTAAAAATGGAGTTGATGGTTGGATTTAATTCAACTTTCTTCTTTCAAGTTAGTTTTTTAGCCAAAAGAACAACATATTGATATCCCATGCATGTTCAAGCTTATCTAGCTCATCCATTTGATCTCTAATGCTCTGCAAATCGTCCAGATTCTGTGGCGTGGACAGGAAAAGATAATGTCGGACATTTTGCCTCCAGAGGAATGGGACAAGCTGGCTGGCATCAAAATCCCAGATCCCTTCTAGTTTCCGGTCTGATTGTACTGGTACTTGTTATCTTGTAAACAAAGTTCAATTCCTCAGCTTCCATGGCCTCAAGAGCATGTAATGTCCTGGAAGTTTTAGTTCTCAGTAGCTGGCTATTGGTTTTTTGACAGACAAGGGAAAGAAAGCACTTATTGGTCATTTGTAGTGCCTGGAGAAGATATAATTGGATGGTCATTGTTACGTTGATTACCTGAATATCATTCTGATTACATATCGCAAATTCGTGTCTAAATTTGTGATGTATAAGCTAGATAGCTGACATGGCGAGTAACAAGTTAGTTTTCTGGTGAATCGCTTTCTAAAAGACGTAGAATCAGGCAAAGTTATATGCACGGTCTTATACTCTTATAGACGTATTGGGTTGGGTGCCCTCTATTTTATCTTCATTGGTCTCTCTTTTCTTCTTGTTTTGAGGTGAGGGATGATTTCCTTTCCTACGAATGAATGGATATAGCCTTCTCATCAACAATACTAACTATTCTTCCAAGGTTGTGTTGCATTCCTTGGAGCCCCTTTAAGTATACTACTACTCTTATCCTCAAACTACTATTTAATCAATAAAGATGGTTGGGTTTAAATGTGGAATAATCTTACTAAACATGAAACGAACCAAAATTAACTACTAGAGATAGGTTGTTGTTTAGGTTGAATTCTCTAGCTATAAGTTGACATAGGTTGAATGTAAGTCAATGAAGGCTTCTCTATCTTCTAAATTGCAAAGAATCATCTAGATTAGTGATTAAGTCAATGATCTTGCACTTAATCACTCTCAGATAGCTAGGTTGGTTCAATGGTCATGTAACCAACGAGATACCTAGAGTATTAGGGTTATACTCCTTAAACATAAACAAATGAAACTGCAACCCAAAGTTCATGCCATGATAACTCCACTTTATTAATATGTGTTTCTAGTTCTTGACATAATTAGATGATCTCTCTCTTAGGTCAAGAAACCCTAAAATCAAAATACTCAACATAATCATATGGAATTCATGAATATCCATCAATAGATATATGAAATAGGTTAACATTGAGAGTTCATTTTCCTAAACAACTTAGAGAAGTTAGAACATAGAGATAAAGAGTGTACAAAGAGCTAGATCCATATTCTCCTTCTTGACATAGCCACCCGTATTGAAAATTGAAACTTTCGATGAGTTGGTGGCAACGTTCTAGCAACTTTCGATGAGATAATTCTCAATTTGGTGAGTCTAATTTCACGAGAAGTTCAAAGGGAAATGCTCTCAAGTGAAGGTAGATAGGTGTGTGGTACCCACGTGTATTCTCAGTGTAGGTTATAAGCCGAATGAATGCTATTTACGGTTATTTTTCTCGTTTCCCCTACAATCTTTTATTCCTTTTTGTTTTTTAGGTTGTAGCAACTTTAATTTTTTGGTGTTTCTAACCGGGCAATAGAGGTCCTATGCATTTTGCTTTCTTTTCCCCTACATATACCTCGACCCATGTGGAGAGGGCACTGCTTAGGAATAACCAACCTTCGAACGACTTCTAACCAACTCTGAGTAGGGTCCAAGGCACATCATCTTCATACATGATATTCCAATCAGAAACAATTATATGCATGAGTTGCCCTCATTGGAGCGAGCGAGGACATCCTTAGGGTCAAATACATACAACTGTTTCAGAGAGGGCTGTATACATGTTGTCTTTATTCAGCCTGATAAGGACCTCCTTAAGGTCGTCCAATCATCCCTCCCTTATCACTCGATCAGTGCCTCACACGTAAACTTAATAAGCTACAACCATTTTTCAATTCTATGTTAAATTTGGTTGTGGGAAATCACATGATTGATCATCTTTCAACCGACTTATACTTAAAAAATCTAAGTTTTCACACATTCAATTTCAAACCTATATACAATCATTAATCATGCACATTGCTCTAAACACATAAAAAAATTTTGATCAGTTCATCCACAGCGATATAATCTCCCCATTACCCAACCGGAGCATGCCTGCTGGTAAACTGGGCTTTGTATGAGAAAACCCAGTGACATTTACCAACAGCCTTTTTATACTGAAGCCCAGCTACTAGTTTAGCCGCAAGCCCGCAACCCACCAAATCCAATGCCTTCCGGCTTCCGTAGCACTTTCGCGAAAGATCTGCACAGTTAGGATATTTTCTCAAACGCACAGTTTCGCTGTTCAGCTTTATCCAAATGTTAAAAGACCAAAACCGGAAAGTGTACAGTGCGCACGTTAGCGCTTACAACCCTTTTTTCATCGCGACTTTCTCTACAAGGTGCAGAAACTTCTCTTTCTTTTACATACACAGTTCCCTTCCTTCCTTTCCGCAGCTCGGCCTTCTCCCAAAAACCAAAAGGGAAATCACTCAGTCAACCGCTTCCGGCTTCCGTCGCCAAACCTTTCCGCCGTTGAAATAATTCAATTCACCGGCCAATGCTCGCTCACGGGCACACCAGGAAATCGGAACACCTTGTGATGAACGTACAGAGGATCGAGAGAGTGGATCTGTGGAAGACCAGGGCCCGGATACTCCAGCTCCGGCTCAGGGATCGCTTCCGAGTCGCGGTTGATCGCCACCTACACCGCCGCCGCGAGGCGTTCCCGGACGGATACTTCTCCGACACCGTCGGAAGATTGCTCGCCAGGTTCCGTGACTTCCGCCGCGAGTCTCTAGCTTCTCCCTCCGCTTTCTACCGCAAGAGAGGTTAGGGTTTACCCTCAGTTTATTCGGCGAATGCGCAGAACGGAAAGATTAGTAAGGTTTTTTTGTATTGTTCTTTGTTTTTGTTTGGCTTGGCAGTGAGCAAGGACTTCAATGCCGAGGAGGAATCAATGATCCTTCGAATGGTTCAGGCCGTGGCTGTTCCGCTGTTTGGGAACTTGTGTTATGTGTTCATGAATGGCCTTAATCGCGTTCAGGTACTTGGCCTCTTCAGCTGGATTTCATAATTGTTATGTGGAACCGTTTGTGTTTGGAGCTGGAAGGAAATTGAACTTCGGTGAGTTTCTCCAGGTTTATGGTCTGGAGAAATTGCACAAGGCATTGCTTGAGAGGCCCAAGAACAAGCCTCTTGTCACGGTATAACTTTGGTCACCCGTTCCTCCTTTGGATTTGATTGTTTGTGGTTTGTGAACTGAGCTAGTCACTTGTATCTTGCCCCACTTTTTAGGTTAGCAACCACGTTGCTGCTGTAGATGATCCCTTTGTGATTGCGTCTTTACTTCCTCCAAGGGTATTGATGGACGCCCAGAACTTGAGGTGGACGCTTTGTGCGAGTGATCGTTGCTTTAGAAATCCTGTCACGTCAGCGTTTTTCAAGTCTGTCAAAGTCTTGCCTCTCACTCGCAGGGATGGAGTTTATCAGAAGGTGCCATACACTGCTTGCTCTTATAGTTCTAGTCTGCATTGTTATTAGCGTGTTATGTCGGGAAACTAACTTGCCAATTAGAGATTCATGAGTGGTTTTGCTAATGACTGGAGCTTGTGTAGTTTGTGGAGTAAAAGTTATGCTGAAACCCCTATGCTTTCGCTCTTTTCCTAGTAGAAGATACCGTTTGGTTATTTAGTGGTTGCTTAGACAAATTAACTTACTGATTGCAAACTGTTTGTGGTCAAATGTGGAGGGTATCAGTGATGCCGTCACTCAGAGATGTTCATTTGTAAATTGCTAACTAGTAGTGCTTGTTCTGGCAAATTTGTGCTTTCACTCTTTAGGGTATGGACACAGCTATTGCAAAGCTAAACACTGGTGGTTGGGTTCACATCTTTCCAGAGGGTAGTCGTTCGAGGGATGGTGGGAAAACTATGGGTTCTATTAAAAGAGGAGTTGGGAGGTGAGCATGTATGATTATCCATTTGTTTCCGGTGGTTTTAAGCTGTGAAATCTTCAAGTTCTTAAATGGCCATCTTCTTCAGAGTCTGGCTGCGTTATCATCGGTGAATATGATTCTTATATCTTCCATTGTTCGGAAAGTTTTTGACCATTGTCTTCTATATTTATAGGTTGGTTCTCGACGCTGACACGCTCCCTATTGTAGTCCCATTTGTCCACTCTGGAATGCAAGAGATCATGCCGATAGGAGCTAGCCTTCCAAAGATTGGAAAGACGGTAAGTGGTTTTTTTTTCTCTGTGCAAGTATCTGGTTTGTCTCACTGCTTATTTCTTATTTTTCTATGGGTCAAGCAAGTAAATGTTTGGAGCCGAAAGGGGCTGATGGTAATATAGCTCCTTATTCCTTAACGACTGTTCCACACTCTCACTTTGGTTTCTCGTAGGAAATTTCATTTTTTCCACTCTTCTTTAACGAAACAAATAGTCAGAGAGTAATGTTCGATATCTGTGTTGGAGCCTGGAGGAATGTGGGTAATTATTTGCATCCAGAAGATGGTGGAATCTTTTGTGAATATGCAGGGAAAGAGACCCGCATCATATGTTTTCTGTAGTTTCGGTTTCAAGGTTGCCTGAATATTTCAGGATCCATTTGGGTTGTAGTATGTCTTGTTGAGAATATCCTCACATTTTTGCCCTCTAGTGGTAACTTGAGATGAAAGATCCTGATTGTGATCACCACGGTTCACTCTTCTATTTGCCCTCCTTTTTTACTCATAGGTGACTGTTCTAGTCGGCGACCCCATCTATCTCGACGACTTGGCAAACAACGGAAGCGAAAAAGAAGACCTCGCCAGAGGAAAGCTATACGACACAGTTGCTGCCAGAATTGGCCATCGACTGCAGAAAATGAAAGCCAAAGTTGACCAACTTGCCTTACAGGAGTTACATCTGCTGCAGAACGCAGGAATGCCCGAAAGAGCAGCGACTAACCTAGATTTGTATGCCCTAGAGTCTTCCGAAGAGCAAGGATTCGGCCAAACAATCCTCAGCAGCAGTACTCACGAGAAGTCAAGAATGGGGGACATATCGTTCATGGCCAGAGTTTCTTCAAGAATGGCTGCATACTGGGACTCCACCGAATTGGTGGGTTTCGCGGCCAAAGGTCTGTTCTCAAACCTAGAAGCTAAGGTTGGCGGGTCTAGTGTCAGAGATCTGAGCCCGCTGAAAGCATGGAGGCAATATCTGGAGGAGAACTTACAGCAACAAATGATTACCTGCTAGAGATAACTAATTTTGTCCGTCTCCTAGTAGACTTTTATCGGCTTCAGAGATTTTGCAGTTTTGCCATGTAAAAGAGAACCGAAGCTTTGTTTTGAGAAGCAAATAGGCCGAACTTAGCCATGTCTCTACTGTAAGTAAACGTTCTTAGAGATTTTCCACTTAATTTTAGCGGAAGAAATTAGCAACGACTAGACTCCAGTAACTCAAATGCATTGCCAATAAATTGTATGAACATAGTATGCTTTGAGCTATGAAGATAAACAAAAACAGGTGCTACCGTAAACTGAAAACGATTGATCTCTCTTACAAACAGCTACCTCAGAAGAAGAAAAACCCAAAAAAACTGCCGCTTTAATCTCTACTAAACATGAAGAAAAACACAAAGAAACACTCTATCTAGTTCATCCTCCTAAGGAGCTCATTGATATAGTCTTCCCTGTTTCCAGCATCTCCCCCTTCGACGTAATGGTTCCTCTTCTTCTTCAAACCGCCCAACGGAGCGCTCAGCTTGAACGGCCAGAGGAAGTTGTTTGCCTCCTTGAAGTGAGGTCCCACGGTCATGATCTCATGGATGAGATCTTCGACACAGATGATCCCGAATTTTCCCAGGCCCTGTTGATAATGCAGTTGGCTAAGATCAGGAAACTGGTATACATGGCAAAATAAGGACAGAAAGATCCAGGTCAATTGCATAAACGGCTACTATACTTTTCAAGCCACTAAAAGAACAGTCCCGACGCACATTCCTCAATCCAGGCCAGAATGATTACTCTGGCGGTCTGGCCAATTCTCTAATTTCTCCGTCTACTACCTGGTAGCTTAATTAAAGGGTCACTCACTTTTCTCATTACTAATTTGGTTAGTCCCTCTATAGAACTAGACAATATGGACGGAGAACTTGGCATTGATGGTCATTGGGCGGGGTGGTGTTACTACTTCTTCCTAATTGTTTCATACTTCAGTAGTAAGTTAGTTAAAGACAGATATTCAGAAAACAGTTAATAATCCCCACATTTTAGTGACAGTATGGTAATTGACCACCTAAAGATCAAGTGATGGGTTGCTAGCAAAACATTACCTGTTCGACGACGAAGTTGTCGGTCAAGGCAATTCTCTGCTTGTTCAGCTTACCAAAACCTCGCTTGTATATCAACTCCTTAACACTTTTCAGATTCGGGTATCTACACGTCAATGCTTCCACATGTTAGATAGATGTTCAAACTACACCAACCATGCAACCTCTCAACTAGTTAAAAAAAATGTCTCACCCCTTACCCATAGGTCACATAAGGCTCAACTCTGCGCAACATGTTGATTGTCGCCTTGTTGACCTTGAGGAACACGCCGTTGAATATCTACAGAGTATGATTCACTAGTTTCAGTAATCTTTAACTGTTACAAGTCTATTACAAAACTCGCTAACTTAACGAAACACAACCTGTCTGAGACGCAGAAGCTGCAGAATCTTTCTCGTTTTTGGGTCGATGGCATTAATTCTGTCAAGGGAAAGTGGAGATTCAGTCATTTCGAAACGTGTAATAAAAGGGGATTTGAGCAGCATACTCTCAGACACAGCTGCTTACCCACGAATCCTGACGATGAACAGAAGCTTGGCTTCAGGGTTAACATAGAAACCACCTTTCAACTTTGCCTCCCTTTTCAACCTGATGAGCTCCTTATCTTGCTCTGAGTACTCCTTGGCATAATTCTCAGCTCTCTTGAAGATAATCTTCCTATTTTCAGCATTCGTCTTCTTCTGATCCTCAAGAGCTTGACTCTTGGCCGCAGCCCATTCCTCGGTTCTCTTCGTCTTCTTCAGTACGGATTCAGGAACAACTGTTGCTGCTTTAGCATCAGCCATTTCTATTCATAAACGTAAAAAAAAAAAAAAAAAACCCAAAAAAGCTATCAATATCTCAGCAGCCATAGCAACAAATGCCATGAAACCAGAAAGAAAGGAACTACTAATAGATAATGCATTCAAACAACTTAATCATATACGCTAAGGGCATTCAGAAACAAGAACAGAAACCCCAATTTCCATATAGCTCATATATTATCAAAATGAAAAGAAACTATTCTCAAACAAGAACAGCAAGAAATAACCCCACTATTAGCGCCACGAAAACCCAACTCCGGAAATTCACAACAACAGTTTTAACGCTCGGAAATGGCTAAAGCAGCAAAACTCGTCCTTAGGCACTCTAAGGAATCAACAAAAGAGCTCAATGATTCGCATAACAACAACAATCACAGAAATCCCATAAGGAAAATCTAGCGTCGACGAAGAAGAGAACATCCGTTTGAGTCGTCTTTTACCTTGCCTCTCTGTCTCTGTCTCTGTCTCCCTCTCCCAGTCGCGGGCTTCTGCAAGGGCGGCTGCTGCTGGAAGAGTAGACCAAGACGACGCTGCGGCAGCTCGCCAGGGTTTTACATTTTATTCATAGGCGGAAGGGATTTCACATTTCAGCTAAACGGTGTCATTCCGTAATGTTTTTTTTATTTTTGCAATCTGATATGGCCAAACAAAATTATAAAATTGACCATAAGAAAGTAAGAAACCAGGTAGTCCATGGTCCATAAGGGCTTAAGAATCAAGGTCGGGTATCCATTAATAACCAAATTTAGATAATTTTTTTCGTTTTAATTCGAATTTTAATTTTTTTTGCACAAATGGAACGAGTTCATTGTGCTCTACAATATGAGATCAATTTTCAATATTTTGTGAGAAAAAAAAAATACTGGCCTCTCGATACCAACTACATACCATATGATATTTTCTTCGTTTTTAATTCATTTTTTAAAGCGTTTGCACAGAAGGGACGAGTTCATCATGATCTATTGGATCTACAAATTTCTGGGTGAACAAATTACAGGAACAAAATACCATACAATACCACCCTGGTACGGGGTGGTATTTTGTGGTACACAATGTTAAAAGTCGTAAATGACAGTTAATATACTTCTACTATCATGTATTCAACCATCTTACAGTCTTGGTTTGTTCATACCACCATGGTACGCTTTTCAAACCATAGGTATGCTCTTATTTCAATATCAGTCAATACCATATGGTATAGACTGGTAAAAAATGGCTCAATTTTTTTTGTTCGAAAAATATATCAAAGTGGATATTATTCTGAAGAGCATAATTAATCTGATCTAACTATGCAAGAAAAATTAAATTTTGACTTAAAACGAATGAGAAATCGTCCGTCAAAAATTAAGGGGGGAAAATTAAAGACTTTACTTTGCAGGAAAGAGATGAATGTTGTTGTCATGTTGATGTGAATGGATTACTCATGGTTACTCACCAACTATTCACAATGTGAGTGGGAGGGAAAAGTGGGAAAATAGGGAAAAAGGGGATGTTTTGGTCACAATGTGGAGGGTGGGAAAAGTGAGCAATTGGTTTAACACTTTGTTGTTAAAATCAATCTACAGTTGATTTTCTCACTTTATTTTTATATAATGATCATTATTTTTACGTAGTTAGTGATAATTAATTAATACGAACATTTGGATATAATTTTTTTTAATTTGGACATAATTTTTTTCATCACTAATTAAATATACGTCATTAATTTTGTCAGTTGCGGATAAAACCAATCAAAATATCTCACAATAAAAAAAACCATTAAAACAAATAAATTAGAACAAAAAAAATATAATAAACAAATTATATGCGGGCCCGGCAGTGGGCCCCTCCTCCCTCTCTTGCATCCACCATTTGTTTGCTAGTGGGTGAGTATTCACTATTCCCACCCAATTTTTCCCCTTTCTCCATCTTTTCCACTTTTCTCACCCACATTGTGAGTTATTTTCCCACTTTCCCCCTATGCCCACCTACATTGTGGAGAGTCTAAGATTACTGATCTGATCCGTTCACATCCATAAGTGTAACACGCCGTTCCTCCTAATATATAAAATGCCTAAACTACCCTCCTAACCGTAACGGCAAAACCCTAAAGGAATCCTAGGACGAGCGGCGGACAAAAGCCCTAGATCACACCCTCGTGAACACCCTCCGCCGAGCTCGATCATCCGCGCAAACTATGGTAGCGGAGAAGCAATCGCAGGGAGCAAGGGAAAATTGTATTACGTCCGTCGCATACGGAAGAGCCGGATGTACAGTGGATGAAGGGGACGGGACAACTCAGGTTCGAATGGCTCGGGTGCGAAGTAGGACGGACTGCTCGCGGGACAAGTTTCGTTGGGAAGGTGATCTCCCGTAGTTGACAATGGCGAAGAAGCTCACGGCCACGATGGCGTGCGTAGAATGTTGGTATCAAGTACATGATGTATGGTCAGGAGATGACGGGGCCGCTGGGGATTACGATACCCGGTGATCAACGAGGGAGTGGTGGAAATTGATAAAGGACTTGGAGGAGGTTGTTGTTTTGGACACCACGTATAGGTAAGTAAGTTACGATGCAGTGAACTTACTGAATTTGTTATGGTGAGTGGGGTGCATGGTTAATTATCATACTAGCTAATGGAGTGAATTTTGGAACCATCTTTACGAGGATCAATTTTTCGAGTTAACACTGAGAGGAATGGGATGGAATGACGCAAAATAGCAAGCAAAGTCGATCGCATCTACATGTTATGGCTTTCAATGGTTAAGCAAAGGTGCGTGGTTAAAGGGGGCTAGAGTAGTTTTCGTTATCGGTTTAAGTTATATATTTCAGTTCATGCTTTATATCTCGGTTGTTTCTTATATGCTTCCATGTTAAGCTAAGTCATTTACGTTTAGTCATTACTTTACGTGTGCATAGCATCACAAAGCATCAGTAAACTAAGTTTCAAAGCATTCAATTTTAAGCTAGACTTGTGCAAGCAAGTATAAATTAATTATATCCCTACATGATGCGAGAGATCAAGATAAGTAAGCATAAGAACTATCAAGTTAATAAGTACAAATAAGTAAGAGCACGTTTAATCCTTCCTTAGCTAGCTATGCACGCGGTGCAGGATCCCCATTGTGTGGGTGTTTTTGCCTTAGATAGGTGCAGGATCCCCATTGTGTGGGTGTTTTGCCTCAGATAGGCACAATTTACACTTTTATGCTCCCCATTGTGAAGGTAGTCATGTTAGGATATGTTATGACAAGTTCTACCGGATGGTTGCGCTAGCTAAGTGGAGGACGGGGCCCCATTTTAAGATAAAACACGCAAGACAGTTATAAAGTAAACAAGAACGGTAAGCTCAATAACTCCTGCTAATGTACCTAAAGCATCACATGTGCATGGCTGTCTGTTTATGTATGATAATGAAATTAGGATTAGGATTGACCCCATCGCCCGCAATCAGGAATTGTAGAAGCTCCATAAATACGATCAGGAATTCAGTAGTTTGCGACAAGGATCGGTGGCTCTAGAGGACTCCAACTTTGATACTTTAGTAGGATGAGTGGCTTGATGCAATTTTATGAAAGATGTTTATTCAGACAAGTATTTCAAGATTGTTCATGTATTAAGTGTTGTTTAATATGTTGCGTTTCCGCTTCTTTTCAAAGTATTTAATGTTCAGTATTTATTAAGGGTATTTTAGTAAAAGTAGTGTCCGACCGGACTAGGGTGTTACAATAAGTAACTGGTTTTTTTCTTTTTGCCATAAAGTAATTGTATTCTTGATGAGATAGCCTATTTTTCTACTAGATTGACCGCTCTATTAACGTTTTGAAAAGCAAAATGGCACAAAATTGACACGAAAACGAGAAGAGAATGAATTACCTCTAAAATGGCTCTAGCTCTCGAATGGGAAGACCTCCTCGATGTAGCATCCCTAGGGATGGCATTTTGAATCCGCTCCACCAAGTATTACCTGACCTGACCACGATGGGGCAGGTATTACCCGACCCACAGTAGTGTGGGGAGGGGCATGAGTATATATTTCCGACCCACGTCGTCACGCCCATCCCCGTTCTTGACCCATTCTATCTCAATTTGTTATAATATCTATTCATATTTCTTCTACTTTGACTTTTCTTCAAATAGTTAAACTTGATCTTTCAACTAGTTAGACTCAATTATCCATTCTATTATAATTATTTTCCATTCATGAAGTGTTTTTCACTAGTTTTATTGTAAAAAAATTAAATTTTAAGTGTATGTTTTCCAAATAACATGTAAGAGTGGATCGTCTCGTCCTGCCCCGTGCTTTGTGTGGGGCCAGGGGAGGACCCAGGGGGTTTTAGGGGTGTCCCCGGACACCCCTAAATTTCGGGAAAATGATTATCCAACCCCGCTGGTAATTTACGTATAGACAAAAAAATGATAGTGAGAGGGACACCCCTGAAATTTGAAAAAATGATTATCCTACTATCATTTGTGTATAAGAATATAAATGGTAGGTTGGGTAATTCAAATCTAGAACACTATTATTATTAATAAACTTAATTTCCGTTGAGCTACAACTCATTTGTTGTTCGATTTTGAACAATGTGTAATAGTAAAAATTCATTCCTTATCTCTAATTATTTCAATCTGAACTAATTTCAATCTACCCTTAATTTGTATTGATTTTATGATTGTACGGCAAGTGTTGAAGAGTCTTTCAGCTTTGGGTTACATCAAGAACAAGTTTACAAATCGAATATGCGATAAGTTCCTGAATGATTGTCTAGTAGGGTATATAGAGAATTTTTTTAACACTATAAACACCAAGTGTATTCTACAATTATTTTCGAATATGAAAACACAATATGGACTTTTTTAACCTGTACGAGTAAGGTATTTTCATATTTACGATTTTATTTTTATTAATTATTTTTATTTTTATTTAATTTATTTTTTAGAAGAGGACACCCCTATGGAAAATTTCTGGGTCCGCCACTGAGTAGGGTATATAGAGAATTTTTTTTAACACTATAAACACCAAGTGTATTCTACAATTATTTTCGAATATGAAAACACATCATGGACTTTTTTAACCTATACGAGTAAGGTATTTTCATATTTACGATTTTATTTTTATTAATTATTTTTATTTTTATTTAATTTATTTTTTAAAAGAGGACACCCCTATGGAAAATTTCTGGGCCCGCCACTGTGTGGGGCGTATATGGGTATTGAGGTATCTGCCCCACCTCATTGCCATCATTAAGCATCCCCCATCGACCAGTTGAGAATCTCTACATAAAATGTAACAACCAGGATATTATGAGTAAGAAACCATCTCATAGCATAACGAATGACAATTCTTCAAATGCAAGTGACATTAAGAATAAGACAACATCTCATACCATCATGAAGGTCATTCTATTTTGTTTGGTTTAAGGGATTTTTTTTCCATATTGTTCTTAAGGGAACTGATAGATACATAATGCAAGTCTCCAAGGTAACTTTCATAAGACAATGGGAATAAGGACGATGATTTACAATTGATAAGAGAGCATTTTAAGTCACAATACATGCAGGTCATTGGTACCTTTTCGACATGGGTAATTCATTGACTTAACTTCTATCCTTTGCAAAGAAAAAGTCATGGATCAAGTCACCGCTAAAAGATGAAAGCAGTGCATCAAACCCCTACAAATCTAATCAATCCATATATAATATTTACACAAAGACAATTAAACCAATGAACGAGATACAAACTTGTGAATCAGTCACAGTTAGGGTAGCCTAACATCCCACAAGACGAAAAACTGGTGAAAGACTCTCAAAATTCAATGACAAGTCAATCCTCACTATCTTTGGAGAGGCATCAAGCTCAAAAGCAACGAAACAGATCCCTCAAACAACAACAAACACAATACTAACCCCAATACGCACTCCAAGGGAAAGCATAGCTAACTAGCCCAAATAAAATCATATCACAATCGAGTTAGCCACCCTCTGATAGCTAGACGTAGTGACCTTAACCAGAAGTTTAAACAATAAATTATTTCCCCACTTCACAAAGAAAATAATATGAACAAACATAATGTTATACTACTAGTACACAAACATAAATGGAGGTAAGGAAGAAAACAACTATAGTGGTGCAACCACATGAAGATAAACCATCAAAACTTAATTCATTGAGTTTACCTTCCCAAAATTTGCAACATAAAAAAAAATCAACCCCGCAATACCGCCAACCAACCTAACCTGCTCATACTACAAGACGATTTTTGGATCTTGACGACAACAAATAACCAACATTTCCAACAACAATAGAGACAACATAAGCCAAAGGAAAACATGAAAAGCATACATAACCAACACATTAAAGAAGACACAACAACATGAATATAGAGAAACAAGAAGAACAAATGAAACCACACGCGAACAACATACAAGGCACCAATTAGAGCACAACAACAACCTACACCTTTGACCCTGTAAATAAAATTTGAGAAATTAGAACTGAAAAATGGCGAGGGCAAATGCCATATATTCATTAATGAACTGCACAGTGCGAACTCTGACCCCCGTTGAGGAATAAAGGCTCGAATTATTAGACACTTCCAATGAAGTCATAGCTGAATTGTGAACATAATTTTTTTTCCATTGAATATTGTGAACATAATTAGAAGGATGTACGTCAAAAAAATTAAACCATGTCAAGAAATTCCATGAAAAACGAACAAACAACAAGACCTGACAAGGCATGTCCAATGAGCAAGAAAATAACCAAGTAGACATGTCCATATTCGACATGACTTATCCACCAAGGAAATGAGATAGAGGCATCGATGGATTGTTGTAACCGAAGGCAAAGTAAAAAGCAGAGTAATTATGCGATTGAAGATTCCGGTGGGCGGATGATCGGGGTAATTGCGTGTAAAAATATTAACTCTCATTTTGGTGTGGATTTGTCCAAAAAGAACTTATTAGGTGTCGCACGATAATTCAAATATTTAGTCGTCGTTGATCGTTAGGTTTCTTCTGTTGCGATTGGAGTTTCTAGTGGGGGCGACCATACAGGTCTCTCTTGATAGATCTTGGTCTTCTCTATTCAAATTGGGAGGTAGGAAGAAGAGGAATTAGAGAATTCCTGGTTGTGTTCAATTTTTCTGAGTGGGCTTCTTTTTGGATGAAGTGTTCAACGTCAATTGACTAAATATACACGATAGGTTTTTATATGAGTTTAGCTCAAACAATATATTTTCTATTATTTTTTCATAATCAAACTAGTTTGTTAACAGTAAAAGGGTTTACAAGCCTAATGCCTACTTACAAAGTAAATCATAGGTCTACAGTCCCATAAAACAATTTTGTCCCAATCAGCTCATAAATGGGCCACCGTATTTGCTGAGCGTGGAAGGAATGACCAATTTGTGATTCTTCGTTCGTTCCAAGGCTGACCACATTCCATCTTCATCTTATTATCGAGTCTTCCAATTTATGAACCAATGGTTACTGCGCTCATTCCAAAGGAGCAAACAAAATGTGCAACACCTTTGTAGCACAACATTAGGGAAATTCGAAGACCTTTTTCCAACCACTAATGGCAAGTTCTTCATTCACCTTTGACAATGCGGCCCTGGTCGGTGCTACCCCAGATAAAAGCTCTGATCTTCCTGTCAATATACTCCCTCACACTGGCGGGAAGAAAGGTTGTCTGCATTGTATAGGCCGGGAGGGAAGCCAATACTGACTGAGCGAGAGTGATCCGTCCTGCTAGGGATAGCGTGGACGCTTTCCATCCTGCCAGGCGGGTGTCAATCCTATCAACTAGCTGCTGAAAAGTGGCCTTCGACACCCGATCATGAATAACCGGGACACCCAGGTATCTTCCCAAATTTTGAGTAACCGGGATCTGAAGCTCATCACTCAAGCTATTCCGGCATTCTGTGGTGGTGTTAGCTGAGAAAAACACTCGAGACTTTGGCCTACTGACTTGCTGTCTTGACGAAGCCCCGAACTGCTCGAAGCAGTCATTTATCACCTGCACCTGGGCTCTGGATGCCTCCCCAAACAAAATCAGATCATCCGCAAAGAAGAGGTGAGAGAGTGCTGGTGCGGCCTGTGACAGCTGAATCGGTTTCCATCTGCCCCCCCCCCCCCCGTACAGCGTCATCAATGATGTGCCCCAGCCTTTCCATGCAGAGCGTGAACAAGTATGGAGACAGAGGGCACCCCTGTCGGAGCCCTCTAGAAGGCTGAAAGTGCTCCGTTAGCCCCCCGTTCCACTGGATTTTCATGGAAGCCGATGAAATGCACGCCATGGTCAGGTCAACGAAGTTGCTGGGGGCCCCTGCAGCAATTAAGGTATCTTTGACAAAACCCCATCTTATTCGGTCATAGGCCTTCGCTAAATCCACTTTCAATACCATCCAACCTCTCCTTCCCCTTAGAGCTCTCATCGAATGGATTACTTCCTGCAAGATGCATATGTTATCGGTGATATGTCGGCCAGGGACAAAACTAGTCTGGGTTTCATGGACCAGGGATGGCATTAAATGCTTCAGTCGTTCGGCCAGACACTTGGTGACCGCTTTATAAGCCACATTACATAAACTGATGGGCCTGAATTGATCGATGGTGGTTGGTTGCTTCACCTTCGGGATCAGGACCAGAATTGTGGAGTTCACTTCCTTGATCTTCTTCGGGTTATCCCAGCAGTCAAGGGCCAGTTGCGTAAGCGACTGACCAACCGTCTCCCAGCATTTTTGGAAAAAGATTGGGTTGAGACCATCCTTCCCTGGTGCCTTGAGAGCACCCATAGCCTGAATAGCACCGCGAATTTCCTCCATGTTCGGCGTTGCGGCGAGCGGATGCCACCTCGCGGGCTCGAGAGAAGGAAAATTCCCCTGGAGGGCAGGTAGATCCCCCCCCCCCCCTCATCCATGTATAGCTGGCTGAAGAAGACTCGTGCCATTTCCAGGAGCAAGGCCTGATCTTCGATCCAATTACCCGCATCATCCTTCAGCATAGTCACCCGGTTCCTGCTCCTTCTCCTTAGGGTCCTGGCGTGGAAATATGTCGTGTTCTTGTCTCCCGAGCTAATCCACTCGAGCCTGGATTTCTAACACCAGAGCAGTTCTTCTTGAAAGAGTACTAATTCGAGCTCCTCCTGAGCTTGCTGGAGCTGAGCGGAGTTCCCAGTCCCACTACCATTCTGCTCTAGCTCTTCAATTCGGCGAAGTAGATTATCTTTCCTCCTAGTAACATGGCCGAAAACATTCCTGTTCCACCCTCTAGCGTCCTGGGCGAAGGCTTCTGCCGAGGATGTGAAGGAGTGGCCCTTTGCCCAAGCTTCATCCATCATTTCCCAGAAGTTCTCATGTGTAAGCCAGGCTGCCAAGAAACGGAAAGGCTTGGGTCCGGCGGGAGTGTGAGGCTCTCTTAATGAAACTAGCAGTGGCCTGTGATCCGATTTATTCATGCGCGGCAGGTGCCTAACCACTATTTCTGGAAAAGCTGAGATCCAAGCATTGTTTGCCATGCCCCGATCAAGCCTTTCTCGGAGACCCGTCCTGAACCATGTGTAAGCCGGGCCAACGAAACCCAAGTCTATCAGCTCAGTATCTTGAATTACATCCTGGAAATCACGAATTCGGGATGCATCAAACGGGGCACCCCCTAGTTTTTCAGATGGGCTGATGATAGAGTTGAAATCGCCCACCAAAAGCCAGGACTGGGTCATCCCTTCAGTAATGGACCGTAAGAAGTCCCATAATTCACGCCGTTGTACCGGTGCAGGGCAACCATAAACTGCCGATAACTGCCATGCAACATCTTGCTGCATCCGCCCCTGTACCTGCATATGGAGACATTGATGGTGAGTGTGAATTCTAGTGATGGTAAGGTCATTCGAATTCCAACTGACCCAAATTCCCCCCAAAAACCCAATAGCATCCACTACAAGTTCGTTATCGAAACCCATTTCTCGAATTACTTTCAAAGCACGGTCCCCACTGATTCTAGGTTCCAAAGTAATCACAATATGGGGTTTAAATTTCCTACGATACTCACGAAAAGCACGTAAAAAACCCTTGCCCCCTGCTCCCCTACAGTTCCATGAAAAAAATTTATAATCCATAAAAAGGAGGGTTGGAAAGATACTCCCTTGAGTTACGCGTTCGACGGGTGGCTCCCGTCGCTGTGGTTCCCCGAAGCTTGTTCCTTCATGTTCTCGTCCAGAGATCCGGAGTTCATTGGGTGAGTGTCCGAGCCGATGTCTGGTGGGCGGCCGTTACAAACGGTGGCGATCGATGAAGGGACTTGAGGTGCCAGTGCCTCCCCACCCCTTTGCATGGGAGTGTGATCCGAGACCACGTCCTCCATGCGACCATGGGCTTCATGCATCGCCTGGTCAGTCTCAACGTGCTCGGACACTCGTGAGTGACTTCCGTTCCCCGCAGCTTGTGTAGGTTTCGAGTTTGGCTCCCGGGTTTCATTGTTTGGACCGCTCTCCTTCGAAGCAGGTGTATCTTGTTCTTGCACCTTGGTGTGTTTTTTCCGGCTCTGGTTACGCTGCTGCTTGGACTTGTTCGGCTCGCGGTTGTCAGTCTCGGCCTCGGATGTCTCCCTGTGCGAGTCGGGCTCCTCGTCCAAGGCCGCAAACCGCGATCCCCCTGCCCTCTTTTGCACTTTGTCGACGATCGGTCCTCCCCGGTGGTTTGAGCTTGTCCCCACCTCTTTCTTGGGGGGGGGGGGGGGGGGGGGTTGCGTTTAGCTATCATCCACTCCCCATAGAGATTCTCAGGTTGTGAAGGTGGGGGAGTGGTTTCAGTATCAACATCTTCAGCTTCCATTGGTGCTTACGTTTGGCTACAGTAGCATGCACCCCGCTCAGCATATGTCCCGCAGTTCAAGCATATTTTCTCCAAGCCTTCGTACTGGATAAAGTACCGCTTGCCCTTGATGGAGAACTTCGAGAGCAGGGGTTTCGTGAGATCCACCTGCACACAAACTCGGGCGTAATCACTGCGTGCTGCTGTGCGTGTGGCCTCGTCTATTCGAATCGGTCTTCCAATGCGTCGACCAATTCGCATCACAGCATCCTCATGAAAATACTGAATGGGAATCTCCAGCAGCCGGGCCCAAACTAGAGTCGAGGAGACTTCATGGTTATAAGGGTCGAAATCACTGTCCCACATATGCACAGAAAGGTAGTTTTGTCCGATCATCCATGGACCATTCGTGACCGCCCGGTCGTAGTCGAGGCCGCTGGTAAATCTGACCAGAAAATAGTTGTTCTTCATGGACGTGACTTGAATCCCTCCTGCCTTGGCCCAGATAGTGTTCAACCGTAGTGAGACCGCCGTGTAAGACACTGTCCGACCCAATGCTTTAACGACGAGAGCAGACCGGAAGTTGCGACAGTACGTACGTTCTTCCGCCGCCGTGAAGTAAATTGTCGGGCACATGGGGTCATCCTCTCCAACAAAACCCTCGTCCAGGCCGTCCTGACGCATCGCCGCTGCGGTGTCCTCGCTATCGGAGTCAGCAGTGTACCACTCGTCCATGCGGCCTTCGCCGCCAAACAGTCTCCGAGCCGCCCCCGTTCCCTGTGACCAGACGTTCGGTCTCGGGCTGAGCGGTGGTGATCTCCGGTCGGCAGCTTCCTCCCGGCTAGGCACGCCCTCTGTTCCCATATGGTTGTTCGGGGCCGTCGGTTTCGCCCTCTTTTTGGTGTGTTGCGCCTCCCGATCCCCTTTCGGGTTTGGTGATGAAGATGCCAGAGGCGGCCTACGTTGGCCGGCAACTGACTCGAGCGGTGGGGGAGATGACAGCTTCCCCCCGGCCGGCGGCACAAAGTCCGCCGACATCCGTTTGGAACCCTAGCCGCAGATCGATTTGCAGTCACCCTCCGAAAATTCAGGAGAAAGAGTCGAAAACTGATGCCGACTCATGCAAAACTCTAATTATTCTTTACTTTTAAACTTTCTATTTGAAAATAAAAAATAATGAAAGAAAAGAGATGACTGCAATTCGCCATTTGCACATCACTGATTCAGGAATAAAACTATAGAATTTCGAAAGGAAACTGAAAATGTTTAGGATCGTTTTAATGTTAAAAATAACCAAATAGATCTTTCTGTTTAGTTTTTTACTAACAAATACCAAACGATTCCCTATAATATAAACTATAATTTAATCATTATGATATCAAATAATTACATAATATATATTTGAAATGATAAAAATTGGACTAATTGGGTTGGTCGAGGTTGAACCATTGAATAACTTTAAAATACATTATATTTTAGCTACTAAGATATAAAATAATAGCATAATATATATTATGCTAGAGAAAATAGCTTGTTTTAGAATGGCAACCCATGATGTTCATTTCTTTTACTTGATGGGCAAATCCTGTGTAGGTTAGGCCCATTCAACTCTTTTATTTTATGATTAGCGGTTAGCCCATTAGAATCCATGCATTAGTTTATTGTTAAATTTTTTTCTTTTTAGCAAAAAAAAAAGGAGTATTTTTTATGGGTAATCAAAAAATTGCATTAAGCACTAAGGTTGCAAACTGCTAACCCCTCTCCAAGTACAAACCATAAAGAAATGGCAACAACTCAAAACACAAGACAAAATAAAATAACTCTATCTATGCATCATTTACATCAACTAGGCTTTGCAGCAAGTAACCATTTAACTTCCTCTTCCATTCTTCTAATTAGCGCTTTTCTTCCATTCGAGATTTCCTTTTTCCTTATGTTTTTGCCTCCATTCTCTTCTTCTTCTTCTTCTTTCTGCTTTCTTGCAGGCTTTAGATCTGTTACCGTCGTGTTTGTCGTTGGAAAAGCAGGCGTAAAACCCAATCTTAAGCGCTTCCCATTCTGTTGCCCCTTCTTTTTTGACTTCCTTGTTTTACTCGCAAGGCGTCCAAACCGTTGAGCTTCGTCTGTTCGGCATGGTATACGCTTTCCCTCTCATCTTCTTCCACCAACATTTTTTGACGCAACTTCTTCTCCTTGCGTTGGGGCTGCTTTGCTTCTTCTATTGAGCATCTGCCAACCGCTACTTTTAATTTCTCGGCATCATCGTTTATCCTTGCCATTTCCTGAACGCGTTTCGCTTTCCCTTTCTTTTACTTTTTGTCCTACAAACTTCTTCCCAGGCCTTGGTCGCCTTAAATTCTCCAAGCATTTGAGTTATCCTTTTTTGATTCGCAGACGTTCTTCTTCGAAGGCGTTTCACTTGCCTCGGTATTCCCGTGACCTCGGGAACTCCGTCTGTCAGCTTTTTCCAATCTAGGGAGTAGCTGAGACGGCTATGGGGCAACGTGACGAAGAGATTGATGTTGACTATAGGAACTATAGTAGAGTAGGAAAGGACCAACTTTTGAGAAAGAGAAGAGGTTCATCTTGACTTGCGGTTGGCTTCTCCTTTTTGCCGGAGCTCCGACGCCGACAATGTCTACGGCTGCCGGAATCTGAAAATTGCAGTCTTCTTCTTCAACTGCTAACTGTTGCTTTGCTGGGTTTCTTCGACCAAGACTTGCTGTTGTCAGTTCTTGTGAGAGATGGCGGAGAATGGATTGCTTTGGTTCTGGATTTTCATTGGCGATTTGTGCGAGCATATTTTGTCGCCGGAGCTGGGTTTGGGGTTGAGGAGTATCGGAAGAGTAGGAGGATGAGCTGGTGGTGATGGCGCCATGATGGCCTCTCCGCCCACCGGAATATTCTCGTTGCTCCCTCTATTTCTTCATTTTTCCTTAGTCATGCTGCTTATGCTTGTTCTTCTTTTTGGTAATGGGAGAATCGGTTTTGTATGGTGGTCTTGAACTTGAGACAGCCCCCAGATCTCCCCTCCTTTAGAAATCAAGCTGAGAGAATTTCAAAATCATAGCCCTACCGCCCCACGGTGGGCGCCAAATTGTTTGACCCTGGAAAGTTCTCAAGGCTAACATAGTAATTATGGGGATCCGATTTGGACTCCCTCATATGATCTCCTCGGGAGTGGAAAACCTGTGAAGAGGGGGGGGGGCAGGATCTACGCTCTGACGGCCAAGTTAGTACGATATAGAGAAGGTATATGATCTCTATAGAGATAAAATAGAGAGAGACCTTTAGGAGAAAGTGAGGAAGGGAAGTAGATAGGTGCCCCCCCCCCCCTCAGCTTGGAGGGTTTGGCCTCCTTATATAGAGTTTGTGCTTCTTTAAGTGGGCTTTGACTCAGGACACCTTGCGGTGGGCTTGGGCCCGTTAATAGTCGTGCTAGGCATATTAATCCATATCCCAATACGGCCAAGTTAGTACGATATAGAGAAGGTATATGATGTCTAGAGAGATAAAATAGAGAGAGAGACCTTTAGGAGAAAGTGAGGAAGGGAAGTAGATAGGTGCCCCCCAGCTTGGGGGTTTGGGCTCCTTATATAGAGTTTGTGCTTCTTTAAGTGGGCTTTGCCTCAGGACACCTTGCGGTGGGCTTGGGCCCGTTAATAGTCGTGTTAGGCATATTAATCCATATCCCAACAGGATCAAAACTCTCAAATGCTTTAATAGATAAACATTTGAGGAGCCAATTTTCAACCAAAGAGACTAGACCAGGGGTAGGTCGGGGCGGGTATCTTGATATTCAGACCCCCTCCATGGTAATTTAGTTTATGTTGGGTAATTATTATGGGCCATGGGTCGGGGTAGGCATGCCCATACAATATAGTCCAAAATCGCACTTTAAACTTAAAAGTTTACGCTTTAACACTTTATAATTCTAGGTCACCAAAATGCTTCTACGTAGAGTCACGTTTTTCACTTATAATTGTAGTAAAAATTTACACATTGAAGGTTAAAAGCTTACGTTTTTACAATTCTAGGTTTCAAATGAGGATAATATAGTTAAAATATTTGAGAAACTGAAATGCTCACCATTTACAACTTTATTATAACTAAAATATGAGCTAATAAAAGTAAAATACTAAATAAGTTAAGTAAACTTACATATAGTTTATACAAAAACGGGTTGAGAATGGGTCATGTCAAGTCGGCAAGAATACTCATGTCGGCCCATCTCCGTACGAAGTGGGTATTGATCAAACAGGTCAGGTAAAACGAATCCAGTCGAAATTGTCATCCCTAACTTTGTCGTCTAGCAAACGACGGGTGGGCATTCGGCCGGGTTGGTCAAACCAAACTTGAACAAATGGGCCGAAATGGTCGAAATCTAGTTTTTGCCTATGTTATTACGAGATGCAATCTCTCTGTGGACGACAGGCGAGAAATGGGCCGAAAGCTAGCTAGAAATTGTGATTATTTCCGCTGCCTCCCAATTTTGTCTTCTTCAACACTGTCTGTCTGGCTCCGCCTCCCCGACCCCAAACAACGTTTGAAAATCTCCCAAGTCTCACCGGCACTTGGTTTCAAGGGAGGATGCAATAACTCGCGGCCGTCCTCCGCTGATATGTCGCATGCAACAGTCTCTGTCTCCACGACTCCACCGCCAAGACCATCTGCCACTAAGTCAGTAGGAGAGAAGAAACAAAGGGGAGTATTGAATCAAAGTGGGAGAAACTAGGAAGATTGAGCAACTGGATTTTGAGGGAAGAAATTGACGAGATATAGAGGAAGGGAGGGTCGCGATGACGAGATATGCAGGATGGATGATGAAATATCGATCTATTGATTTAGAACATCATACATATACATAGTTCGTTTCACACTGAATTTGAAAATAACATAGTTTCGTTCCGAATCTCGGGCCGAACAATGAATTTGGGTCTCGTTTGGGTCGGTTCAGACCGATCCGGTTGCCCTTCCCCTAGGACAAACCACAATTATGGCCTATGGAGTATGGAGCATGGCCGCATAGGCCTTTGCCGCCTAGCGGGGAGGCGAGCACAGTTAAACGACGCCGCCTCCGATTTCCAACACTTGAACGGTCGCGATTATGCCCCACAGATGAACTTTACAGATCACAAGTTCGCACATCTTCCCATTCTCTCTCTCCTCATTTCCCTTCCTTTCAAAATCCAATTGAGCGGAGGAGCGGCCGAGCCAAGCCAACCCGACGTCTCGTCGGTTTTTCCAGAAGAAACCCAAAACCGCCGGCGGAGCGACGACGGTGAAAGGAAGCAGACAGACGGTCAGTGAGTCACCGTGTTAGCGAGTGATTGAGTAAGAGAGGCAACACAGAGCAGCAATGGCGGAAGAGGAATGCGAGCTGAGCGACGAGCAGAAGAAAGAGATCGCCAAATGGTTCCTCTATAACGCTCCTTCCGGCGAAATCCAGTACATTGCCAAAGGTCTCCGTGCCGCTTCGTTTTACATATGCATTCTTGCTTTTTCTTTTTCCGCATTGCGTCGATGTCTCAGTTTTCCGGATCGAGTCTCGTGATTGGTTTGCAATCTTTCCGTGCAGATTTGAGATCGGTGTTGAACGACGACAAACTGTATGATGAAGCGACCTCGGAGGCGTTCCCTCTCTACAACAAATCTCACTTGATTTGCCTCGAACTTCCCTGCCGGAGCGGCGACGTAAGTTCCCCCCTTCCTCCCTTCCCCGAACTTCCAGTGTCTTTGGCGTTGAAAGAATTCCAGATTATCTTGAATTATACTGTTTATGATCTTGATTCAATGTAATTGGAAACGGAGATTGTGTTATCTTTTAACTGACGATGGTTCGGATTGTCAGGTATTGATTACGCCTTACAATGAGCTCGAGGAGAATCAGTTTATAGAGCCCCGGACTGCACAGATTGTCACAATTGATCATGTCAAGCAAGTAAGCTTCCTCTCTAAGAATGTATTAATCATCATTTCTAAGGGCTGGCATTTGGAATTTGGTGTACTCGCTTTTGAAGACATGAATGAATGAATGCATTATTGGTAATGCAATTCTTAGTTATGAACTTTGTTTTACCTCTTTAGGCACTGCTGTTTTGTTGGTTCCCCATCTTGTATATCATGACGTGCTAAATGGATTCAGGCTTGTACAGAGGCGAGACCGGCAGCCGATGAGGAACTCGCATCGCCTTATGTTGAGGAATTCCGGTACGGTTTGTTTGACTTTGATGGGACTTTTTGCTTAATGATGGTTTAGGATGGTAACTTTGATTTGAAAGTTTATATATTTTGACAATGAATGCATTATAGCCCTAAATAATTGTAGACTTTTAGGAGTCTTTTTTCGACTAGAATGGAATGTATTCAGTGTGTTGAGTATCGACTTAGATGAGACTTCTCGTAGCGATGGCTTAGAATGGTAACTTTGACTCCAAAGATGAGAAAGATTAATAACAAGCGTTAATAATATAATTGCAGAGTGCGTTGGGGTCTTTCAGTATCAGAATTGATTATTTTCTTAGTGGATTGCTTAGAATGAGACTTTACTTTATGATGGCTTATAATGGTAGTTTTGGCCGCGGAAGATTGAATAAGAGTAACAAATGCATAAGAACCCAAACTAATTGCAGAATCTGTCAGTCTTAGAACTCAATATTTTCTCAGTGTTAAATGGGTGAGTTTTGCTATTTTGGAAATGACAGTTGTGCACTGGACGCGGAAATACTGAAATATGTAGAAGAAGCTTATCCTAAAGGTGTCTGCTCAGTCTACTTTGTTGATGGCAAGGATGCCGAGGGGCCAGGATGTAATTTTGAGTTTGCCGTGGTCATAGCAGCTGCAAGAAATAGCCCTAAGAATTTTTGGTAAGTGGAGCCAGCCAAACTTTTAGCTGTTAAGCTTTTCGTTCTTCCGCTATTTCTTTTATTGTTTTGATTTGATCATACTGCTGATTCTCAACCAGCAGCTTAAAAGTAGTTACTTCTCAGTCTTAATAACATTTCTTCCAAAATTATATAGCAATGGAAGTTGGAGGTCAGTTTGGAACATAAAGTTCAAAGAAGATGCATTGGAAATCAAAGGAAAATTGCAGGTACCATTTAGCAATAGCTAGTCTTTCTAGCAAATCAATATTTGTTGTGGTAGGGAATTACTCATCTGCACTGAACCTCAAGGGTTGCTTTCCCCCCCCCCCCCCTCGCTGGTGCATGTTTTTATCTTGCAGGTGGATGCCCATTATTTTGAAGAGGGGAATGTTCAGTTAGATGCAGAACAAGAATGCCAAGATGGAACTATCTTTCAGGTTGATAGAAGGATACATAATTTCCCCCAGTTTCATAATGTGTTGTTTATCATGATTCAAGGGACTTTCATATTCATAAATCATATGGTGGGAGTCATTACAGTTCCTACTTATTGTCATTGGTAATGTGGTATCTTGGGTTACTGAACGGAATCTTTTTCTGGTTTAGGTAGCATACTAGCACTTATGTGCCTTATTTGGTTTCTGGTATAGGATTTAGGCTCTGTGAGGACTTAAGCTTCACATGGCTAAATGCTTAACCTCTCCCAAAATTTTGCTTCAGGCACCAGACGATTGTGCAATTTCGATAGCCAACATTATTCGTCACCACGAGGCAGAGTACCTGAAATCTCTTGAGGTTCTTAACTTCTATCCTTTCGTTTTGGTTTCTTTTTAATACTTGTAAATGTTCAAGATTTCGAGCTGGTTGTGCATGCTAACATCGTGTCTTTCTTACAGACATCATACTCGAATTTGTCAGACAAGACTTTCAAGGTACTCTTTCTCTTATACTACCTACACCATGCCCTTCTGACATTCTACAGATTGCACTCTACTTGATCCATAACCATCCTCGTTTCTGTAAAATTTCCGTGTTCATTTACGGTTGCAGGATCTAAGGAGGAAGCTTCCAGTCACCAGGACTCTCTTCCCGTGGCACAACACCTTACAGTTCAGCCTGACAAGAGATATCCAGAAGGAACTTGGAATTGGGAAGTGAACAACATATCATTATCATCATCATCATCAGAACAAGAGACATGTATACGTCGGCCTTTCGGGTACCATGTGGACGAATAGTAGTTATTTTGATCACCCCCTGCGACTTCAGAGAGAGCTGTGTTTATCTTTGTGCGCCCATTTGTCATTGCATATTGTTTACTGTCTCTGTCACCTCTTCCCCTCAGTTTTGGTGTTGTACCATCGCTTTTTACAGGCTTGTGTATCATGTATAGTTTCATCTCCCTTTTATATGTCCTGAGCAAACCTTATGTTAGTTTCGCCCCCGAACGATATGTGTCACTGTATTGCTCAAGTACATTACTCTGTCATTTTTGTAGTTTGTTTTTGTTTCCCCTCTCTTTGATCGCCGGTTTTGAACAGGTCATATTCATGCAATCTGAACTCTAGTAATGTACGGTGTCGTTTGGAAGTTGCGATTGTTTTGTTGAGATTGTCATTATGCATATATTGTTTATAATGCATCGTTTTTTTGTTTTTTAGCAGAAACAATACATGGATTGTTTCTATGATGTGACAGAAACTATCACTCATTTTGAGTGATTGTTATATCTCAACTTTTAGTTGTGATTTTTGAGATAGTTGAGTTGAGATTACACAATCACACATACCAAACGTTGTATTCTACAATGCATCAAATCCGACAATACATGTATAATATTATGCATGCATTCTCAACAATACATCTATTTAACAATCGCAACTTCCAAACGACCCAATAGTGAATTATGGAATTCACTTTTCCAGTAATGTTTAATAAAGGATTGAAGGAGAAATTACTTTTCATCAAATTGTAGATAAATGTTAAAACAGAAGCTGAAGAAAATAGGTGCAAAACTTCCATTGCCGGGAATCGAACCCGGGTCTCCTGGGTGAAAGCCAGATATCCTAACCGCTGGACGACAATGGAGGAGTTTGTCCATATGACACAAATAACAAACTAATTACATCAATATAATTGACTCTCAGTCAGCATTAAACAGAGCACCATTAGTACAGTGCACCTTCAGAGAAACATATATAGTTCTAGTTCTAGGGTTTCCAGTTCCTTGTAGCTAATGTTATGGCGGCTGATTAGTTACTCAAGGCCCGCTCATTTTTTTTTTGCTTATAACAGTCGGTAAACCTCTTCTGGCTCCTCTTGCTGGTTGATAACAATCTCAGGGTAAAGATCCATTCTTTCTAGATCCTTTCCCCCTGCGAACCACAGCAGAATGTCGATTCTTTCTAGGGCACTGTTATTTTTCTCTCCACATTGTCGAGATGATGAATCAATGGCGTCTCATTCACAGTTCCTCCTATGTTCCTCCAAATACAAGCTGAACAGCTCTTCTGTTTGATTATCAATGTCATTCCTGTCTGTTCATTTCGTTTTAGCTTTTTGAATCTGAATCCTCCCCTCTCTCTGGAATGAGGAGAAATAGCCAAATCAGAGATTTGATGTGCTCCATAAGGTGATAACGGCGCCCTCCATTGGTTGCATTTGCCTTATGTTGAAGCGTGTCCTTGGTGATAACATCAGAGAATTGGTTTTCTAGCTGACCAGAGTTTGGGATCAATTTTTCAGAACCAATTTTTGCTGTTTTCATAGTAGCTACATTTGCTTTTGGCTCACGATACTGATACTTGTTTGTTGACGATGCCATTTTCTGAAACAAAGCTTGAGCTTTGGACTTTGAGATCAGTGATTGTGTTTGCTTTCTCCAGAACCCCCATTTTTTTTTTTTTTGGTGGTTTCACAATCGTCACATTTGGTGTTGGGAATGAATGTTCCTTCTTCTCTTGTGTTCGGCTGATTATATAGGCACCGATGATGTTAGTTAATGGTCAGGGCATTTTGTTGAAACTAATGGCGGTGATTCTTCTTGCCAGCTATGATACTTCTGAGTACAAGTCAATTTGCTTCTTCTTATAGCCATCACTGTTATCAAATACCACTGCATCTGCACCTTTTTTTTTGTTTATGTTCTAGCAGTCTCATAATGCATTCTGCTTTGAGTACTATGATGATGCGACGTTGAACGATGGACTGCTGAAAGAAGAATGATGCGATGGTTACTGCTGAGGTTGTCCGGTGGCAATGAAGGTACTCTATTTGTTGCTGCAATGAAGTTACTCCACTTCTGTGCTCTACAGAGCTAAACATCAAAATAAGTTTGTTACTTATCATCATAATAATTAGTAGTAATTATTTGTGGTACCAAGTTTGCAGGGAGTTTCGGTTGAATCCTTGTTGTTTAGCAAGGGCCTTAAGCTCTTAGCTTTAGCAGTTCAATTACTTAGCAGCACTTTTTTTTTTTCCAACTTAAGAGTTGCAGCTAATTTTTAACAGTTACTATAAATTCCACTAAACACGGTTTTTTTTTTTTTTTTTACTTTCATGGAACCAGGGTAAGGAGGGAAGAGGCTGATGAGGTTATAAAGCTTTCATGTGGCAATGATCACAACGTGTTTGACCGTCCAAGATAACGGTCAAATCTCGATTTTGTCTAGTTTCGTAAATTTGATGTATAGTTGAAGCCACGAAGTTATAAATCGAAAAGATTGATCAGAATGTTTAATTATCACTAAAAAAATGATTTTTCCATCTATTACAATTTATCTTTTTTATTTTGAACAAAAAAAGAAAAAAAGAAAAAAAAATGTCGGGACTAGTTTTTTCCTACGTTTAAGTGGTAATTTGATATATGAATGTTGGGGAACGCATCAGATCAGTAATCTAATGCTGAGTAACAATGACTCCATGAGTAATCTGTCCACATCAGTATGACATCGGCATCCTCTCTCTCATGGAAAGCCTTTAATTTTCCCCTCTTTAATCTTTGACGGACGATTTCTCACTTGTTTTAAGTCAGTTTTTTTTTTTTGCACAGTTAGAACAAATTAATTGTGCTCTTCAAAATGATATCCACTTTGATATATTTTTCGAACAAAAAAATTGAGCCATTTTTTGGAAAAAATCCCAAGTTACACATGTTTTTAAAAAAAATTCTCAAAATACACATGTTATGAAAATAATTCCCAATCTACACATGTTTGGGCCTTCACCGCGTCAGAGAAGGGCGGTGATTGCTTCACCGCGTGAGAGCAAAACGGTGATTGCTTCACCGTGGGAGAGCAAAACGGTGATTGCTTCATCGCTTCAGTGCAAGGCGGTGATTGCTTCACCGCGTGAGAGCAAAACGGTGAAGCACTGAACTGCGTCCAAACTTTAAAACAACGTAACTTTGTGCTCGGTTATCCGATCGTAGCGAATTTTTTTTTGATTCCGCATAATTTTTCGAGATCTTGCAAGCCACAAACCGCCAGAGGCGGTTTGGTCCCGCCTTCGTCTCGAAAAAATGTCGTTTTCTACCCCGAACGAGCCTTTTTCGATTTCGTCAAACTTTGAAAGACCATAACTTTGTGCTCCACAATCCAAAAATCATGAATTTTTTTTTGATTCCGCATAACTTTTTAAGGACTACAATTTTTAGTAGGAGAGAATTTTCAAAAAATGAATTATTTATGGATATAAGGGGTTTTGGGAATAACTTTACCTTCCCTTTTCAGGAATCCAAGTACATTCCGAAATTATGTCTATGATAAAAATTGTAGTCCTTAAAAAGTTATGCGAAATAAAAAAAAAATTCATGATTTTTGGATTGTGGAGCACAAAGTTATGGTCGTTCAAAGTTTGACGAAATCGAAAAAAGGCTCGTTCGGGGTAGCAAACAACATTTTTTCGAGACGAAGGCGGGACCAAACCGGCGGTTTGTGGCTTGCAAGATCTCGAAAAATTATGCGGAATCAAAAAAAAATTCGCTACGATCGGATAACCGAGCACAAAGTTACGTTGTTTTAAAGTTTGGACGCAGTTCAGTGCTTCACCGTTTTGCTCTCACGCGGTGAAGCAATCACCGTTTTGCTCTCCCACGGTGAAGCAGTCACCGTTTTGCTCTCACGCGGTGAAGCAATCACCGTTTTGCTCTCCCACGGTGAAGCACTCACCGTTTTGCTCTCACGCGGTGAAGGCCCAAACATGTGTAGATTGGGAATTATTTTCATAACATGTGTATTTTGAGAATTTTTTTTAAAAACATGTGTAACTTGGGATTTTTTCCCCATTTTTTACTAGTCTATACCATATGGTATTGACTGGTATAGAAATAAGAGCATGCCGATGGTTTGAAAAGCGTACCATGGTGGTATGATACAAACCAAAACTGTAGGATGGTAGAATACATAATAGTAGAAGTATATTAATTGTCATTTACGACTTTTAACATTGTATACCATAAGATATCACCCCGTACCAGGGTGGTATTGTGTGATACTTTTGGTCTTGTAATTTGTTCACCCAGAAATTTGTAGATCCAATAGATCACAATGAACTCGTCCCTGCTGTGCAAACGTTTTCAAATACGAATTAAAAACGAAGAAGATACCATATGGTATGCAGTTGGTACCGAGAGGTCAGAATTTTTTTCTCAAAAAATATTGAAAATTGATCTCATTTTGTAGAGCACGATGAACTCGTTCCATCTGTGCAAAAAAAAATTAAAATCCGAGTTAAAACGAAAAAGATATTAGTCAATTAAGAAAGTTAGGGAAAATAAAAATGGTCTTTAATTCTCCATCGTTAGATCTGGATTTTCTAAATGAAGGGTCCAGATTTGGTTATTGATGGGTGCATAACCATGCATAACCCGTGGTTATGCACCCTATATTGAGCCTGAATGTTGTGCCCTTTCAATCATCAATCCACAACCACTTTACAAATTTTTTTTTTATATATCAACCAATCACTCTTAAAAAGAGGATAACAAACTATCCAAAATTACAAAGAATCTATCAGCTACTTAAAACATAATTAAGAAATGAAGTCAAATCCACTTACTGAGCGAGGTGACAACAATAGAGAAGCGAACGAAACTATCGAAAGAACCTTTTTTCCAGCTATTGATTTTCCCCACTAAGTCTACCATACGTCATAACCTCTAAGCTACATAACAAGTGAAGAACAAGTGGTCAATTGTCTCCTCCATCCAACCGCAAACCGAAAAAATTGGAATAAAATCCATTCCTCAAGTCACCAAACTTCGTGAGTGGGTAGAACTTGGTGGAGACATTGCCAAAAAAAAGCAGAAGATTTGCTAGAAGCACTAGATCACATCTCTATATATTAAGAATAATGTATTGATTTACTATCTTTTTTTCTTTTTTTATTTGAGTTCGTTATAAGAAAAATAACACATATTCTCATCTGGCAAGGTCAAGAAGGAAACTCGCTACGTTACCAAAAAACACCTTTAGCCTAGTTAGCATCTATTACGATGTTGTTAAAGTTATATATGAAATGACTATATCTATATATTATTCAAAAATTTTATGAAGATGTATTTTATCTATAAATAAATCCAAATGTCTCCGTAATTGAAAATGGAAAAAAATATCAAAATTGAAGATCGATTCCACTCAATCTAATTAAAATAAGAATCATTAATCATTAAACCCAATATAATACAGAAACCCATATTCACGTATGCAAATAAGAAAAAGGAAAATAAAAGCCTGATCCAGCACCAAGGCCCAAGCCCACAACTAATACAACCCAGCAGCAGTACTTCCGCCGGCGGCAGCGCCGCCCCTGAGTGCAAGCACGAGATGAAGAACGTCGCCGGCTTCAATTCGGTAGTCCTCCCCCGTCTTGTCGTCCGCCATCTGCTTCCCTTTGAAGATCAGCCGCTGCTGGATCGGCGGGATTCCTTCCACCTCCTCCACCTTGTCCTTAACCCCTGCAATCGTGTAATTCAGGTCCACGTCGACTTCAATCTCCTTCCCCGTCAGCGTCTTCACTTTGATCGCCGTCCCTCCCCTGAGCCGCAGAACCATGTGGAGCGTCGATTCCTTCTGAATGTTGTACTCGGCGAGCGTCCTGCCATCTTCCAGCTGCTTTCCGGCGAAAATCAGGCGCTGCTGGTCGGGCGGAATCCCCTCCTTGTCCTGAATCTTGGACTTGACGTTGTCCACGGTGTCGCTGCTCTCCACCTCCAGAGTAATCGTCTTTCCGGTCAGCGTTTTCACGAAGATCTGCATCTTTTGCAGTTGCCCTTCTCTTTCGTTAATTCGAGTGTGCCGGTTTGCAAATTGTGTTTGCTTTAGTCGGGGTTCGGGTCGTTTTTATACCCCAATTGCAATGCCGATTTCTGGTCGGAAAAGTAGAAGCAGAGTTCCTTTCGGCCACTCCGAATTTGTGAGTCATCAAAGACTATACCCAAACGCTTCGCATAAGTCTTAATATTAGCATGCACGACCTCCCCGGTATGCTTTGTATCTAGAGCAAAGAAAGTATGCTCAAAGAACAAGCCACCGGGTGAAAAGATACCTTCACGTGAATGTATAAATCGAATGTTTAAGGCAAAAGCCGTTATCTTCGTTTTCATGCTTAGGTCTCTGCTTTTTATCAAGCTCGGTGCGCTCATTGACATCGTATGCGGGTCATTGGGATCGGAAAAGGAATGCGGGCGTTGGTAAGCGTGGAGGGGCTAGAGGGCAATATCAGGTGGTACACTTACAGGAACTGGTGGTGTTTGGTTGGAAAGGGGGGTCTGGGTAGTGGACTGGGGGGTTGTATCTTTGGGTGTAGGCTGTGGGGGCACATAAGAGAAGAAGAGTTCACAGAAGGTTGAGAAGTAGTACGCCCGGTTCACCAGGTTCTACCACTGCAGGGCCCAATCATAGTCAAAAGAAGAGTTTGATCCTGGCTCAGGTTTAGAATATATGAGCCCGAAGGGCGAAGGATTCTCTTTCTTCCCTCAGCGAACTGTAAGGCTTTTGAAGAGGAGACCATCTGCTCATTCGCCATCAGGAGTTAAAAAAAACAGCTCTGTTCTAGGGCCTTTCCTCACCCTTTCTGGGAGAGCGAAAACTTTCCTCGATCGGACGCCCTCCCTATCTATATAGTAAGGGGCCCTTTCTTGCTAGTTTTCCCAATTTTCTCTGGTGGAAGGAAAAGTTATTATCCAAAGCCAGCGGGAAATTACCAGCTATTTATAGACGGTGGAAGAGCCAGGGGATAGGCCGATGGGAGAAGGGAAAGGCTTTTGTTTTCACTCGACTGTTCACTATCGGACCTGCTTCTTACTTATTTGTTAGCGCCTACGGGCGGAATCAAAGAAAAAATGAATACATTGGGCTTTCGCCCGCCCAAAAGCTGGAAATTCTTCTTTCCCCTTTAAAGCCAATGCCATAATATGAGAACAGGGAGGTGCAAGTTCTGCTTCAAAGTGAAGTCTCCGACGTAAAGGTTTGGAGCGAGAAACTTATAGAAGGTCCTCTATCAAGAAATCATAATATATGCTTTGAAAGCGGCACAGGAATCGAGGTTGTTAATGCAGTTGCCTTCTACTTGAATCGAGAGGGGGTGACTAAGCCCGAAGGTTTAGAATATGTTCGACCGTAGGGAGAAGGTGCGAAGTTGCTCGCATTTGAATTAGAACAAGAAGGAGAGGAACGAAGTAAGAAGGGCAAGGCTGGTTAATGTAATGCAGCATTTTGAGGAGACCTCAGGGTTGAGCATTAATAATAACAAAAGTGTTATATTCTTTAGTGGGACCTCAGATAAGTGCAAGCATGACATTTCGTTCCTTTTTCTCGCAGTCTTATCTGGTGCCTTCTCGTTTGTAACCCGACTTGCTCGTCGGAGAAGGTGCCGAATTCCAACTAGATTTTTTTATTCGTCTCTGAGCCAAGGCCCATGGGTCTAAGACTCTAAGTCCAACCAATAATGGTAAATTCTGAGCTGTTTGAGTTCACAGTGTCCGCTCTGTGAAGAATCCACAGCTCAATCCGCTCAAGAAGAAACGAAACGTAACCTTATTACAAGAGCATAAGATCTCCACATTGATTCAATCACGGCCAGCATCAACGATGCGGAGCAAGGCGGTCATGACTAGAAACCCACTCGAATCAGCTGCAAGAGCCATAATCATAACATGCACAGATAGAACTGTGATGTTTTTCAAAGGTGAGAACTGTCGACTGATAAACGAAAATTAGGTTACTACTGGTTCATTAGATCAGATGCACGATAGTACGTCCTAATTGGGTGACTGTTGACGAGTACTGTTGTGTACTTTGACTACTTTCACGAAAGACATCCGAAAAAAGCTAGACCCGAGACTACTCGAGTTCAAAAAGGATCTTCACCTAGGCGACTTGTGTAACAACAAGGGCAGTACAATCCCTCAGATCCCAGTTAGCTCAGTTCTCCGGAGTTTTACTTGCATATTGCACACTCAGACTCCTGCAGAACACAAACAGGTTATCAGTGCTGTGGACGGGATCGTAGATGTAAGAAATGACTGTCACCTGTACACTAATGAGGTACAAGAATAAACACTCATGCACATTGCAAAGCATCCACAATGCCTAACTGCATTGTAGCAACGTGGCTAAAACGATGCGGGAATGCACATTGCAGAAAGGTTCAGGTAGAAAGGAAATAAATAGCATGGTGATACAGAAACAACACGCGACTCTTGGCTGGAGTCTTTCCAGCCTAATGAAGGGCAAAAAGGACCAACAGAGAAGTAGGCTCCTCGCCATGGGGAAAGATAAGAGAGAAACCAGAATTGCTGCTTAGGATAATGCTCATCCTACATCTCTTCTTGTGAGTTCGGGTGAAAGCTTGCCAACATCTTAATAAGATTTGAATGCTAAGCATCACGTGGAAGTGTAACTACACAAATAATATTTAGGCTAAGCATTATCAGGATCCTCACCTCCTCATTGTTAGTAAGTCCATCCTTAGTTCCAATCCCTCCTTGGATACTTTAATAATCTCATATGATAATATATATTCATATCTCATAGGACAAAACCTTTCCCATAGGAGTCTGGATCTCTTATCTAACAATGGTTATGAGAGAGAGAGAGAGAGAGAGAGAGAGAGAGAGAGAGAGAGAGAGATAGACCCACCACACCGTTGCAATGTCCAATCTAGGCTATATTAAACATCTTATACCCATGTTTCCTACATTCAATCTGCCACTGCTATAGATACTAAACATAACATAATCTAGTTCCACATAAAAAAAACTTTCTACTGTCTAATATATCATGCGGCAAAAAACGAAGCCAAAATTTCAACTCATTCTACAAGCAAAAGGTGGGAAGATTATACATTTGAGCAGCATCATAATTCAGGCGAGACTTATGCTTTCAGTACGGTCTTTACGTTCAGAGCTCATGCCCAAAATTAATGAACAACCTAAGTTCAATTACTGCAATCTCAAGTCTCAAGTATAAACATAAGAAAGGCTCCCACTTAAGCTAAACATGGATGAAAACAAGATAATTGATATCTATGGATGTTGTCAAGTATGAAGGAAGAGAATGGTATCTAGGAAACTGATACAATTATGAGTAAGGAAGCAGGTTTTGTGAATTACCTAGACAAATTCAATAGTTTCTGGTCCATGACGGGAAGAACCTTTCATGAAGTACTTGATCACATGGTAGGATAATAACATATAGTGGAACTCAGGAAAATATGGCGACACTTTCAAAGATTTCAATCTGGTAAAGGGAGAAGATTGATCCTCCAAAAAGTCGTAATTGCTGCTCAATAGCTACACAAAGTACACCGAAAGAAAAAATTAATCCAGTAAAGTGACAAGTAATAGCATCAATCTCATACTTTAAGAATATACCTCGAGAAAATGAGAATGCACATTCAAAGAACTCGCATTGTGCAGACCCTGTAACAAGCTGATGCAACTAGCCTTCATTTCTTCCTTGTTCTTTTCAACACGGTCGTTATCAAGCAAGTAAATTATACCGTGATCAAGGGAAGGAAGGGCTAACTTGTACAATATTGGGGATTTCGCGATATCCATGATATCGAAGAACTTAAGCTCTGGCGCAAATATTTCCAACTTAGAACAACAAAGCGCATATATCTGGAGTTTAACCAATCGGGGTCCAGAGATCTTGAAGCAACATTGACGATCTTCCATTGCACACCCACACAATGTCAAATTTTCCAAGCAGGGAAAGTTAGCGAAAGGATCAAGGTCAGCCGCGCTGCCACAAGGCAGGCAACACTCATCCAAATCCAAAACCCTCAGCGTGCTGAAAGCACAAGATCCGAATCCAGTTCCCAAAGTTGCGCATCTGAACCGCAGTGTTCTGAGATTGCTATCAGCTAGAGGTACAAACAAATGTGGCTCAAGAATTTCATGATAGTGTACACTAACTATTAACTCTTGACAATTGCTAGACGCAGCAAATTTCACGACCCTGTGGAACAGCTCTTTGTCCAGGGGAAATCCCCAGTGAAAGAAGTGCATCTCATCGATGTTACTGCCGTTGGGACGAGAGGACAAGACTCCGTCGACGTACCTGGCGAAACTTGAAGCACTGCTGAAGAAATCTATGTCGAGAGTGAGCCGGGGAACGTGCTTCCACAGGGATCTCCACCTGCTGGAGAGGACACTGGTTCGGACGGAGAATCGGGTGTCGTCCAAGAAGGAGAGAACGTGGTGAAGGACGTGGTCGGGAAGACTGCTCAATCGGTCGATTTGTGGTTCTTTCGCTTCTCCTTCGATGCGAATTTTCTTGTTAGGGTTTTCGATAGACATCCCGCTGCCTTACTTCGCCGGGAAATTACAGATGCGGATTACTTCGGAATAAGAAGTCAGACTGCAGATTGATCGCTGGGGTAGTTTGCTCGCGCATCCATTCAACCCTAGTCGGAGCCTCGGAGGGTTTCCACTTTCCACACCAAATGAGTGAAACTGAAATGACAGAGGAATTCTGGAACCGAAGGGTTTTCTCTCTTTTCCCGCCAGGACGCCCTTCAGCCCGCCCGAAACAAAAATACGAGGACACTCTGCGTATAACGTATTTATAATATTTTTCTTGTAATGAATTATTTACCGTTAATACTTTGGGCTAATAACGGTGGGAAATTCGAGTTATCAATAAAGTACTAAATTATTCAATATGACATTTATCACCTGAATTATTTTTTTGTTAATTATAACAAAATTTGACCGTTATATTAGCTTCTCAGTTATATTAGCCCTAATACTTAATAATACTTTAAGTAAGCTTAAATTTGCACTAAATGATTATTAAAAAAAATTCCCACTAAAATGACAATTTTTTGCCTCAGATTTTCCAAACACAAAATATTTAAGAATACTTAGAACTACGGTCCGTTCTAAGCCCGACATAGTTAGCAACTTACTAATATGATGTGGATGCCATATCATACGAATGTATTTTCTTAACTCCATCCAAATTCCTATCCAAATCCCTTTCCTCTCGACAGGGGTTAATTCCTTAAATATTGTTTTTTTTTAATTTATTATGAATATAGTGTTTTGAAAAGTATTTACAAGAATATTGTGTTTTTTTATATGTTTAAAGCGCTAAAGCCTTAGACTCAGGCGCTGCCGCTGGATGCTTTTTTAACAAAAAAAAAAAAAAAAAAAACACAGCGGCGCCACCCCAGACTGGGGCTTTGTCGCTGCCATTTTTTTTCACTCCAGCACCACCCATCACCATATATACTGCACCTTTCCTTCGGTTCTTCATCACCAAAAAACTGAAAGAAGTTTTGAAAGAAACTCTGGTGTTGCTGTCTGGTTGCTGGGAAGATGGCTAATAACAGGTAAGAGTCGTATTTTTTTTTCTTCATGTATTCATCATAATGATTTTGTCCAGTTAGTAATTAGTGAGTTTGTTTTTTATGTAGTGGTTTTAGAAGATTTGAACTAGCTGTTCGGTGGCGATCAGAGAAAGTAGAAGACAATTTGGGTGTCCATTTTGTTGGTGGTCTAAGTTTCCAGATGACTATTCCATCCAGGGTGAACTATCAGAAACTTTGTGATAATCTAATTCGGAGAATACGGATTAGAGACGAAACAGTACAAGATAGTGTTGTGATTACAGGTTTCACCTACTGTCTTCCAGAATGGCAGAATGGTGTTTTATTTCATTATGCAATGCCTATTGTCGATGATGATGATAGCTTAAATGTGCTTTGGAATTTTATGGCACAAAATCCTTATTGTTTGGGTGCTGAGATACATGCTGAGCTCAGTGAGGATCGGGGTGGAGAGGAAGACGATGATGACGGTGATGACACATGGAGCATGCCATCCGATCATGATTATGATGACGGTGATGACGGAGATGAGGAAGACGATGATGATGAGGAGGAGGAGGACAACGACGACGGGGAGGGAGGAGAACAACCTAATTATCCTCCATATTTTTACTTGCAGGGTAATGAAGAGGACGAGGAATTATCATATGCTGATTCATATGGCGTAATTCCAGGGTCTACTGTTGGTGGTTTTGATGGAGAATTCTACAAGGGGAAAATATTTCACTCGAAACAAGCTGCATAGGTGGCGATGAAACACTATGCACTACAACGCAACTTTCAGTATAACGTGGTGGAGTCGTCACCTTCAATCTGGAAGATCAGATGTTTGATGCACAAGGAGGACAAATGTCCTTGGATGGTGCAGTTTGGATGTCGAGAAATGGGAGGCGATTGGAGCGTGAGAAAGGTCGAGTTGGTGCATACTTGTAGCAGTATGACTCAACCGACGGATCATCGCCATCTTGAAGTCGACGTGATATCTGAGGCCGTCTAACACTTGGTACGTGCCCAACCAAATCTGAGTGTTCTAACTGTTCAGGCCGAGTTGAAAGATAAGTTTAATATGCAAGTTACTTACAAGAAGGCTTGGTATGGGAAACAAAGAGCATTGGAGAAGTTGCATGGAAATTGGGAAGAATCCTATGATTTTTTGCAAACATTCTTGCGGGTGGTCACGAGAAAAATGCCAACATCGGTGATTGATTGGGTAAGAGTTCCTTCGACTCAACCAGGTCATTCAATATTTCAGCGAGTATTCTGGGCTTATGGACCTTGTATAGATGGATTCAAGAATTGTCCAGGCGTTATGGTTGTTGATGGAACATTTCTTACTGGGAAGTATAAAGGAGTGCTACTCATGGCGAGCTCATTTGATGGACGAAAGAAGATTTTTCCAATTGCATTTGCCATAGTGGAGAGTGAGAATACTGATAGTTGGCCATGGTTCATAAGTCACGTTCAGGGTTTGACTGATCGAAATGATGTATGCATCATGTCAGATAGACATGCAGACTCTATGAAGCCATGAATAACATCGGAAGAGGTTGGGAGTGGAGGTGGTGCATGCGACACTATGCAAGCAATTTGCAAAGGAAGACTAAAAGCAGAATTATGTATAATCAACTATTTCGAGTCGGTAAGCTTTCTTCATATAATTTTGTTACTTGTTTTCATGTAATTTTGTCATGAATTTATCTAACCCGTGTGGTGGTTTATTTTATTTTGTTAGCCGGAGAAAAACGGTTAGAGAAGTTTGATCGTCAAGTTGAGCAATTTAAGAAGGTGGCCGCTGATAGAAATATTTCATGTGATAACTGGGTGGATCAACATCAGATTCATTGGAGTTTAGCACACGATAACTACAATGGTGGGCGTCGTTGGTCTATCCTGACATCCAACATGGCAGAAAGCGTCAATGGTATTTTCAAAGGTATTCGTGCACTTCCTATAGCTTCTCTTGTGCAACATACCTATTGGCGATTGGTGGAGAAATTCGATAAGTACAGGTTGGAGACAGGAGCAGAAATTAGAAGTGATCCTTCACAGTACTCCACCAAGTGCGAAGAGCTGATGAAGGCGTGGTCACAAAAGGCAGATGGACATTCTGTGACAGCTCTTGATCGACGTCAAGGCATCTATGTAGTTCAGACTCCTCCCAACAATTTCAACATGACGGGGTCAAACACACTCACAGTGCACTTTGACGACCCCAACCGGACGGGATTTTTCACCTGTGGTAAATTTCAAGGAAATAAGATTCCTTGCTCTCATGCCATTGCAGCTTGCAACCGAATGGGTACTAATGCGTATAGGTTTGTCAACAATGTCTACAAGCTGGAAACAGTGATGGCTTGTTATGGGACAAGTTTCGCACCTCTTGGTGAACCTAAGGGTTGGAAGAAGCATAATGACCCTACTCTCCATCCTAATCTGGACATGATTAGAAAGCCGGGGAGGCCAAGATCAACACGAATTCACAACGAGATGGATTGGCCAAGGGAGGGTTCATCACAGCAAGTGTGTAGCAGCTGTAACCAAGCGGGACATAATGCATCAACCTGTGGTGGCCAAGCAAGTGGGAGTGGGAGCAATCGAAGAGGGAGTGGTGGCCAACGAAGTGCGAGAAGTGGTAGAAGAGGAGGAAGTAGAGGGAATAGACGTGGCTGAGAAGTTAGTTCGAATGTAGCAGTTGTTTTTCTTTCTATTTATCTCGCAGAAGTTGTTGTTGTTTGAAGTTGTTGTTTGGAGTTGTTGTTTGAAGTTGTTGTTTGGACTTTTATGAACTGAACTAGTTGTTGATGTTTGTTGGTTTTATATTTAAAGTCTCAATTTAGACAATAGCACTAACATGAATTAGTCCGCATGAGATTAAAAATAGTCCAAAATAAGTACATAACAATAAATAGTCTCAAGGAAGTACATAATAATAATGCATAGTCACAAAGAACATAATAATAATAGTCTCAAGGAAGTACATAAATACACTAACGACCACGCCGACCACCACGACGACCACCGTGCTCTGCCACTAGATGGCCGCCAGTACCACACCTCGCTGGCCTCCTGTCTCGTGGAGGTAACTGCTCATCTCTCTCCGCCCCATCATCCTGATCCTGTATGCCGAACATATCATCTACTTGAGACTGAACATGCTCATCCGGTGCACCCTGAACCTGCAGACCGACACGCTCCCACTCATCGACGTCCAAATGTGGCAGGTCTGTACTACCTGATCCCATGTGCCCGCCTCCCATCGTAGTATGCTGCGGTGTGTGAAAGCTATCCTCCTGTGGCTGAAACTGAGGGCTAGAAGAACTGGTGCCTGCCTGAAATCCCGTAAAAGTAGGCCTGACTGGCTGGAATGTGAAGGTCGATGTAGGTCTGACGGGCTGACGATCTGAGTACCTCACTCCTCGAGGTACGTCACGCTGCTCACGTCGCTGTCTCCTCCTCCTGGGCTCCTCTGTGAACTGTGGCGTTGGCAAGTAGGATAACACAGCTGCTCCCCAAGCAAACCTCCCCGCTCTGCGCCAATCCTCCACCAAAAGTAGGTACTGCAGGTGAACTGAACCTCCAGACCGATCGGAGAACAAGACACCTCCCATCAGAGACAGCGCATACGCTCTTGCAAACTGCTCTGTCGTCTGGGGTGATGCAGAAAGCGGCAGCTCATCGAAAGTCTCCCTGAGCCAAGTAATCCGGATGACGCCGCCACCAAGATCAGTAGGAGCCTTTCCTAACAGTCGAAGACACATAGCCGACCAGTCCTTGTCTGGTATGTCTACTACGACGGCATCACCGTCGATCGCTAATCCGGTGAGTGTCGCAACGTCCTCTAGGGTGATCGTCACCTCACCGAACGGTGGAATGTCGATGTCTCGGGTCGCCAACGCTCTACGAGCGCAGTAATCAAACCCGGATCACCGGTAAGAGGGGCTAGTGGCAGAACACTAGACAAGCCGGCATCGACGAGATACAGCAGGTACAGTGGATTGTATCGAACTAAATTGCCCGTATGACGAATGTGGAATGGTCGATCACCAACCTATAATTAATGCACAAAACTATATTAATTCAATTCCTTCAATTCACCTAATATTTATATTTATATATCTAAACTAAACTTATTCTAATATAATATACTCGTAACTTAATCTAATTCTATTCCTAATTTAATTTAATTCCATTCGTAATTTAATTTAATTTAATTCTATTCTATTATATTATTCAGCTAATAAAACTATAGAAATAGTTTGAAAAAAACTTACCTCATTTGCCCAAACTGCGTCAATCCGATAGTGACCATGCCCCCAAAGAAGTTCCGGATCCATCGGAGCAGTATCGATTGTCGCAGGTGGTGGTCTCATCGAACAAGGATCGATAAGCCTAGTAACTGGAAAAAAAAATATTAGAACATAAAAAAAAATGTCGCCGGAAAAAAAAGTCGCCGCCGCCGGCAAGAATCCGACACTCACTCCTGTAGCGTTCGCCGTCACCGCCGCCACGCGGCCCTCGGCCTCTTCCTCTGCCGCCGGGCGCTTGCTGCTCGTCGTCGGACATTCCGCGTCGCCGCTGTTGCTGGGGCGCCTTCTCCTTGTTCCTCGCGCCACCGCCTGAGTCTGAGGCGCTGCCTCCTTACTCTGGGCGTCGCCGCTCTATTTTTGGCGTCGGCGCTGGGAGGGTGAAGGAGGTTGGGATGGAGGATGAAGGAGGTCGGGATGGAGGATGTGGTCTGGTGTGAGAGGGCGAGAAGGGGATTAAAAAAACAAAGGTTGATAGCGACGGCGCCCCAGTCTCAGGCTTTGGCGCTTTTTGAAATTTCAAAAAGCGCCAAAGCCTCAGACTCGGGCGCCGTCGCTAGCTTTACCCTTAAAAACTATATTTTCTGAGTCTCGGGCGCCCTCAACTTCCCTCCATCAAAACACAATATGCTTGTAAATACTTTTCAAAATACTATATTCGTGGTAAATTAAAAAAAACAATATTTAAGGAATTAACCCCTCAACAGGAGCGATCATAATGACGTTGATCCTTTTACCTTCAATGTAAGGTTTGTTTCGAAGGTGAGCTGAAGAGTGAATAGATAAAAAAAATAAATCTATTTTGTTGCTTTCCTCCTCAAAGTCGTACACTATGTTTGGTAACAAGTGGGTGTAAATCCGAAAGGGTGCAAGTTGAGAGAATAAATTGATGGGGTGCAAATTGGTGGAGCGTGTAAGTGGAGGGGTAAATTGTTGTTTGGATGAAAAAATAGGAGGGTGCAAATAGACTTAAAAGTAAGCATTATATTATTATAAAATAGATTTATCAAATTTATCAAATATTATCATAAAATATATAATAAAAGGAAATTAATTATATATTAATTAATATGCTTTAATAAAAATATTTATTATATAATAAGGCTCAAATAATAATTAGTTATAATAATTGTAGTAATTATTGGTCGAGCGTGATGAACCCCAAGGTAGGGTTTATTGATCATAATCACACAGCTAAGGACTCCTAGAGTTCCTTCGAACAAGAACTCCTCAAAAACAGGGTATGGGTTGAATGTATGGGAATGGATGTTTCGTGCAATTCTCACGAAGGGAGAAAGGCTCGTAAACTATAAGTAGAAGCTCAGCCACGAACAACATGATTAGCTGAACGATACAAGCACTCAATCTGCTTAGAACACCTTCTAAACAACTCTCAATCTCACGAAGCAACAAGTTTTGTGAACCAAACTCAAGTTTGTATTCGATTTAATCAACTATCACGATTACAACGTAATTGAAAGCTTTAAATAGACCTAGGCTAACAAACAAACTAAAACGAAAGTCCAAAACAACAACATACTCAGAATTCTAACTCAAACAGAAATAAGGCTTTGAAATCCTAATCCGCAAAGGACTCGAATTGTTGGGTTGCAAGGCAGTTTTGGCCAGTCTTCGTACGATCTTGCAGGCTTTCATTTGAAGACTTCCAGGTAGTGTTTCGATCAACCAATTCCACGTCGTTGCATCAAATAACACATAGATTCATGTTTTTCAAGGCTCCAGACTCGAATCTCTTTCATGTGCTTCGAGTAAGTCTTCAAAGTTGGATACATAAACTGTTTCTGACACTTAGCCAATTTCTGGCAGAATTTCAGTTTCGACATAACCTTTTGAGAGGCCTTGAAGACGAGCCTCATGGCTTCTTCTTGAGTTCCAAAACACTCAAGCTTGTATAGCAACTCACCAGATTCAAAACAAGCCTCCATTTGTCCATTTCCATTGACCCAATTGGAAGAAACTTGAGTTCCAAGTAAGGTACCTGAAACGGATAAAATATTTAGGCAAAATTTGGGTTTCTTTTCGTAGCTTGAGATGACTTTTGATTCAATCCATTCTGATTTGTAGATTGAACCAAATTGGATCATATCAGGCCCCCCTCATAAAAAAGCTTTGGCCAGCTTTGTCTCGAAATCCTCACGAAATGCTTCCCAAATCGGGTCGGAGTAAGTCTGCTCAAGTTCCATTTTCTGAAAAACCACACAATGTTTGTTGAAGATGAAATTGGGGCTTTTTGATTCAGACATCCACTGTGCAATCCAAGGCCACCAATGGCTTCGTCTTGGATCGAATTGAAGTCCTGGACGGTTCTCGTGCCTCGAATCACCGTCTGTATCATCGAATCGTTGACATCTTCTTTCCCGCCATGGACGCAGTTCGAATTCTCCAAACCCAGAAACTTCATTCGTGAATTGAGCGTTTTTTATGTAGGACTCTCCGACTATAATTGAACGAGTTGAGAGTTTCCTGGGATTGCCCAGAATGATTCTGCAGCCGCCAATCGAGTCGAATCATCGTGAATCGCTTCAACCCTTAGACTCGATTTTTGCTCAAAATTGGTCAATTTTAGAGCAGATTCTGCTCGAATTGGATTCAGGAATCAGGATTGATTTGGTCAATTCCACTCAATGGTAGAGTTTCCCTGGACTCCATGGAATGTGATGACATCTTCTTCCAGTGTTGAATCTTTCTGAGGAGCTCCACTCAATTCTCCCTCTCTCATGCTCTGTTCCAGTGAGGGCTTGCGGAGGCACCGTCGTCGCGGTGCTCTCGACTGTTTATACCCAATCAACATAAAACGCCAAGTGATGAGAGTGGATGAACTGGATCCCTCGTCTTAATTTCCCTTGGTTCGTCGACGGCTAGCCTCAAGTTGCCGCCGATCTGCTCGAACCTCCTCAGGTGACAGGGGCTTCAACAGAATAGTCTTCCCGTTGTGACGAAACTTGTAGCAATTTGTGCCACCATAGTGGCAAAAACCACGATCGAACTGCCATGGCCTTCTTAGCAGTATGTGAGTAGTTTGCATTGGCGCGACATCAAATTCAAGCTCGTCCTTGTACACTCCGATCTCAAAACTGATCCTAGCTTGCTTTGTTACACGAACGGAACCATAGTCGTTAAGCCAGTGTAGGCTGTATGGTTCGGGGTGTCTCGTTGTGTTCAGCCCAAGCTTGTCCACTGCCTCTTGACTAACGACGTTGGCACAACTGCCTCTGTCGACGATGACAGACAATACTTTTTCGGTAACCAGACAACGAGAATGAAACATGTTTTCCCTTTGTCTGGAGTCCTGTTGCATATCCATGGTTAGAGCTCGTCGACTAATGTTCATGAGCTTTTCAATTGCAGGTTCGACTTCAATTTTCTCGTCGACGTCGCTATCATCGGAATTCTGCTCATCGTCGGTAAGATACTGATCGTCCCTGATGATCAATGTTTTCAAATTAGGATATTGATTTGTTTTATGCCCTCTGTCATAGCATTTAAAGTATTGGATTCCCCCAGTTTGCTCAATAACTACTGGATTGGTGTTCCTGGGAACAAATTGGGCAGATTCAGGTCGTGACTGCTGGGAATTGGAGTCGGGATTTGACTCTGCGGCCGTCTTGTTTGCCGGCATA